AGAGAGAGAGAGAGATAGAAACAAAGAGAGAAACAAAACCAAAAGAGAAAAAAAGAGAGGGATAGAGAGGAGAGGGAGAAAGAAAGACAGGGAGAGGGAGTATGAGAGTTGTCACTGAGACACTTTGTTACTGACAAGGCAATACAGCTAGTGTTTTGTGCCCTTCAGATGACTAACTGAAAATCTACACACCTGTATCAAGCACCTGGACATTGTTAAGGTTGCAGCCCTGCTCCGCCCCTCCGAACACAAACACCTTGTGCGGCTGGCTCTCAGGTGTGAAACAGGTGTGTTCATACCTGGCCGTCAGCCCCGCCCAGTCAGGCTTCTCCCAGGTGTACGTGTCTGATGATAAAAATGGGAAAAATGATTTAATGGGTGGAATTTACATTTTTTATGAAGGTTTACTACATTTGTGGATGGATTGTGATAGTCACCTGTTCAAGATGTTAGCCCTGAGACCTGACTGTGAGCTTTGAACCACTCACACCGGGAAGGAAGCCTACAAGGCTCATACAAAGCCCTCCTTCTTCAAACATAACAAATAAGACTAATGAAACTAATGACCTACTATTATTATAAAATGAAATACAGGAACCAGTGGCTAGCAAACATGACCAAAACTCACCCAAGTCCAGCACGAAGGTGTCAGCAAACGGCCCGCTAGGGTTGGCACCCCCCACCAACACCACCCTGCCACTGCCCCCTGCTCTGGGGAGGTACATACAGGTGTGCCCCACCGTCAGGCTGGGCCCCCCACCCCCTGGGGACAGCACGTACCACATCCTCGGGGCAGGGGGGTCCGTCAGGGGGAGCTCCAAGATAGGGTGAAGTTCCATGTTATCTCTGGAAGCAGAAAAAGGGTTATTATGTCAGTAAAATAATGGCTGATTCTGGCCAAACAACTTAAAAATACAGAAATTGTAGTGAGGTACGTCATGGTTCATTCGTAAAAACACTGGCAGTACAAGGCCGAATATTCTCTTTTTAATGTTTAAAATATGTAACATTTTAAGAATGAAATATATATAAGGAATATATCCACTGTAACTCAAATCCCAGTGACCTACATAGCTACTCATGGGTATCATAGTCTCATTTACACAGTATTATGCACTGTAGGTCACCCATGACCAAATTAACCTGAGTAGCCTGTCCTCCCACCAAAATTCTTTATGGGCAAAAGTGATCTTTGCACTTAGGATGGACTTGGTAGCCTACATGTGACCCTACCGTACAAACAATTAAAAAACAAGCATGGGTCACAGGTCAACAACTAAACCATCAACAACCATCCACCCTGCCTAGTTCCACATCTAAGTTCTAACAGGTGGTCAGAGTGGGAGGAACAGGTGAAACAACATGGGGACTGACTACAGGGTTTTTACTGCAACTTTCCTGACATTATTTTTAACAGTGTGCATAGGCGTTTCTGCTTACAAACCTGTGATCATCGTACATGGCATCCTGGAGCCAGCGTATAAGGAAAACCCACTGAAAGACCTGATCACAAAGGTATAGTCTTCACCTGTATTCATTCACTTGTTCTGCCATTCACTCAATCATTCTAGTTTTGCAGCCATTTTGTTGTTTTGTTCATTTTACCATATGATCTCTGCCAGTGGTTTGTTAAAGATGTTTGTGTCTTATCTTTGTTTAATGGGCAAGGTACAGTCAATGTAATCAAAACAGTTAAGCTGTTTGTGGTTGGTTATCTGAAATACAACATTTGTGACCTTAGTCAGTCCCTGATACAAATGTAATACTAGTAATAGTTCCTACCACACTAGACTATCATCTAATACTTTTTCCCAAGACCTGAATGAGCACTAGACTTGAACAAATAAACTCATTTAGTAACCTTAACTAAAACTTAATGAGCCACAACAGTTACTAAATTGTTTAACAGTAAGCAACTTTATTTTCAGACAAATCTGTTTTAATTTCAAACACAATATGTCCTTTCATCGATGAAAACACACAGTTTACCAAAAACAATAATCCTTCAACCATTTAATAACTTAAGTCACCTTTTTGCACCAAACCTGTATTGGTTACAGGGTTGGGCAGCAGAGAGAAGGTTAACCTTTGATAGTCTAACTGCTGGATGGCCTTTGGCACCAAATTTGTTTTGGAGTCCGTACGTAGGCCCTAAGTGACCTTATATCATGATCAGAGTCCACGTATAACTTATTATAAGCATCTTTAGGCTACCCAACATGGCAGCGGGTTACAGCTCACACCGCTGGTTTATGTGGCACCTGTGTGTAGCTGCTGCATTGTTATTGGTTTGTTCACCTGCGAGCCAACATGCTGCATCCTACAAACCTGTGCTGATCATCCATGGGATATTTGATGCTGTAACAGACTTGGACGATTTGCAGTACATGATAAGAAAGGTGACATTACATTGTAGTTGTACATTACAGTTACACAAAGTCCCTTTTCGATAAGATGTCGCTCTCCTCAAAGCTCAAACACGGGAACTCCGGCTTTGTGTCCTATCTGGGAGGACGTCCCTACTAACTGAAACTAGGTACTATTTATATTTTCACGATTTGAATTATATGGAAATATGTTAAGTGTGTTCCCCGTATACATTTTGGTTTGCCTGTATGCCATCCGATTTGACTCAGCTTGTGGTAGGTAGTCAACTAACAGTCAACTCGCGGTTGCTTAGATGTGTTTACTTTTCTTAAAGCCACGCCCCCTTTTAACTTGTGACCTGTTTTAGGGACCTGGGCTGCTGTCGTATGGAGGGACAGCCTCTTAAAATGATTTGGGTCAATTCGGAAATGGTCGGTTACCTGCTTGAAATGAAAATTTGGTTTCCATATTTTATAAAACTTCAGTGCTTAAAATGCCCCCCTCCCCACCTCCGGTTTTTCTCGATAAAAAATCTGTTAGCTGTCTAAATATAAGCATTATTGAGGGTCATCTAATTGTAAATACCACAATATTAAAACATACTTACGCTGTAACAGATAAAAAGGTCCCAAGAGCTCGGAAATAGGAAATCTCTTTCACCAAACAACGTGAACTGACATGTTCATTTTGGAACGCGCGGTCCCTAACAACACATACTGTAAACATAGCACTGAATTTGTCTCCAACAAAATTACTTGGTAGCATCAAGAAATGAACGTTAAACAGACCTTTAAACTGATATGATACGATCAAATACCTTTTTGGGGTTTATTACTGTAGTACCAGTTAAACTTTATATCTCATGACTTGAAGAAGTTATATAAAACTTTCACAATATTGGCATACACCGAATATAGAGCTACATTTACACTCACTACATAAGAGGTCACAGAGGTCAACAACAAACATGGCGACGTCCTGTTCGAAAGTTTTCCCCAGATTCGTCCTGTCGTCGTTCTTGGTGTTTTTCTCCGCCGTCCTGGTCCAGATCAGGGCTTACAAACCCATCATTATCATCCATGGCATCTTTGATCACGCCAGTACCTTTGACAACTTCAGCGTCTTCATCAAAACGGTTTGTGACGATGATGTTTTCATGATAAGTTTGTCGTCAGAGGTCACTGTACATCTGGTGCTGTTATGTGTTGCTTTATATGGGCGAGTCATGCCCGGAATAAAGAATTAGAGAGTTGTCATCCGCATCCCTTTGCTGAAGGTAATTATATGGAATGTGTTGGGGTAGCTGTGGCAAAATAGATGATCGAGTACACAGAGTTGTTCAACCTGTATCACCTCATCCTGTGGTAGTGATCATGATATTTTTTCTCCCCTGTGCAGGCTCACCCAGGTACGGTACCATTCTGACTATCAGTACACAGCAGAGCCGCTGATTCTGTGTTTAAAGTGTATGATATTCCAGGCCCACCCAGGTACAAATGTAACCATCATAGATGAGTACACAGAGCTGTTCAGTCTGTATCATCTGATTCTGTGTTAGTGATATTTTCTCTCCCCTGTACAGGCTCACCCAGGCACAAATGTCACCATCATAGATGAGTACACAGAGCTGTTCAGCCTCTATCCCATGTGGGAGCAGGTCAGGGGGTTTCAGAAGGCCATGGTTCCCATCATGCAACACGCCAAGGATGGTGTCCACATCATCTGTTATTCTCAGGGTGAGTAAGAGGCTCGTCGAAGTCCTTTATTGTAAATTTTTTTATTTCAGTCCAACTTAACAAATAGCATGTGTAGTCCCGTGGTAAGTGACCCTGCCTATGGAGCAAGAGAGTTCGAATCCTGCTATACACAGATAACAGTCCCTTGGCCTGACATTCACGCTACTGTAAAGGTTCACAGTCCTTAGGGCGGGACATTAAGCCGTGGTCCACTGTTCATTGCATTGTCAAAAAGAGCTCTAGACGAATTTTCCGTCAATTTATTTAATGTTTAAAAAAAACGTTCTGAAGTATTGATGTTTGATTGACAGGTGGTCTGATCTGCAGAGGAGTTCTGGAGTCGATGGATGACCACAACGTGGACACTTTCATCTCACTGTCGTCACCTCTCATGGGGCAGTACGGGGGTAAAACTATGCAGTATTTCATTCTTTTATCTATTTTCAATTTATCTGTATCCGTATTTAGGACATTAAATACAACCATGTACAATGTATGTTACATATATATGTTATTTTCCTGGAGGACCACAGGCATAAAGAATAGCAACTATGTACTAGTATGTATGGTAATTGTGGAACCATTTAATAAACTGAAACTCCCTCCTTCCCTCCCCTGCTGCAGACACAGACTACCTGAAGTATGTGTTTCCTCACTATCTGAAGGAGAACCTGTATAAAGTAGCCTACACGTCCTATGGGCAGGACATCTCCATCAGTAACTACTGGAACGGTATAAAGGCTGCAACATTTCATTTCATCTTCATTCAAATCAAAGACAATTCATTCATGTGTCCTCATTCACAGAGATATGACCTCATGTGGCTTCTGAGTCCAAGTGTGATAATTTATCCCGCCCACAGTCTCTATTTATTGAGGAATGGAGTGCCCTGATACACATGTATACTTAATAACTTTTAAAATCGTCAGAAGTGACTTTTAAGTCATTTGAATCCTGATGAGGGCAGCAGTGGTCATTGAAAATTTGATCTTTATGTAGTTGTTGTGTTGGAGTAAAATTGAGCATTGTGCCATGATGATTACTACCCACACAGATGAATTTCCATTCATCATAACATGTTGTCACATGTTTTTTTTTACACCCCAGACCCTCACCAACAGGACCTCTACAAGGAGTACAGTGTCTTTCTTGCTGTCTTGAACAACCAGACATCAAATAATGTCAAAAGTAAAGGTAAGTGTAGTAATGATGATTCAGATGAATGGTTTATTCGCAATGGAATCACTAAGTCTATTGACTGAATGGACCTATCACATTATTACGTCACAGTTTGTTTACCGCAATGAATGCCGGTCAATCGATGTTTATATTGTACAGGGGTATGTAGCGCGGTGTGTGTTTGTGTAGCGTTAGCCTTGATATAAGGCCTTTATACAGTACTACTTTCATCTACTGTCACAACTAAATCACCCATTACGGCATGTAATGCTGTGTCAACAAAACTAGATGCAGCAAAAATCAAACATACCTGACTTCGAAAACTTTGAAATGATCTTTATTCTTTAACTGACCATTCTAGAATGTTCTTTAGAACAGGTAAACAAACTGTGACGTAATAATGTGATAGGTCCATTGCACATCCATGACTACAGTGTAATTAAGCAGAATTTTTGGCTAGAGATTAACCATTAAAGCGTTAGTTTCAAGGTGTGTTGTGAGCCAAGGATTGATACATTTGTACATCCGTCACTCACTGCTTCTGTTTTTCCCCACAGAATACAAGAATAACTTCCTAAAGCTGAAGAAGCTTGTGATGATTGGGGGTCCAGATGATGGTGTTATCACCCCCTGGCAGTCCAGGTAGGAACTGCAGCAGTGTGTTTGTTTTGCAAAAGTGGCTATGCAAACATGTATTACGTTAAAATGTAGGGGTTTCCAACATTAAACTTTGGAAATTAGATAATTATTTGTATATACATGTATATAGATTCTTCCACTGTGTCAAGTTTGGGATCATCAGAAAAGAATAATCAGTCATCTTCTGTTTGTTTTCAGCCATTTTGCCTTCTATGATGAGAATGAGACAGTAGTGGAGATGAAGGACCAGGAGGTATGCCATCTTTCTTCCCTTTGCTCACTCTATCATTCCCTCTCTCCAGAGCTGTACATGTCACACTACGCTAAGGAGCCAATTGGGCTATTTTAAAGTTCCTTGATTACACATTTGCCATTTGTATTTTGTCATGAGATATCTGCCAAGTATAAACATTCTTTAATGCTGTAAATGAGCAGAATGATTTCAACTCATAAACTTCATTCTGCAAAGCTCAGGCATCTGAGCAACCAGCTCATGCAATATATATGTACAATAAAGGTTATTTTAATTAAAATGTCAAAGTGATATATGTAACTGGTGTGCTGCAGTATATATCAGATCAGTGTTAGGTGGGGCTGTGATGCCATCTAGTGTTTTGCATTGAATTTTAATACCAAACTTTTCCCACCCTTCCTCCTTAGGTGTACCAGAGGGACTACTTTGGTCTGAAGACCATGGATGAGAGGGGAGACGTGACAACTTATGAAATCCCGGGGGTCCAACATCTCAACTGGCACAAAAATCAAACTATTTTCGACGACTACATCGAGAAGTGGCTTACATGATCCAAGGAGCTTTTAGTTCAAATAGAGCTCCTTGCATGGTCTCAGGATCATCTTTTAACATAAAGCATCAGGAGAACAATTGTCAATACATGACAGTGTTTGTTTTTCTTCATTTGATGAAAAGCAACAAACCATAAAATGCAAATCCAAGTAGGGCTGCTGCTATGATGTGACATATATACTGCAAATTGAAAATCTTGCAATTGTCTTCCACAGCTAGTGTAATTCAACAGTATTGTATATGGCAAATAATGCAATTTACACATTCAGGTATTGGTAGTAGGTTAGACGTCAAAAACATCTACACAAGTACAATTTGACCTGCAGCTATATCAATATAATTGGGCTGCAGAACACATATTGAAAATGAACACAACAATATCCAAAAGTGGCTTACATGTACACAATCTTTAGACAAGGTTGTAGATAGGGTCTTTAAACAATGTGGCAAGAGAACAAGTTTCATTGAAAATTTACATGACATGACAGCTTCTTTTTTTACTTGTGAAATGTAACAAACCATGTCAAATTTGTCTTTGAAAGTTGCCATAGTCAAGCAAATCAAACAATTAGGGGCAAAATTTTTAGATAAAAAAGTCTTGCAAAAGTGTTTAACACAGTACAGCAAACATGACAATGAAGCTTGATAATTTTTGCCTCTGAAGCATTGTTGATTAATGAGTGATATTTTTAATGCTCTTGGTTTATATGCAAAGTGTATATTTGATGTGAACAATGTTGTTTTTTTGTTATCATATAATAATAATAATGTATGATATTATATATAATGTCAAATTAAAGTACACAGTGCTTGCAATTTTTTATCAATGTAAAGCCGACAGGGCACATATATATTTTTGTAGTAATTTGGGGTCAGTGTAGTATTGCCATACATGTATTTAGGGATGCTGACCTCAGCTGACCTGCAGTATTTAATCTGTTGGATTGTTCAGTTTGCTGATCAAATTCTCATGGAATGTTGTAATTATTTGATTGTCCTGAAAAGTTATGTACAGCAAACCTCTTCTCATAGACTTTTCAAGATAATTTTTACGGATGCTTGTTTTGGATTGAGTCCACACTGTTGTGCAATAGATTCAGGTATGAACGAGCCAGTTCACAGTTTAAAATGTACATGGTGAAGGCCCCTAATTTGTAAACACTTCTTGTCTGGACCATGCTCTATACATTATTGTCCAGACATTTTTGTTTATGTCTCAGAGGGCCTTTAACTTTGGAAAATTACTCAAAATGTATCACACTGCTTATGTGCAGTTTAAAATATGAGTCGGCTTATAATATGGCATTGTATAGGCTCTAAGTGATCACTGAATTGTTCACAAAATGAAAATATGCAATTAATAGACTGCCTTGTTTCATTGTGTTTGACAAATTGAATGTTTAATCATTCCTTGTGTGTACAATGTATGTACATGTACACCTTCACTCTGCATTACTCTACATTATGAAGAAACTCCTGGTTTCAAAGTTTCATACATGTACTTTTTACACAGTTTTCACAGCAAAGTGACTTATTCAATATTTTATTCCCACTTCCTCTTCTTGTCTAACAAAATACTGCATCCAAATTTACTCCCCATACACAATATATGAGATCCTAAATATGGCATAGTTATAACTTGGCAAGTATGTACAAGGCCTTACCTACAATTCTGTTTACCGGTAATTATTTTGAAGTACCAAAAACACAACATACTTGAATGGTGTACACCAAGTATCAGTATTGCTATTAGGTACCCAATCCAAAAGTAAAGGATTCATTTAGTAGACGAAGAAGTTCCCTTAGTCATCAAGACTTAGTATTGTCTACTCTTAAACTAGATTAGAAAAACCTCATAAGACTGAGGGATGCTGATGATGATTTCTGTGACATACAAAATCAGTTTTCCGATATATGTACATAATTTTCTTGCAATATTTCCTGCTTCTTCTTTCACATCTTCTCTATTGCTGGAATGTAGATTGTATATATCTTTTGTTTGCTGCTTGGAGATCACGTTCCCATCGGCTTGAGCTCCTCTCGAGTCTTCCCGACGGTCTTGGGCATCTTCTTGCCAGAGTTGTCCTCCAGTTCCTTACCCTTGTAGTAGTGAGGTGCGACCTCTAACAGCCACGAGTTCTCTATCTCAATCACCTGGGCAGGGGAGAGAACGGGAAGTCAGAAGATTCAAACAGTAAAATGGGTTTGAAAGTTTTGTTGGTTTGTAACACCTTCCCTGAACTACAGCTACCTGGCAACAAGGAAACACTGGATGAAGTGTGTCAAGAGAGAGTGCGGACAGAGCCGCTTGAGAACATGGTGTGAAGACTAGCCAACTGCTGTACGTCTACCAGTCCAGTGTCAGGGACCTCCAGGACTGGGAGCTTTTCTGGTAGTGTGCAGGTCAGGTGAGTGACAACAGCTGGGATTCAAACTTCAAACCCCCTTGTCCAGAGGTAGGGTCGTTAACCACTGGACTACAAACACTGCGTACCTGTCTCATGTACTCCTTGGTGGTGAAGACCAGTTCAAAGTAGATTCAACGAAACATAAAGCCAAGGCTGCCTAACTTCATATACTTGTCTAACAAACCCACTTTTCCTACAATACTACTTTAACACATCCTACCTGTCTCATGTACTCCTTGGTAGTGAAGACCAGCTCAAAGTAGATGATCCATCGTGGCTGCTCCTGGAACAGACAGCTGTTAGGGTGGATCATGACGGTCTGCTGGTGTTTCACTGTCTTGTACTGCCCACTCTTACTCAGCCGCGCTGTGTGGTAGAAAAACCCTGATGTGATGGCCTGCAACAAAGAAAAAAACATTTCCGATGAGTCCAATGGAAATTAACATTCATCACATGCAATACAAAGTTAATCAAATACTGGATAAATTTTCTGGACAGTCAGATGTCTCAGACAGCATCTGCTATCAATATCTGAGAATGTATTTCTATCTGAAGCGTTTGACACTTCCAAGAATTTACCCAGTTGCCTAAGGGCTTGATCATAGAACCTTTAGATCCTACAAGTAAGACAACAGCCCTTAATTATACAATGGTTTGGCTGTTCATCACACACAGCTAGGTTTGCCCAATTATCCAGAGACTATAGAAAAGGTTAGCCCTGCTGACAGAGTCAAGACGTTACAACAACCCTAAAACTACAACAGTACAAGATCATCTTGCTATCATTGCATATACATGTACTCAGTGTCCATCCTTGATAGTACATGACTTTTTCTGACCTTCCTTATACCGACTGTGTCCTCGGGGTTGCTGGTTGGTTCGATCTCGACGCGCTCAATGAGCCCGGCCAGCTGGTCCCGGACGTCCCGCGCCCGCCGCAGCGCTCGCCACTGGATAAAGTTCTCGTAACACCACTGGGTCGAGAACTCTGTGTCCTGCCACTGGGGTGGGGGATGGGGAATGGGTGAGAGAAGTGTTGTTATATATTTAGTGTAAGAGTAAGTCATGAGACATATTAAAACCTTTGCCTGGTTTGATTACCAAACCTATTGTAGCTCCCGAGTCCTACATCCTATTTGCGGAGAGGATGTAGGACTCGGGCGCCATAATAGGTTTGGTAACCAGGCTATCAAAACCTTTCCATAAAATAGCCGGAACATGCAGTGGAATTTCGGTTTCATGAAGTGAGAAGGGTTCTGTGGAGATGTTAAGTTCTCTTGACACTTCCCAAATGCCTTTTTCCTATTTGCAAAGAGAACAAAATAGACTTAAAAAAGACAGATAAAAGAGATTTGAACACCAGGCTACAAATGTACCTGTGTAAATACATAATATACAGCTAGACAGACTATAAACAAAAGGTCTAACCTCATTGTAGACGTTCATGAGTGTGAGGTGGTCCCCCGCCATGTTGAAGAAGTTCTGTCGAGCGTTGTCGGCGTGGACGGCCTTGTCCTTCGGGCGGTAGAAGATCGACCCCTGCACATTCAGCATCGCCGTGATGGTCAGGATCTCTTCAACAACCTTCAAACAACATTATATTAACATGATTGCCTGCCTGCTGAACATCAATATTCAAATGTCAATCCCGATTTCAATTTATTATGCAAAACGTTGTATTACGTGATATTCTAGTTTTACGTACCATTTTGTAAACAATGTCTGTATGTTTCGTTAGTTGGAGGTACATTATCTGTAAGTTTTGTATTGACGTATAATTATGTTTGGCATGAGCCTTTGGTTTTTTCTTGTTATTGATGATTTCATCTGATGTTGATAATTCATGTTTGGGCACATAAAAAAATGCCAGTAGTAAACAAACATACAAACCTTGTACTGTTCTGACGCGATGATCATTTTCGACAACATGGGGTCGACGGGGAACTCCGCCATCTTGCGGCCGAGTTTGGTGAGCTCGCCGCGATGGTTCAGTGCTCCGAGCGCGTACAACTGCTCAAGCGCGAGGACCAACGTCTCGTGCGGTGGCGGATCCATGAAGTCAAAGTGGATAAGATCATTGATGCCGAGACTCTTCAACAGTAGTACAACGTTTCCCAAGTTCGTTCTCTGGATTTCCGGCACCGTCGTGTCCTCCAGTTCGTTCTTGTACGCCCAGGCTGTGTAGAGACGGAAACACTTTCCCGGTGCGACCCGCCCAGCTCTACCGGCCCTCTGATTGGCCGACGCCTTGGAGACGGGCGTTACGATGAGCGACTCCATCCCCGTCCGTGCATTGTAACTCTTCTGCTTGCAGAACCCGGGGTCAATGACGTACACAATTCCGTCGATCGTGAGCGACGTTTCCGCGATGTTCGTCGCCAGGACGACTTTTCTCGCGCCCGGCGGCGTCGGCTCGAAAATCTTCGCCTGCATGTCTGACGGGAGGTTCGCGTAGATCGGGAGGATGAGCAGCTCTCTGATTTTCGATCCGAGCTTCCGAGTGCGTTCTGTCAGCATCTCGTTGGCTGTCTCGATCTCTTCCTGTCCTGTTAGGAACACCAGGATATCCCCATCCGGCTGTGTAACATGGATTTGTAGCACAGAAACAACACACGCATCAAGGTAGTCTGCCTCGGGGGCTTTTGTATACAAGATGTCCACCGGAAACCTTCTCCCGGGGATGCGGAAGATCGGAGCGTTGTCGAAGAATTCTGAGAACTTCTCGCAGTCCATGGTGGCGCTGGATATGAGGAGTTTCAAATCCGGCCGGAACCTGGCGATGTCTTTCACCAGCCCAAACAGGATATCTGTGTGCAACGTTCTTTCGTGGGCTTCGTCGATGATCAGAACGCTGTAACTTGATACGTCCGGCTCCCCGAGAAACTCTCTCAGCAGCATCCCATCTGTCATGTACTTCAGCACGGTCCTCTCCGAGGTGCAGTCCTCGAACCGAATGCTGTACCCGACCTGTACAGGGCAAAGAAATCAGCTCTATATTACTCCTTTTCACACATCATTAGCACCGTCACAATATCGAACAGTCTTCAGACAAATAATAATTATACAAACAGTGTAATCTTTTCTGACACTTGAAAGTGCCCTGAAAACCCATCTCATAAGCCATCCTAGCTCCCACCCGATCCCCCTGTAGTAGACTTTTATGTTCAGTTCTTATCTTAATTATCCTAAATGGTATTATTGACATTACCGGTACGACATTCTATGTAATACATGTATTCCTTTAATTTTGATCAAGTTTGATTAGTACAGAGGAGAAGGGTCTAGCTACCGGAATACCGGTCTATGCTTTTTTCCTCCTCCTGTACCTCTTTTTATCTATCTCTTGTTTATTGTATTATGTACAAATAAACAAACAAACAAACCAGACCTCGTTGCCGAGTTTGAAGCCCATCTCCTCGGACACGCGAGCGGCTACGCTCATGGCGGCGACACGGCGCGGCTGGGTGCACCCGATCTTCATCCCTCCCTGACAGTACCCCCCCTCGTACAGGTACTGGGGGATCTGGGTCGTCTTACCGGAACCCGTCTCACCTTCGATGATCAACACCTGGGGGGGGGGGGAGATAAAAAAATTACAACCATTTTTATTTATCAGTTACACAATGGAGGCAATTCCATTTTTTTTTCACACTTGCATCGATTTTGGGGTGCCAAGAGGAAGTCATCCATACAATAAAATCAGTCCAACCTTACCTGGTGTTCTTTGATAGCCTCCAGTAGTCCCTCCCTGTACCTGAAGACAGGCAGACTTTCCTTCACTTCCTTGATGGACTGAGCTTTCCTCTCCGCTGCCGACAGCTGCTCGGGTTGGTCCTCTGTGTCAATGGTTCCCTTCATCGTCACTGCGCTCACAAAGTCTATCATGTCGTCTTCAACCAACAGTTCATATTCCTTCTCCTGCAACCAGATCAAGCAAGGGCAATCTTAGACCAAGATATATTTATTTATCCTACATCACTGTATTAAATGCATTCATTAACAAAGACGGGGCCACCTATGATCCAGTGTCCTGTGTCATCTGTGTAATGCAACGTCACACTGTGAAGCAGTGGATGGCTCATTCCTTGACAAAGACTGGAGTTGCAGTAACTAATGTACAGTCGAAAATTTGAGTAAGCCCAATTTATTGTGTAGGAAATTAGTACAGTTTAAACATGCTTCCTAATGACTTCTTCGAACATAGATGAACTTTCAAGACAAAAAGAACATCCCATTATCGCATATACCTGTGTTTTCTCCTTCATCTTCTGTTTGGCGTCCCTGGCTCCAAACCTCATCACAGCACTGCTGAGGTGTTCCTCCTCCCAACGCTTCTGCTCTGAACCAGGGCCTTTCTCTTCTTCTTCTGGCTCTACATAAGAGTACTTCCCAACATCTCCCTGGAACAAGATTATATAGAATGATGATGATGACTCAATCTTAGGATCTTAAGATCTAGGAGTATTCTGTATCACCCAAATCCAGTATTCCAATTTTCCAAGACATGTACGCCAGTCTAAGAATCCCGCATTCTTGTCCTAAACAAAAAACAGACAAAACTTCTACAAGACATGTATACCAGTCTAAGAATCCCATTTTTTGTACTTAAACAGTTAGTTCATCCTTCTGATGACACCGTGTACTGTCTCAACAAGTTCCTGTCTCCCATGACCAAGGACAGTTCAACACCACCCAGACCTATGTCCTTCTCGATCACCTTCTTCAGAGTTAAAGGAAGGGCGACGACGTCTCCGCTTTTCCTTTGGTGACCAGAGAAGAACCAACCCTGCCATCTCGTACTTCACAAGAAAATGACAAGACTCCTCCCACTGCAATATGTGTACACCAGCATAACTCTTAAGAGTCTCACCTTCTTGTCCTCAGGCATGTGGTACCTCTGCACCTTCTCTACGTCTCCCGCCCGCTTGTGCTCCTTAGCCAGACTCAGAACCTTCTTCTTGTACTCCAGCTCCTTCTTCTCTCGAGATGTCAATCTAGGTAGAGAAAAGATCAATAATTATAAGCATTTTGTATATTATCATATAGCCGGATGATGTTGACCAATCAGAAGTCCCCATTTCATATTGGTTTACCGTTATGACAGTATAACCTTATCTGTGGTAACTAAATCCTATATACACCCAGGTGCCGAAATCCCATAAACTCTGTCACCAATCTGCAGTGGAATTCTGCACCGACCGATAAATGACCCCTGGTGACCCAAAATGGAATACGACTTCTGTTCCAATGACGTCAGATCAAACAGGGTGCAACGTGATTTGGGTTAGAGAACAGATTCACTCTTAACTTTGCCATCTGTCATCTTCTTCAGAATAGCAATTTGCAATACATGAACCTAGCAGTATGAATCAGAACCAGTCATTGTTGCCCATCTACCAGCTGATTCCGTCCAGACACTTACTTGGTCTCTGCGAAGAGGTACTCCTCATCCATGACGTCTGCCTCTAACTCATCCAGCTTGTCCACCTCACGCTTCTTCAAGTAGTCCCGGCGAGACTTCTTCCTCAGCTCAGGGAGCATCTTCTTCCTGTCTTCTTCCGCCATCTTAAGTCTCTTCTGGGCTTCCTCGTATGCCTTTTAGAAAACAACCAAAATAGAGAAGATTTAATTTCAAGCTATCAAACATTAAAGGGTGGTGGAGAGCAGGAATCTCTTACATCTTCAACTTCCAGAGGAAAGTTGAGTGCAGTGTGCGAAAATGAAGAAATCAAACATGAAATTTCAGCATTTTTCCCCTGTCCAGTTACATTCTTATGCTGAGAAGCTAAATAAATATATAAATTTGTCTGGTTTTCTTGAATAACAGCATACTGTAGTATACCTAGTATAAAGCGCAATTGATTTTTAAAATTTGTATAACCTTCTTATCACTTCTTTCCATGATGTTGCGAGTCTTCTCCTTATCCCTCTCCTTCAGTCGTTCTGCGAAAGCATCTCTCTCCTCCAGGTCTCTCAATCGCTCCTTCTCTTCTCTCTCCCACTCATCCAGGTCAGAGTCCGAGTCACCCTTCTTCTTCATGGGAGACGCGGCCCTGAGAAAGTCACAGAAAATCTTAAGATCTTAGCTAAGAATAATTACTAAGAAAACATAACTACATGTACTTCCTGAAGACGTTTGACTAAAATGCTCATCTGTGCTATCTTATCATTATAGAAAAGACAGTGTTTTCATTGTGTTTTCACTTTTTGTATTGTTATATTACATGTATATGATGCAGCGTTAACTTTCTGCCAAGACTTGACCCAAGTCTTAAGACACACCTGCCATGATCACTCTCACTTTCGCTGCTCTCCTCCCTTCTGGCCCTCAGCTGTTTCCTCTTCTTCTCCTTCCCCTCCTTCTTCCTCTTCTTGGACTTGGACTTGACCTCCACCACATCGTCTTCACTGTCAGACAGGAGTCTGTACGAGGCATTTTTCTTCTGCATGGCGATGGCAGCCTGTTCTGCCAGACGGGACTGGGACACCTTTGCTGTGGTCTTCTTAGGAACCTACAAATGAGATAAACAGGTTTGTTTGTTTGTTTGTTTAGTTATCTTTATTCAGAACTTGTATCTGCTGCAGGGCAATAGTGGCCAGAGTGCTTTGCTATCCGGGACTGAGACACCTTTGGTACGGTCTTCTTAATCTAAAGGACCTAGAAATGAGAGAATGAACACCATCCAGGTAATGAGTAGCCGAGGGTAATGCAATGTAAGCCGGAATCAAGAGTCACCACTGCTAGGTAATGAGATACTGTACACAACAGACACATACATCAGTTAATCAGCAATGAGGCAAACTTTGAAAGGGTAAGCAATGTTTTTTCTATGGCTGGTGCACTGCAATTGTGTGCCATTGCTTGTGTTTATACAAACATAAGCAATAGCCACATGGTCATCCCTAGGCTCTACTCTAGCTAGCCGTACGGTCGTTTACTAAATTACATGCATAATGCCAAGGACTGAATGCTTGAAGTCCCCTTCAAACTGGACACAGACACCTTTATCTGAATTCTACCATCAAGAAACGTTAACTGTCATTACCTTGTTGTAGAGTTCGTGTGCGAATCTGGTGATGGGCTCGTCAATATCAATGGTCCCTGTCTGCCTGATCCTCTCCACAAAGTCAGCGGGGTTGGCAGACTTCTCAGCCAGACCGATTAGGTACTGTCCCACGTACTTATCACTCATGCCCAGGATGTCATACAGCCGGTCATTCACCCACGTCTGCAGTCCTGCCATGGTGGGGTCTGGGGAGGAGGGGACGAATAAATCTGTTTGTTTGTTTGTTTTACTTATCACTCATGCCCAGGATGTCATACAACTGGTCATTCACCCACGTCTGCAGACCAGCCATGGTGGGGACTGGGGAGGAGGACAAGATTTTATACATGTACAAGTGTACACTACACTCTAGTAGTTGTTTCTATACACTAGGCACTGACACTAGGTAAAGCACTTCCTAACATGCTTTCAATTAGTTTGCTAAATATTCTCAAGCTAAAATGACCCAGTTGTTTGTAAGCACTTTACTTTCTGTATGGAAATTTTGTATATGATATTCACTTTACTTTCTGTATGGAAATTTTGTATATGATATCATACATATGAAATTTCATTGGTTTATTTGTAAATTACAGTAATAATTTTATAAGGATATACTACAGCTTGTTCTCCCCCCAAGTTGGTAAACAAATATGGTACCGTGTAGATCCTGTGAAATTATTATTATGATTTGAATATTCAGCAAGAAGGTTACGTTCAATCAACTTTGAATCATATTCATGAATCATATTAAAACAAACCATGATAAAGTGGCATGTGTGCCATCGCCGTGTCAAGAATAAACGTGTAAGAATCGTGTCCAGTGCAAGTGGTAATGATATGTAATGATTCAGCATACTCACCAATATTCTGTGCTCTTGTATGATACAAAAATAAGACCGTATATGGTCTATACGACGCGAAACAGAGCAGAAACTTGAAGAAAGTTTCTCCTGCGTGATTTTATTTTCAGAAAGCCGCCATCTTGGAACGCAATCTCCACGTTCTTCTCGCACAGTCTCGCGAGTGTAGACGAGTCCATATGTGACAAAGGTAAAATATTATAAGCTTGTACCAAGTTGTAGAGACAGAAAAAAGATAAAAACCATTTTGAAAGTTTAAAAACAAGTTATCATAAGGTAAGTAATATTTCTAGATACAAATTGTAAATGTCTATCTTTATATTATGGTATAAAAATGAACAAAATAAAGAGTCTCTGACAATGAATACCCTATTGCCGTAGTGGAATATCTCATTGGTTACAGCGCTCAAAACAAATCGAAAACGTTCAGTTTGCACATTTTGTACTCAGCTGTTTAGTGTTTTTGTCCACGATGGCACAGCAGGGAGCGGCGTTACAGAGTTATAACAACGAGTTAGTGAAATGTGAGTAACTGTGTACTTTCTCCAATCCTGTTATTAATGTGAAAACCGCGGCAAACGGCGAAAGCAAACCTTTAACGTTTCTGAACTGGGGAGGGCGGATTCTATTTTATAAAAATTATTGTAACCCCATGGAGCTTTCATCCTCATAATCATATGTAGAGATATATTTTTATACAGAACAGCTTCTGCATATAGAACCACATATTTATCACTGTCAAATGCTATTAAAAACATAAGTCTAGAAAGTTGATAACAATAAGCCTACGGTACGCATAACGTTATCACCGAAAAAATCAGGATGTACACTCATGATAAATGATGATGATGATATATAGTAGTACATAGTCTAAATATAGATAAATTATTTTGTAACTACATGCATGTGGCTTTTCTTTCACAGTCAGTAAGTTTTACATTTCGATCATCAACAAGTTAAATGATTTATCTGTATTATACAGTGTAAAGGGATAACATTTTACAAAGCCAGTCATTCTTTTTTGCTTCCCCCTCCCCCCTGCAGGTATTGAGGACCTCTGTGCCAAAAGAGACGAGCTTCACCGACAGATCCTGACTGAGGAGGAGGAGAAAACTAAGATCCAGAACGACATCAGGATTCTCACTGAGAGACTCGCAAAGGTCAGACAGATTATTCTGGAGTTTTAAGACACTTCTGAAGATACCTCATAGTTGTTCATAGTTGCAGATTTAAGCTTCTTTGTTGTCTTGTCATCAGACATAGATGCTGTGCAGTTTGACAGATTGTTCTTTTAATATTACACATACAGTATATTTTGTAATTTATTATTCATTTACTGTTTTCTGTGTATTTGAGGAAGAATTTTGGTAAGGCCAATATGGCATTCCAGTTAAAAAAGCTTTAATTAGGTCATTCATTCATGATACATGATTCATTATCTCTAATCCATTGCACTGTCTTATATATACTTTTCAGGTGAATGAAAGCTTGAGTAAGAAAATGGCCACCAGAAATGAGTTTGACAGGACGATAGCAGAGACAGAAGCAGCCTACATGAAGGTGAAAAAACTGTCCACTTATTCTTACCATAAAACCATCAGATTTGTAGTACCAGTAGCTGTTATAACAGTATCCAGCCTTTTATTATGCTGCTTCAGCTGCAAGGTCCAGACTAAGTCAAAAATTACTGTACTGCACTGAAAACATTTCTAGCATTTAAGTCAGAAAAGTTTTACCCTCATTTTATATGGATGCTGGTGATGTGGTTGCCCACATACCTGCAGTACCATGGTTGACCAATAGAGGGCTCTTCCCAGGTTCCTGACTTACCTCCTCAGGCCAGTTCAGGGTCGTGTCAGGACACTGGGGTTGTTCCGGTGGCAATAATCGCTGGCAGGGCTCCAGATCTTTGACCAGTGACTTCATTGTATGTGTGCAAGGTGTGAATGTTTTACTTTAGGCCATGTTGATTTGATTATATGGATGACATCCACGCGCGCATGAATTTTCGGCCGTTTCCAAAAAAAAAAAGTTTTCAACCATACTGTAAATCGTGCAAAACAGTTGCTAAATGAGCAAAAATATACCATAAGTTGCAAGGAAAACATTTAGAAATGATACCAAAGTCGTAGAATGCCAAAATCACAGGAAAAAAGACAAAAATGTAAAGAAATGAATTCGAAGAGTAGATTACTCGCCATAACATATTCTGTGCCATTTGTTCAACCTTCATGACCACGTAGATTTCATGGTGAAAGCAACTTTTTTTTTTTGCAAAACTTTTTTTTTATTCGCACGCGCGCATCAGTTTTGGGGTTCCCAGAGGATGTCATCCATATAATCAAATCAACATGGCCTTAGTAGCTTTACAATAGAGCCTCTGTAGTTGTTGCTGTACATGTACATGTCTGGCAGAGTGTAAAACAGGGCTCAAAATACTTGGTGCAATATATGCCTTCTTGTGCACTCAAAATTGGGGCCTTGTATGTAAGTTTTGACAGGTATACCAATAGACCTTGGTATTTTATAGGGTTAGCTCAGTTCAAGGCACTATTATTTATGAAGCATATTACATTGACATTTAAAAAAAAATGTCAGAAAAATGACAAAACTTTTGTTGTCTAGTGATGTAAAAATTTAGACACCTAACAGATTTAAACTCTGACAGTAATGTTTGTTTCAAAGACTTTTTAAATTATGTAGTGCACTCAAAATATGATCTTTTCTCCTACTAGTCCACTCCTAGATAATAGGTGCCCTGAAAGGGATTTGGAGCCCTGTGAACCGTGGTTGTTAAAATGCAGACCACGTTCATGTATGCCTTCAGCTACAAGCATGACCTCATCATGACTTAATAGACAGGCAAGCTAGTCCTGGCGGATTTTACTGTATACATAACATCACTCCAGGATATCTGTCAGTAACGATACAGTACATGTGTACAGACATGTTTGCTACGTGTACAAAATGTACTAAGACACACATTGTCAATTTAAATCTGGACACGATCTTTAGATGTCTTTGTATTTGTAGGGTTTACACAATTGGAACTGAGGAATGTGGGGAATGAAGGATTGCTTGAAGTGTGTTTTTAGTATTGAATGCCACCTTGAAGGTGATGAATAATACAATAATGCCCGGGCTCACTTAGTGCGATATTTTTAGTCTGTTCACAGTGTCATTGACAATTCTAAATGCTCTGGGGTGGGTTGAGCCACAGTCACGCCAGAGGTTACTGGAGTCCAGGCAACGTTTTACTTTATAAGTGACTTTATCACAGAGTGTTTACAGTTCATGAGTTCACGTCAGAACAACGTGTTACGTTCCAACCCCGGCGCACTGCGCATGGTCGGTAGGCTAGCTCTGGAACGTTTACAGAGAAGTGGTTGGACACAGGACGGTGACTGTGTCATGACAGAAGCCTGGACAGCTTGTTGGCTGTCAGTCTGGTCGTGTTACTTAAATTTTTTACTAGGTACCACACACACAGGAGAGAGATTGTGCAGTGTTGTTTGCGTTCAAGCGAACGTCTGACTTTCAGACAATGTAAACATGGAGGTAGGCATATCTTTGCCCCAGCTTTTAGAAACACCCTTTATTTCAAGGGATATTGACTGAATGTAACTTAATATTTCTGTCTCTCCGGAATAAAAGAGAGTGTACCTGTATTTCTGAAATAAGTGGAAGGGGGGTATGTCCAGTAGTAAGATAGCCTCGCCCCCCCCCCCCCGTTTGCCTATGGGAATGGACCAGTCCTAAGTGTCTGAAGTGCACGTACAAAATCTTAGTTCTCCAGGCAGTTATTGTGTGTTTAGCCCTGCAGAACGAATTATACACTCCTAGTGTATGGTGATAAAAGTAAAAGCTTCTGACATGGTTCCTAAAATAGATTAATGAGTTGACATGTGATCTGTAACTAGGAGTCTGAAAAATTCTGGCCTAGGTTTCAAGTTCAAGCAGATAGAAGGACAAGTGTTCACAAATTCAGAGAACAATGTTGACATTTTGTGCAATTTACAATTTTGATATACAAGCACAGTGCTCATAATAATGTATTTTTTTCTTTTTCCTTTTGTCATGATAAAGCTCTATGGTCAAGCTAAATAAATTGTCATTGTTAATAAATTCTGGGAAGGAAAGTACTTATGGTTGTATGTAATTAAATAATTTGTTCAGAACAGAACTTAAAAGTAAAAATCAAAATCGTTTTTACACAGTATATCCTGCACACGATAATTCTCAACTGTCTGTGCAAGTTTCCTGCAGTTTTATCAAGTTTAGCACATGGCCTTGACTAGATCTTACAGTGCTGCAGGCTGTCATTTGTGTACTTAGCCCTGTAGCACGTACACACTCCCTGTTTCAGGTGATAAAGGCTCTCTTGATTTAGAACGTCAATACTTAACGTGTAGCTCGCAACAAACACTGACGGTGAGGCTTAAGGCTTAACACTCCTGCCAAGACGTTGCTTCACGCCCGTTGGCGATCTTAAAGAATGGTAGCACCCAATTGTCTTTAAGAACTGTCCTAGACTTGACACTTTTGAGACGACAAGAAGAAGTGTTTTCTTACACGCTCCCGGCCGTAACCTGACCCCAGTCTTATGTAATGGTGCAGTAAACCCGAGCTTTGGGCACATATAGGCGTCCGTAGGTGCCCGGATGTGTGCCCGCGACTTTCCTCGGGTTACCCAAAGGCATGATGGGAGTCGCCGGCGTTCATTCCCCTCGCCGTGCATGCTGGGAAGGGTTGTACCCGATTCCAGGCCACGCCGTGCCGTGTGTGTGACCTCAGCGGGTCACCCCGCCCAGACGCTAGTTTGTTCACCCCGGCCGGCCTGGATTCTGGGACAAATGTTGTAATGACTCCTCAAGGTCAAATGTAACTGAGGACAAGGTCGTCTGCCTGGCTCACTGTGCCACGGAGGGTGGTGTGATGTCAGTGTGCTGTTATAGGGTCGGCTTCCCTGATGAGGAATGTCTGGTATTACATAATCCTTAAGTACTTCTTGTCTGTCTATCTTGCTGTGCACTGGGATCTCTCTTACTGTGTCAGTCAATTATGGCTTGCTTTAGTGTGTCTCAGTCTCAGACATGTTTGCATTCGCCTTGAAAATCATGATTTTGGAGTCAAATCATCCTTTTCTTGTTCGATTCTATCACATTTATGCAAGAGATATGCAGTGAATTGAACTGAAGATGTCAGAAATGTTGGCACATGTCCAAATATTCCAGTTAAACACTGATCGCGTGATATAGGGCCATGCCAAACGCGTTTGTTGGTTCTCAGATTTTTGCAAGAAATCAATGAAGCAGCCAGGGGAAAAGAAAAAAAAACAGGCTTTAGCAAAATGTAATATTTATCTTACTAGTGTAGTCGCATTAATCATAACAGTTATGGTACCATAGAAGCCACAAAGTCAACATACAAGCTATAGGCTACTTTAATATCATTCACACAATGAAACATGAAATCCTAGAACAAAGAAATTAATTTGGGGTGGCCTAATCAACCTTTTTTGTCCTGGAATTTTGTCCCTTTTTGCTCCCAGCAGAAACCTGCAGAAAATGAACTATTGATAAAGAACTCCAGATAATAACAGTCAGAGATGATAAAAACCGGTTCCAAATGTTAATTATTCCGCTCAGGGATCAGACATGTCTAGACAGAAATGACATGTTGGATTCCGCAGATACAAAAGAGATAACATGACAGGCACGCAAGTCTTCTGTTGGGGCTTGACAGATACTGGGGGCTCGAAATACATAATGCAAGCTACTGCAGGCAAAAAATTAAACTTTAAAAAGCTATATTTCTGAATTAGGTAGCTGAAGGCAAGGAGGCTATAGTAGAGAAAGTTTTATGTATTTTATTTAAATACAGTTTATTATTATGATCATTGACATTTCATTGTTGTAATTTGTTCTCATAGTACTAGTGGTGGTATGTCAGGTTGTCTGGCACTGCGTCTAGCAAGCAATGTGTATTACCAAAGTTAATGGGGTACTTAGTTTACAGAAGTATTCGAAGGTGGTGTGAAAAACTGAGTGGCGTGAGCGCTATAAATAGCAAGGCTCAAGGTCGGGCCAAGGTCGAGGGGCAGATCGTGCCAAGGTCACATGAGAGGGCATGTAGCCGGTGGGCAGAGGCATTGTGGGAAGGGGCCTTTCACAAGTGGTTCTGTGTTTTCCTAACTTGCGTGAAATTTGGGGGTTGTTTTCTTTTATGTTTAGGCCACACCAATTTAATTTGTTGGTTCTTCTTGAAAAAAAAGAAGCGAAGGGAGAAAAAAACAAACAGATCTAGGCATCCTATTATAGCCCCAAATGCTACGATAAGAGCCATGAAGTCAGCACAATAGGATAGGCTAATATTAAACAATGAATTTTTAATTTTCAATCAAACCACTGCATTGACAGATGGAAAAACTGTAACAGAAAAGTGTGATATACTGTCAAATCTACATACATTAGGTACTGCCTCTACATATTCAACTGGGCAAATTGTGATGACTGAAAAGTCATCTTCGGTACTAGTTACAGTAGTTATGATGACTGGCAGATTGTCTTGTACATTTTTGCACAGCCTTAGTACATGTACATGTATATGTACTTACTAGTACCAGGAATTGTATAGCAGGCCTGAAGAAATATCATGTGTGTTAGGTTGTATGGGAGGCCATATTATATAATAGCGTTAACTGTGTGAGTCAGGGACTTCCAGTATCACATGCACAGTCCCTAGCCATACCTTTTCCGAATCTAATCCAACACTGAAGGTTTCCTAAGAGCTAATGCACGTTTGTCCTGTGATGTTCCAGATCCTGGAGAGTTCTCAGACGCTGCTGAACGTCTTGAAGAGAGAAGCGACGACCCTGAAGGAGCCGACAGCCGCCTCATCCTCACCTCCTCCTCAGAAGGGCACAAAGAAGGACCAGCCTGCTTAACTACCCCCCCCCCTGCTTACCCCCCACTTATTTCCTGCTTAGTCCCTCCCCCCTGCTTACCTCCTCCCCCTGCTTACCTCCTCCCCCTGCTAAACCCCCCTCCTAGTTAGCCCCCTAAATGCTTCATGTTAACATTATGCTGGTTATGCAGAGTAACATGGACTCCATCAGACTAGTAACGATTCGTGCTGAAAAATAGTAATATTTATCCAACAATGGAAAAAAGATGTTAGACTTATATTATACAGTACTAGTAGTGATGATACAAGTTTTCATGTGGCCACAGATTGATATAATGACATGCTACAGCATGTTACTGTATTGTACGTAATTCTACCCATGAATTGTACGTGTAAAAACTGTAAGGCGCTTTGTCATGTTTTTTCATGCCAATATGTGAACATTTCCACAGGCACTAGTTAGTAGGTGTTTGTAAATGGGATAATAAAAGGTATTTTTGAACTGTTCATATTTTGTCATAAAGTTTGCATTCAGTTGGCTGGACTCAGTCATACATTTGTCATATCTTGCACCTGATTTGGATGTACTGTAAAACTTTCATGATGGTCAACACACACAAGGCTTGTGCAATCACCCCACCTGGCAAGGTGGGATGGTAGTGCAGCATCTACAGCAGTAGAATTTCTATTTACTCAGTAACTGGTTGTAAAGAAGGGATTGATAGTGATACATCATCAACTAGAAAAAAAGACAGTCACCAGACGTTTTTCAGGGTTCGAATTCAGTTCTTTTCTGAGACATGATTCTGTACGTGTTTCTCCACACTGGCAACAAACATCTAACAAAAACACAAGCTCCTGTGGGGCGTTCTGTGCAAACAACAACAAGGCCATAACATCAATAACTCTGATCACTTTTTTTTCCACGACAGCCAGCCAACTTTGTCCAAGGAAAGAAAATCAAACGAACTTGAAAGGTAGCATTTGCAAAGCAAATACATAATGTTTACCTTCACATGGTCTAGCCTAGCAAACTACAGGTACTAGCTGCTCTCAGACTGTTTATTCTTAGTACTCATTCATATGCAGTCATATACATGTACTAGTACAAATTTAAGGACATGGCAATCAGCCCCTCCAGCTCTGTCCTGCTACATAATGTAACCCAACACCATTAATAGGGTGTCTGCTACAGCACCAGTTACCATGTTAATACCTAGCAGTTACCAGTAATGGTGGACAAGTGAAAGCTTTTAATGTATAGCTAACAATGCTGTTTCAAGTGAAAAGAGGAGCTTCTCTGAAAAATTAGAGATGGAAAAACTTCCATTTGGCCTCTCAAATTGGAATGTGAAAAGCAGTGGTAACTAGATAAAGCAGTATAGCTAACACAACAAGTTCAAGCAAGGCTAATCACACTTAAATCTTCCACAACTTTGAATTCTCTCCATCCGATACCAACATGATTCAACTTTACATGATCTGACTTCCATGATACAAGTACTGAGCCATGTCTTATGTTTAAGCCCTTTTTTCCCAACATATATCCATTGACATCACGTTGGCAGAATGTACTGCACCTGTATGTACAAAACCTGCAATGTATTGTGCATAGCACTTTTGAATCAGCAGAACATCACATATTTAAATATGACATCTTGTCTGTAGTTGTTAAATTACCGCAATGGGCAAAATTATGGTACAATGTTGACCAAAAATGCAGTGAAAATCCAGGTTCCGTGCAGGCGCAGTGCATTCTGCCAACACTTCCATTCACTAAACTCAAGCAGGACTAACAGTTTCAGGAGGGCAGTGAGCATTTTCCACATCTAACTTCTACATCGAATTTAAGCAACAACAAACATACATAACAGCTCCCCTTTTTATCCTAAATCACACTCTTAGGCCACGCCAATTTAATTTGTTGGTTCTCCGACTTTAAAAAAAGCATACTGTTGTAATGAGTAAGCCTGAGGACAAGGTTTAGGCCTTGGTCTACTCAGTTTATGGAGTGAATACAGACATATTCAAGTTTTACCCTCTGCTTTTATGATGTCTGCTCACTATACTTTTACTTTAAAATGTCTTGACAACCAAGGACATAATTTGGCATGGCCTGAGATGCTTTGAATGCAGCGTTTTGTGTCACAACTATATATTACAGCAAAGTTCACACTATAAACTCTAAAATTTATTTAAAAGCGACGATTCCACTCACAGCAGCCTTCACAGCTCCATATGCACATCTAACTAATTTCACTGTAGATACCTGAACAGACTATAGACCTGATTCATCATTACATTACCTGACATTAGTCATGTTCAAGAGACAATCTGTTCAGATAAAGCTGGGTCATGGTTTCAACTGAGTGTACATGTGCAGTGATGTATATTATGTTAAAGTTGAAAAAGAGATGAGACGAACAGAACATGTCTGGAGATGTATCAAACATGGTCTAGACAAGAACTTGACAAGTGTTCTAGCAAGCCTGAAATGTTTTTTTCATCATCTCAATTTCCAGACAAGACGTGTGCAGTGACAGTCACATTGTTTCATTTATCACATCACCTTTCTTCTGCTTCAAAGCACAGAAAGTTGTTTCTTTGACTTGTCTTGCCTTCTACTTTACCAGCAACAGGTGATGTGCCAGGTAAAACTGCTACATGCAGACGTTTTGGCACTGATAAAATGGCCGATGGAAAAATTCAACAAAAGAAAATGACACCATCAAAACATAACCATGAATCAGGTCTATATAAGGCCAAACCAATTTGATTCTTTGGTTCTCGGATTAATAAAAAGATGTTCAATTGAAATATCAGCATGAAAACAGACTGTGAGAAGTCTTTACCATTGTAGGCAACGGTTTCTGGAAGTTTTCCTCCCAGCTCTTTATTTCATGTTCTCTTGCTAGATTTTCACCTTAAAATGTCCGAGAACCAAGAAAATAAATTGATGTAGCCTAAACGTCACCACCCAGGCACTGGTCAGGCCCCAGTAATGTATGGAATGTACAACATGGTTGTTTTTAAGAGGCCAGCACAATGCCTGGGGAGCTAGGCTAAGATTGACTATTCTAGATAAAGACTGTGAGAGCGCTGAGGGTGGCCCCAACTTTGGCAAGCTCCGAGTTTGGCACAATGACTTTCTTCAGATCAGTCAGCTTGGCCTCAATCACCTACAACAAACAGGGAAATATGACTGTAATATTGCTTCAAAACTGAATGGCTGTACATGATAGCAATTATGACTTTGGACTGGCACAAGAATTTCAAAACAGTTACGCTAGCAACTGGACAGATTTTGAAAACTGTAAGCCATTAAAACAACACTACTTTTATTTAGTCACTGACAAAACGTTCTGACATTCAAAATCTATCCGGTTGCAGTTACAGTTTTCTTGTGTATCTCATTACCTGAATGTCTAACCTTCATCAACAACTTAGACCTAGTTATGGCATTGGACCTGCCCTTGGTGCTGAATTCTGTGTTTTATTCTCTGTTGACAAACCAACCACGAAAAGTGATACTCAGCACAAATTAGCTAGAGAAAACCCACCTCCGTGCTCTTGGGTATCTCCTCCTGAGTTCTGTGGACCAGAGAGCCGTTCACAAACACACAGTCCACAGCTGAGTCCTCAGGGAGACACAGAACCTTGTACTTGTACTCAGCCTTCTCAATGATTTGCTGGGATAGGGTACAAATCAACATGGTGAGAATTAATGTAGAATGTGTCATGTGCATTTATGTGTTCTAGCCTGCCTGAATTTTTTGTTTTGTCAAGTTTGTTTAATGTACTTACGAGCACCTCCCACGCAAGGCTTAACAATGCTAGGGGGGTCTGGGGGCAATTGCTCCCCCAGGAAAATTTTGAAATCTAGCTAGCGATCTTGAACCTCTATTGCATTTTGAGGGACAATTTTGCAGACTAAGCTTAGTTGAATGACATCTCTTTCTAAATATTAACACGCTAATTTTTATCTGTCAAAGGTGACTGATTGGGCCAAATTTTTGTCTGTCATGACTAGTGAGCGGCAAAATTCTGTCAAATGATGGAAAGAACACTTATTCATTCATAAATGTTTTGAGTTGTCCTTACTTCGATGACCCTCTGTGCGTCCTCCCCCTCCCCAGCCGCAATGATGTCAGGTCCTGCCATGGACAGGTAACTCTGCAGGGGGCGGTCTCCCTGGATATACAGGGACGTCACCTAGGCAACCAACAAACAAACAAACAATTAGAGTGTGCACAGGTCCTGCCATGGACAGGTAACTCTGCAGGGGGCGGTTGCCCTGGATGTACAGGGACGTTACCTAGGCAACCAACAAACAAACAAACAAACAATCAGAGTGTGCACAGGTCCTGCCATGGACAGGTAACTCTGCAGGGGGCGGTCACCCTGGATGTACAGGGACGTCACCTAGGCAACCAACAAACAGCCAATCAGACTGCGTTCAGCGTAAACCCAATAATTAGTGGCCATGTTGAACTTATTATTGTAAGAGCAAAATAGAGAAATATTAATATCTATTATATAGATCTGTCACTTGGAATTTGGAAGGACACAATTTGGCATTTTTAATGTTTCAGAGAAATTTCCTCCAACTTCATCCTGCCACTTTCTACATAATGTAATCCAACACTGAAGGGTGTCTGCTACGGCACCAGTTATGATGGTGACAGCCAACAACCTTATTTGTTTGGAACGGAAGAAGATGAAGAAACAGAGCAAAAACCATAATGTTTTCCTTCTGCAAAGATAAACATAATAGAGCTACAGACCTTGATTCAGGACAGCATTATTGTCTGGCTGTCAATACAAATTGTGGCAAGTCAACTGCAATTAGATTCCTTGTCTTCTACAGTTGAAGACCAGTGAAGCTGTAAAAAGAACAGTTTTTCCCCACCTGGAAGTCGGGGAAGACGCGTGCAAGGAGCCTGGCGCCGGCGTCGTTTTTGGGAGCAGGTTTCTCCTTCTTCCTGGTCGTCCTGCGGGTCGGGCTCTGCGGCGCGTTGTTGTTACTCTCCGTCACTCGCACGAAAAACTCTCTGCCTGCATGTAAACACAGGAAAGGAAGGGCATTATATATCTGAATACTGTATCTGTATAGCCACACTTCGGCATAACACACCAGCTGTTACAAATATTCATACTTTCCACAAACTGTCAGAGATATCGATTGGAACATTTTGCCTCATACTGCGGAACCTACGAAGTTCAACGCTGCAGTACTACAACACCTGAGGACGCAGCAATAGTGCATCGCACAGCTCTCCTGCACGCTTTACCCCAATTTAGGGGTGTTGTGTACCCAAACAAGAACAAGAGCTTTGCAGGTATCCGGCACAGCGGCAGCTGGCTACATTACACAGAACGACTTGTTACCTTTGCACATTAACATGTACCTCTAGATCTAAGCAATTTTTGTTTAAAGATAATAGATGTAGTGATGATGATCCTACTGTACTTGGTGGCAGCGAGTCCCACTCTTTGGTTGATAACTTGAAGGTACTTGAAGGCAATTGACATCCACCAGTGTACCAGCTTCTACAGTTAGGTCATGTTGATTTGATTATATGGATGACATCCGCGCGCGCATGAATTTTCGGCCGTTTCCAAAAAAAAAAAGTTTTCAACCATACTGTAAATCGTACAAAACAGTCGCAAAATGAGCAAAAACATACCATAAGTTACAAAAAAAATTAATAAAAACTATACCAATGTCGTAGAATGCCAAAATCAAACGAAAAAAGATGAAATTGTAAAGAAATGAACTTGAAGACTAGATTATTCGCCAAACCATATTCTGTGCCATTTGCTCAACCCTCATGACCACGTAGATTTCATAATGAAAAGAACTTTTTTTTTGCAAAACTTTTTTTTTATTCGCACGCTCGCATCAGTTTTGGGGCTCCTGGAGAATGTCATCCATATAATCAAATCAACATGGCCTTATCTGTCAGTAATCTGTACACAAACGCCACCTTGTGACTTACCCGTGAACAGCACGTCCCTGCCATCCAGTGTGGCCTCGATGTCTCTCAGCTCCGCCACGTTCCCCACACCCAGCTGTGCCTCCAACACTTCCTTCACTGCCTTCAGCTGGACACACAAACAAACAAACAAACAAACATTACTTAGCAAACAAACAGTTAACGTTATAAACCCTACGTTTGCTCTTTCACAACTTACAATGTTTGAATCTTTTTGATCTAATATCCAATGGTTATGTTTGTAAAATGACGTAGGTAATTATTTCTAAATGGTCGCTTTTTGACAGTCACATAAGTATGCTATAAAAAATTCAAGACCCTTTGCGAGCCTATGACTTGTGTCCCAACTATATTTAACATTTGGTCTTACATCCGTAAATAATTTCATCAGGTTGGTGAATGATTGAATAGGAAAGTTCTAATTTCACAACTACTTGAATAACACAAGTGGTTGTGAAAAGAGAACTTCACTATAATTCAATATTTCGTTCTTTTTGCTATTTGCTTTAATTTCTTTTGTATCCTTATTACTTTCCGCCAATTCTAAATTGTTTCTGACTTGATTTATGCAATGAAATGCCATCTGTGCACTACACATTTTGTTAAAAGGGCTGCCGCCATGGTTTATCTTGATATCTTAATTTGTTTTCCCACTTCAAAAACTAAACTTTCACCTCCAAGACCGACTTCAGCATGGGAGCCACCCAACGACAAAAGATTGCTGCAACAAACAAACTCTCATAATCACTCTGAACTTTCCACCATCCCCTACATGCTAGCTATGCCAAAACAAACTACTTAAACTGTAAAACTCACAAGACTGTTCTGAATGAAAATGTTAGTGTAATATAAAAGGGGCCATTATATAGCAAAATTCAGGGCTCAAGCTAAGTGACCGCCTCTGCAAAATGGCCACCTGGCAAATGTGAATTTTTGTGGTGTCTGATAATTTTTCCCCGGCCTGAAACTAGAATCCTGTCTACAGTGACCACCTGTTAGGCCCGAGTAGTCTTTTCTCTCTTTCAACTTACACAGTACCTCCAAGTGCATCACCACCCCAAACCATTAACGAACACCCCCTCACATATCGCCCCCAGCACATATACGTTAATGAAACTCCCCTCCACCCCATGTAGCTGCTGTAAAAGTCTGCCTGTATGAATACAGAGCAGGGCGAAGGCTGGAGGCACTCACAGTAATCACCAGCCTCCCGGCAGCCTGGCTACACTAAACAGCCACCCTACCCACTCAAGGGCGGCCATTTCAGGCTATTTCCAGTACCCTTGTTAAAATGCAGGCTGATTTAGGAGAGGAAAGCTGACAGCGCGGCTTCTGACTATTAGGTCCATTGCTAATGACGGCTGTTGGAGCACAAATTCATCCTGCCTGCACAATTAGGGTAGATTAGAGACTATGGGAGACCTTGGCATTATCAGCAGTAAGACTAGTGTTCTCAACTGTGTTTTGAAGGCAGCTGAAGCAACGCTAATTTGTTTTTTTAAGTTCTCAAGAGAATTGAAGAAAATTGATGAATGAAGAAAATCATGAATGCACGACATCAGGGCTTAAAATTCTGTTATTAAGTTTTTGCTTTCTGCAATATTGGATTCATTGTAGTCTGCAATTTCTTTTAGCCTGCTATGTTAATCCTGGATAGTGAGTGAGTGAGTGAAGTTATATGTCTTGTGTTTAATGACACCTACGAAGTACGAAGTAGAACTAGTTTGGCATTACCCTGAGAAAGGTGACAGGTGGTTGCCAAAATGTCAGAAGGTGATTATGTAAGTTGGTTGTGTGTTAATGACTACAAAAATATAATTTACCAACCTGAAGAAATTATTCACTGGGTCCACATAACATTATATGTCTTGTGACTGTGTCTCAAGAATATCTTTCTCCAGCAGCCTATGTACATGTACATGTAACAATTTGACACCATAGGCTTAACTTCAGAGGGAAGCCGTTAAAAACTCAAACTGCAAAGAAAATATGCAAAATAGCAGTTACTCATTGACAAGCAACTGGATATGATTTTGGAGTTACTCCTTTTTGGCGTATTCTATTACCAGGATGTCTAACCTTCACCGATGCAAATAAAATAAGTTGAGAATTTTTCTCACCTCTTTCCTGCGGTCGGGGTTGGTTGGCCGGGTGATGAACGCTATCCCATCAACCACCACGGCGGTGTCGGCCACGAAGGCGCAGCCCGGACACTCCTCGTCCGCGGGGATGGTGATCACTCGCAATCCCAGGGTTCTCAGCGTGTCCACGTACGTCGTCCACTCATCACGCGCCTGGAAAACATTTAAATTTATTAACTGGGTAGAATTTTTAAAAAAGCAGAATGTTTATGAAAAGCCCTTTCCTTGAAAACACACTGGAGTACAAATACCATTACTTGTATAACATACAATAAAAGAACAATACAATAAAAGGAATAAAGATATCATAAAACAATCAAAATGAGATGTGTTGGTCAACAGTTACAAAAGCTGTCAATGTTGTTCAAAATATCAAATTTTGAAATTAAGGTATCAAAATCGACCACATGTACTGTATGACTTAGTAACAAATAAATCAGGAATTGCTTATGAATATGATATTTTCCAAGCAGACTGGGTATTATTACAACAGTTATGATTACTGATTGGTCAGAAACTTCCTGGCTTGTTCCCAGATTGGTTAGGTACCACACAGTGTCAGGGGTCACTCCAGTACTACAGCAGCATCAAATCAAATTAAGCTTCCTGAAACGAGGCGCTCCAATGTCTGGCCAGTCTGTTAGCTAAAATGATTTGTTCATTGATTTCCACACCATAAATTCCAACAGCCAAGTTGAATATCAGAATTTAGAAACTATGCAGTGCCCTGATCATGAGATGCAAGGATATAGGTCCATATAATTTAAACTCACTCCACATCATAATCATTACGTTTGAAATCTTCCCAGGCTGTGTATTATTGTGAGCCAATGATCATGACTTAAGCAACAATAATAAATTTCAACGATCGTAAGAGTTTACACAGTGCTGTGACAATAGTAATATAGTTTGAAGAGGGCCTGCAAGGGGGGTAGTGATTACGAATTACGCAAAATTTTCGCCGCCTATTACGAATTACGTTAAAGTCTCAGAGCTGATTACGACTTTACGATTTGCGGCTAATGTCCAATTACGAATTACGTTGATTTTTGCGGAGGCTGCCTACGAATTACGAAGTCTAAAACGGCCTGATTACGCCTTACGAAAAAGGACTTGCAGGCCCTCTTTGAAATCTTCAACTGTCTGTGTTTGGAGATTTTGAAGACCAAAGTCAATGGTAATACAGTAAAACAGACTTAAGCCCACATGTGTGTCTGGTCTGTTTAGAGCTCCCATGACTCGTTCATTGATTTCTGTATCCAGCCAACGAGTCCCTCCCAGTTCGTTACCACGTCCGCGCAAAGTTAATTTGGACACCTCGTCTCGCCGGCACGTTTTCATCGACTTCACGCAATTAATTACAGCGACCGTATAGACGGCGTTCGATCGTCTGATTGTCTTCAGACAGAGAGAAAAAATCAATCAAATAATCTTATACTTCCGTCAGGCTGCATGAAGATCACAAGTTTAAGGAGTTACTGTCGTCTTGAGACAACGTTCATCAAAAGTTTCAATCAAGTCTGGAGCTAAAATCACCTCAGAGCTCTGATCAGGCCGCGGCGGGTGAATTTTATGGATGACAATTCAATGTTTCAGCCAGCATCTTGCTGTGAATCTTTGATGGAATATCTTGCGACATTTATGATGGACAAAATTTTGCCCAATCTGTCATCTTTGAGGGACAAAAATCAGCCGGTACCTACTGATTTTATTTCACACTTTGAAGTAACTAGTATCCAGAATAAGGCCCCTCCATATACATGCATCCTTAGTATACATACATTATGTGTAAACCATTCCCAGTGTTGCAGCCTGACCCAGTTTCGCACCATCTGGTGGCCTTGGAAGCCTACATAACGCCCAGGGTTTCTCTGTACGTGTGTGCATGTTTAGAATTGAACAGTTTTATGGACACTCAGTCTGATTGCTATCCCTGACTTCAGCTGTGCCTTATATAATAATTGTGTGGGGAGGACCTGAGAGAACAGGGAGGGGCAATTTGGAAAAATTTGCACATTCACATGATTCAAGATATCAAAGAAGGGCAAATAATTATACATTAATATGTGCCAAGTGAACGGCCAAGCTTGAAAGTTGTCATATTGCACTGACTGGTATTAATTACCATTAATATGTAGCCTTTAATCTATTAGATATATCTAATGAGTTTGTCTGTGATTCAAGTTCAACTGATTGAGTATGATGTTAGACCTATTTAATGTGTCAGATGTTCTTTTTTATCCAATGTGCAGAACATGTAATTTAGCCCCTGGGCTGCCAAACATTGTTTGAATAAAACCCTTTATTAGTTTTCAAAGAATAAATCTATAAGATAACAGACGTCCTAAGGCTTTGATATCAGAACCAGTTTTGGCTACGGTTCTGATAATTTGAATTCTTTCATCTGTTACTTCGATACTGGAAAGGTTAAGTATCTGTGGAATTTTAATGGAGTTCAAATTCTGTTCTTTCACTTTCCTTTTGGCCTGAGGAGCAACTAACGTTAACTTCATGTTCAGTCTCCAAGCAGATATTTTGGTGGCTAAACATATCAAGTGGCTGGTGTAAAAAAAATACTGTATATAGGACTTTCTACATTGTAACATTAACCTTCAGCCTGCTAAAGTAGATTTATGACCTACTTATATTGGTTATGGGGATAAAAGGGGGTTAAAATGATCATGCCACATTCCAAACTTCATATTTTTTAAAAAAATTGTTGGCTGTGCGTAAAGAAATTTAAATATTTATATACCATTAAAAAGGCAATGTTCTTTATTTACATTTACAATTGTAACCACTTGTTAAACCACTTCTTTAACAAGTGATTGTGAATTAAGAACATTGCTATTTAATCATTCACAAAATTTATGGACTTACATACTATTGGTTTAAGTAGTCAACTTCCGCTGCATTCTAACTTAATTTTTCCAAGAACCACCACACTGAATTATCCTGGCCTGTATGTGCTGATAGACCTGAGCCACAACAGGATACTGTGTTTGTGGTTGGGTGGAAGGTCGGTAGCTCTGCTATGTCAATGTTTAAGCTTAAAATGGTGCTAATGTTTACATCTCAACCCAAATGCTGATACTTTACATTAGGCAGAAAAAATACCTTTCCTTTCGGTAATATTTAAGCACACCTATGTTTTTTTATTCAAGCTATATCAAGTTAATGGCATGGTGTACAGTTTGACAAAAAAAGAAAGAATGCTTAAGGCAATGTTATATATAGAGACCAGAATATTCTGAAGTTGAGATGAATGAACAGAGCCCAGGGGCACAAAAATTCACATGCCTTCTTGGTTGAATATAAGATGAATATACGAACGCCGTCCCCTTTTTAGCCTTGGGAAAGAGTAGAAATTCTAATATTCTTCTATAACCTTGAGCAGATTTTTGCCTGCATTACATCAAACGGTGCAAATCGTGTTTAATCTTCTTGGATTAAACTAGATAATTCAATCCTTCCGGATTAAAAAAAATAATCTATTTCAAGTATTTGGAACAATGACAAGAACTGAATGGGCTATCAGAAAGCCCCTGGCCTAAGTGCATGGGAAAGAAGGCCCCAATCTTCCCAATCAACCTCTGTTTACAGACACCTTAAATGTAAGTCTTAGAGTTAGACCGAGTACAGCCAAATCTACCTGCTTTACAAACAAGCCATGTATTTGCCCTAGCTACTTGAATTTCACAAGTACATAAGGACCTTCCAGTACCATTCTGACTCTAAGGCTGAAGCTAAATCCTCCCTCCAAAGCTATTCCCCTTTATATAAACCCTGTAAATTGTGTTTCTGTGCGTGAGTTGTTTTGTGGGGCACCGTTCTGTGGACCTCCTCCATAATTCAAGCAACAAGCAGTCCGGTTTACAGTCCAGGGCTATGTGTGGAAAATTGCACATAACGTTTTATATCGCTGGACACGTCCTACAAGAAAAACCTCGAAACATCCAAACAATTTTACCTTATATGTCCCTGTAAATTGTGTGTGTTTTGTCGGGCATATTTCTGTGGACCTCCTCCATAATTCAAGCAACAGTTTACATTATAATAGGCCTTTAGCTATGTGTGGAAAATTGCATATAACGTTACATCACACGTCTGACAAGAAAAACCTCGAAACATCCAAACAATTTTACCTTATATGTGTGTCTGTTTTGTCTGGCATATTTCTGTGGACCTCCTCCATAATTCAAGCAACAGTTTATATTATAATAGACCTCAGTTATGCGTGGAAAATTGCATATATTACTTGACACGTCCGACGACAGGGAAAAACCAAACATGCACGTAGCGGCTCCGCACGGGGCGTTAGTCAGGTAACGGTACATATAACACACCTGTGAACAGGTGGTGATAAAACACGCAGGTGAGAGATTCACCAGGTAACGGTACCCCGGGGATGGTCATAAAGGACGATATCGGTTACTATGGCAACGGATAACCGTCGGGATACAGTATTATAATCGGCACAGCGGGTGGGTTGTGCGAATGAAAGATTCTGTTGAATTTTCTGCAACATGCAGTTGTCTTTTTTTCTGAGATTTTGCGTCGTTTGCTAAGGTGTGGAAGGGAGCACGTACCTTCTGAAGATCCACCGCTTGCACCGCATCTTCCCTCTCCTCTCCCTCGGCCGGTGGGGCCGCATCGCCCGCCAGGGAGCCGGGGATTTCCCGTACGATTGCCGTGGTGAAGCCGCCGTAGGTTCGGTCCGCCATGTTCGTTCTCGGCTGTAGGTATAAGCGGGCTACTGTGCTGTGGGTTCGGGTTCGGCGTCAGGATCAGGTATCAGCGTCTGTTGTTGGCGGGCGGAGGAGAGAAGAGCTGCCGGGGACGATCCGTTGTGTGTGCGAGGGGAGGGAGGGGGAGGAGGTTAATTAAAAAGCGCCATGCTGTTTCGTAGCAATACACCAAGCATTCCTATCAGGGGTTATGGATTAGCCTTTACTACTAAGGCTTCGGGAAGTGATTGAATAGAGTAGAAATTTTCCAAGTAGACAGATATGATATTGAACATGCCAGGAGAGTTGACTTTGAAAATGTATATTTTACTGTAATCTCCAAGCAGATCACACGATGGTAAGATAGTATCCATTTGTCAGAGGAGTGTCCATTAGCCACTGGTCGCTAATGGACACTCATCTGACCAATGGATACTACCTTGCCACCGTATGATCTGCTTGGAGATTAGTTTTACCAAGGACACCTTGGTTTTACTGCGCCCTCAACTTCGCTTTCGGTGTCTAATGGTCACTTCTTTCAGTGGTCAATGGATACAGCCTTGCAACCGTAGGATCTGCTTGGAGACACCAGGCTAGCTTGGATATTTAATACTCGAAACGCCCCTCCCATATTGATTAAAAAACGACAGTGAAACCAGCGCCGCCTCCCTTTGTCCTCCTCTTCAAACACACAACGGACGGTCCCTTAAGTGATTCTAACGTACCGTAACTGAACAACTACAACAAGTCCAGACTGAATGGCCTAGGGGTCAATGACCCAAGACTATAGCTGGAAAACATCCATGCCAATTCACGACCACAAATACGCATGTATATACATAGCCTCTAAGTAAGTGCCTTCAGGCTGTGTTTTCGTGTTTTGAGATTGCTTTTTCTGTAGTTGCTTTGAAAACGCCATCTTGCTGTCGCTTTTACGTTTTATTGCTATCGTATGCTGATTTTTCACGGTCGCTTTTTTATTGCTGTCGGTTCCAACCTTTGTCGTATTATATTGCTTTTATGAATGTTTTAGGTAGCTGCATTCGGCAAATAGGGCGAATAATTGGCCCGCAGTAAAAATAACACTAGTAGCAACGTAACTGCACAGGCAAATTTAAAATCCCTTTGGTACTCAGCCAAGCTCTAATCTACAAGCAGAATCTCAGGGGCAAATGTAGCAATATTGGCCGTCCGCGCAAATGGTAACTCGGGTGGCCAATTTGATCTAGTCTCTACCAGGCACCGCGGATCGCTGGGAAAATAGTAGAAATTGGCCGAAATAAAGGGATAGTATACCTGAGAAGATCCAGGGCCATAGAAGCTCCAATTTCCGTGGGTCGCAAATTTTAGCTTCTATGGCCCTCGATCTTCTCTGGTATACTATCCCTTTATTTCGGCCAATTTCTACTATTTTCCCAGCGATCCGCGGTGCCTGGTAGAGGCCCCTGCCCCCTAATGAATCTGCTTGGAGATTAGGCCACACCAATTTAATTTGTTGGTTCTCGGATTTTTCCAGAAAAAAATATGAAGCGATAGGGCGAAAAAAAATAATAATAAAAACAGGTCTAGGCGTCCTATTATAGCCCCAAGTGCTACGATAGGAGTGTAGTAAACACAAAAGGCTGGGTGAATATATATACAATGAATATTTAACTTTTAATCAAACCACTGCATTGCTAGATGGAAAAAAAACTGGTGACAACTTAAGTTAAGGATGTTGGGGGCAAAATCTTAGCATTTTTGAGTTGATTCAGGACCAGAATCTTTTTTTTTTTCTTTTTAAAAATCAGAAAAAATAAAATAGGCGAATCCGAGAACCAACAAATCGAATTTGTGTGTCATTAGCCAAACTCCCGTGGCAAATCGGCCCTGTTCGGCTAAATTTATTTTCCAGCCAAAGTCTACTGACGAAAGAGCATGCCGTATAAGGGCGTGATTTGCAGGCACAAGACGTGCAGGTATTTTTCTCTAATCTCCAAACCAGATTCTGGGGGTCAGAGGGAGTCCATTTTGGCCGCATGTAAACTGGTAACTCGGGTGGCCAATTTGAATGAATCTGCTTGGAGATTAATTTTACTCATCTATTTAGGAGCCGGAAGCTCACTACAGGTGGGTTGACGTCATCACCCGTTAAAAGGAACGTGTTGCCACTTGATGAAATGTAGTGGTTTATTTGCGAGGAAAATGACTACTCTCCAAGCAGAGGTTTGTCGGGAAGATTGTGACCTTTCTAATTCAATTCAATTCTTTATTAAGATACCAAACATAGCAGACAAACATGACATACAATCTGGCCTGAATGGCGTTGATATTTACATGATAAAATGTCAAAATGTCATATATTATAATATGCCGTGTTTTTTCTGTCGCTACCCCCACCTACTGAAAAAAAGCGTATATTAGGTCACAATCATCCTTACCAACCTCTATCTGCTTGGAGAGTAGAAAATAACATCACTAGCATGACTAACTGTACTGCCTTCTTAATCAAAGGTCGTTGACAAACAACGAAAACCGGTATTCAGTACCTTTAAGGCATTTGATATTTTACTCGTAATAAGTAACAAGAAATTTATAACTCGTTCGCTGCCATTGGCTGTAATGCCTCAATGCCCTCATCCTTATTTTGACATAATCAAACCAACAGAATCCTTCAAATATACACCTTAATGTTTAGGTTTAATCTGGAGACTCCGAGGCCAATGTGCTCTCCATTCGAATGAAGAATATTCTGAGATAAGAAATCAAGATATACGTAGAACAGATATGCTTTCTTCTTATCTATGCTTCTGATCCATTTTTCAAGAACTGTGTCGTATTCAACCTATGAACAACAGCACGGGTCATTCAACAACTTTCATATTCAAGAGGTTATGAGAACACTTTTCCTTGCTCCTTAATCTCCACACGTTCCGATCTGTAGTTTCAGGACGCCCTTCTCGTGAAGTCCGTTTAGAACATGAAATTCTTCCGTCAGGTTGTGGAAGGGGTTCATCTGGGTGAGCAGAGCGCGCTCTAGCGACTTGTCTTCGAACTGCATGTTCCAGATGACAGGCCGGTCGAAGTAGTGGAAGGCTCGCTCCTGTCCGTTGTAGGTTGGGAAGGGCCAGAAGCCGTACAGAGTCACCTCCTTACACTTCGCGATGGCGATAGCAGTCAACAGCAGACCTGGGTGATGCAATAATGATGTGGAAATGAATTATGAAGCGAGTTTAAATTGTAATTTTAAACCTACTCAAATTTTCGTCTTTGTCGAGTAGTCTTTGTCCAGTCTTTGACAAGGAATGACGCTAGTAGATCCACCGCTTCTGTGACGTCACATTATGCAGATGACACACATGACTCGGTGAGAAGTGGATCATATAGGTTGCAGAAAGTCTGTGGCGCCCCCCGTCTTTGTTGAGGGATGCTTATAATGTTATTCCTTGACCAAGACTGGCCGTACATTCGAATTAAACCTTTCCATCACTGGTCCTTTTCAACACGATCCAGGCTATCCAACTGCTCGAGCAACATTTATTTCGTTGTATACGTACCTGTACTTGGTCGAGGCTCCTGCAACCCCTGGTTTTTCCAAAACTCCGTGACGCCTTCCAGGAATTTGGGATGAGAGAACCTGCTGAGGTCCGCCATCCCAGCTTCACTCAGGACCTCGTGCGCGCGGTAACAGCTCTGGACGTAGCCAGGAAAGCAAAAATGTCACCTGAAATGCTGTTTGCAAATTTCCAGGGTACTGCATGCATGTTGCTCTGACTCCAGCATTTGGTTTGAAGGTGTTGTGGGGCATCGATAAGTAAAACGGGTCTCTTGTAAATTTATATAGAGCCCTTTTCAACACGTAAATTTAAGGGACACTTTTTTTCTCATGCATATATTCGAAATGTAAGTTCAGGTAGGAATGATGAGCGCACTGCGTGAGTGTATGTGATAGGACGTGGTACAAAGCTTAAGGTTGGATGTATATACAACTTGAAGGTAGTTCGTACCTTCACATGCTTGGCAAGACGGTAAGGGTGGGTGTACAGCATAGACAGTCCGTATTCTTTCACGTCGCTAATGAACTTCTCCTTGTACGTGCTATTCTTAAAGTTCTGATAGCTGCGGGAAAAGTAACGTCAAAAGTAAACGACTCACGAACAGATGGAAAATGTGTTGCTTAGATTGAACATTCACAGCAGGTATACGTATAGATATGCCCTGAGGTAGCCGTGGACGACTCTGGTACAGCTTTTTGCATGATAATGCCGGTGACTGGCATTATCATGCAAAAAGGTGTACCAGAGTCGTCCACGGCTAGCCCTGAGGTAGTTCGTAATTGGCCTTAAAAAGTAACAACTTTTTTTCTTCAATAAAGCTCCTTTCATAAAAGTTTTCTTGACTCTTCAAGTTTACACTTACAGTGTATGGAAAAGTGACGGGTTGACACTGAGGAAGTCCGTCTTCTTCCCGACATCCTTTGCGTACTCTCCACCAACCGGGGGAAAGTTACATCTGTGGCGGGAGATTTAAAAAAGAAAGAAGCTCGTATAAAACCACCAAATTCGTCTCATCAGTATAGTTGTTGACTTTGTGTCAAAGGGATGTGTAGAAATCTTGGTAATTTACAAACTGAAAGTAACTAGCTTTCCCAGAAACTTTAAGGGCACCATAAGATTTTACCTGATGACGTAATCAGATGAGTCTATCTGTCGCCCACAGCCGCTGTCAATCAAACTTCCCGCGTTGCCCACCACACTGCATGCCGGGTACTGGGCTTTGTGTTCAAAAGTACCCTGCAAGCCATAAAGGATATTCAACACTTTCCTTCTTTAGTAAATTACGGTCCAGGTTCTTGATCTAACTTATGGATACGGATAACGATTGGCAGTATGAGGACTAGAACATTTACTTTGCACCAAAATGCAAGTTAGTTGTCAATTCTCTAAGCACGCATGTTCAGTGTCCAACAGGCAAGGTACATGTACACTGGTACTATCCAATTCCTAACCTTACTGATTTGCCATCACGTTTTTAGCGATGGCCATTTGGACAGTGCCTTGAATCACGACTATCTTGCGGATTGGAAGCTCTGGTGGAGATGACAAGTGTTTGGGGAGAGCCACACCCTACGCACGTTAAAGAACCCACCACACTTATCGAAAAGAGTAGGGGACCTTCCCGGCGTGAGCTCGAGTGCATGGTTAAAAAGTGACAGTCCGGTCTTACGCAGCTTGTACTTACATGTACAAAACTGATGTGTTACGCCTAAAGTCGGTTTACCGGTTATGAGAAACAAACAAAGACAGTTTCACGCTTATACCAGCGGCAGGCTGTCGTAGATCGCCGGCGGGATGTCTGCCGTCTGGACGCCCTTCCCCCTCCTCCCGCCGCCCGTCAGCCGCACGGACCGGTCCGGGATGTTACTCTTAGTCACGTACATCTTCTTCAGGGCGCCGGACGTAAGGATGATTTTGTACCTTTATTTGAGCAGGATAAAAAGAAAAGAAAAGAAAAGAAAAGAAAAGGGAAAACAAACAAAGACAGTTTCACGCTTATACCGGTCCGGGATGTTACTCTTCGTCACGTACATCTTCTTCAGGGCGCCGGACGTCGCGATGATTTTGAACCTTTATTTGAGCAGGATAAAAAGAAAAGAAAAGAAAAGAAAAGAAAGGGATGATTTTACCTGCACCTTTTTTATTTATTTCTGCTGTCTATATTATGCCAGGATGGCTCACTCTGTGATATATTAGCACTACATTACAGTGGGGGCCCCGGACAACACATGACGCATATAGAACAACACAAAACTTTTCAGACATATATTCATAGTCCATATTCCGGTCAGTTGAGGTCAGTGTCCTGTTAACGGAGGTCATGTTCCATAAAGTCACGTGACCTAAGTGATGGGTCATTTATCTTGAAGATGTTCATTATGAACTTTAAACGAACAGGTCAGATTCCAATCAAAGAATCGAAGGCGTCAGTGCCATGAATCAGTAAAATGAGAAAGATGTACAAATTTCATACCGAAAATCATCTATTTTCTCGACATCGAACCCTGGGAAGGAATTACGGGGAAACTCTTCCGGGTCACGCCCTTGACCTCTCTCCTGTCCGCCATGTTGTTCCTGTTCTGTGGAGGCGTGGTCAGGCGTACCGACGGGTGTGTCGTCACTGTGGTCACTTTTCTGTGCGCGTGCGTCTCGATTCAACAGATCGTCTATGTTCATCCTTAGATAGAATAAACATGTCAAAAAATCTTTATCTATTTCATATAACACCAATAAAAAGTTTTTTAGCAAGCCGTGTGGTTCTTGTTATTTTTGTCAGGTTCTAATATAGTCTAGTCTTGTCATTGTAAGCTCTGCTCTTGTGCTTTGCGCTCCCCAAATTTTCGTTAACTATTATATTATTCCTACCGATGTCTATAAAAAGTTAATACATCTCGAGCTCGAAGGTTTTATGCATCACTAGTACTCTGTCGAACTTTTCTCATTTCTGTGATGCTGTGAAGTTTTGACCTGTGTTGACTGCGGAACCCACGAAGTTCAACGCTGCAGTACTACAACACCTGAGGACGCAGCATTAACGCATCGCACAGCTCCCCTGCACGCTATAGGGTGTTGTGCAGAACCCGAACAAGATCAAGAAGATCAAGATCAAGACCTCACCTGTCCAGTGTAAGCAGGACCAGACTGGACATGATGCCGCCAGCCATCAGCAGGGCTCTGCGTGACACGAACGTCATCCTGACGTCACACAGCCTGGCAGGGTCCTCAAGCTAACGTACACAAGTTAAAGTGTGACCGTCAGACCACCAAGGAGGCTTAAAATAATTTTAAACATCGCTGGTCAGACGAAGTCAACCACTGCCACATAAACAACAACATCAACAAGATATCATCACCCTGTCAGGAATTCGAGATCTCACTTAGAAGAACAACAACAAATAGGAAGCAAATTGACAACTGACATTAAGTCTTCAATACGTCCAAGGACTCATCGCTCACCAGCTATGAAAATAAGAATATAGAAGTGTGTTCTTAGTTCCATGTCTGGCATTTCCTACGTTTACAAGTAATGCGTCACGTAGATTATACATGAAGAAATGATCTTCCGTCTTGTTAATGCAATACCACTCTTACATTAGTTAAGCATTTAGGGTTGAAATCTTATTTATCATATGAGTATGCTAGTTTGAAACGTACGTCTCACCTTGCCTGGTATGGACGGCAGAGCAGGATTTCTTTCGCTGACGTTTTTCACTGGAACTCCAAACTCCCTACATCATCACCTTGCCCTGGACGCTACACCCTTTTGTATGCTAATATAACAGGTGTGTGTGTGTGTAAGGGTTCGTATGGGGGATACCGGCGATGTTTGACGGTAAATTTAGTAGGGGCGCGCGGAAACGCTTAATGGTAAATGCAGGAGGTAAAGGTCGGCAATGCCGCTAGACGGTAAATCAACTTTTTCGTATTTGCGAAAAGTTTTGGGAACGATTTTATTGGTTTGTTCCCTGTAATGTAAGTTTTCATTTTTTTATGTAGTCGGAGTTCAAGTTGTATTTATTTATTCTTTTTATAAATCATTTTCAGACCAATACCCTATAATTTGGGCCGGAGCCCTGGTATTGACCCAAATGACCTGAAATTTGGTAAGGGAGGTACCTTGCACATATGCGGCCCCAAAAGTTCATTATGCTTTTCGTATATATTATATATCACTTTAAAATTGTGTGTAAAGTAGGTATTTTCCTACGTTCAGACAAAAACAATACATTTTGTTAACTTTTCGTCTACGCTAACAGCCCGGCCGGGCCCCGGTTTGGAAACGCGTCCTTTATTTACAAATCCATGACCTTTACACCTGACCTACAAAACTAGCCAAGATGGCGGCGGCGTTCGGGCGGTACCATACGGCAGTGGTGCGGGGCATTCCGGACTCGGTACGGTACGACGCACTGATCCAGGCCGAGCAGAGGGACTATGTGGACGTGGAGAAGGCTCGCCAGGAACACGCAGCGTACGTGCAGGCCCTGCGAGACTTGGGGCTGAAGATAGTCGAGCTCCCAGGCGCCGAGGACCTGCCCGACTGCCCGTTCGTGGAAGACTGCGCCGTGGTGTGTAATGGTACCGCACTGGTGACCCGGCCTGGACACTCCAGTAGGCGGGGAGAGGTGAGTGTATGGTGTACAAACTTGTAGCCTGGGTACCAGACTGTTCGCAGGCCTGCATAGGCTAGCTCCTCGCCTCTTAGGTCTAGCCAGACTCACTATACAGTCTAGTAGCCTCCTTGGCGTCAAAGCTAGCCTATAGTGGCTTAAAAAGTATTCAATTAACTCGAGGAGAATACCTGAAATTACAGAATAAATAGACATAGGAAACCCAGGTGCTCTCACAGGTACTGTTTGAACTTTCACAGTACACTGAACTATCAACCACAACCAAATGACCAAATGGAACGAGCCGGGATAAGAACTCTTGACCTTTGACCTAAATCCAGAAATGGGGCAATGACCTACAGCACGCCGCACAGGCTAATGAAAATGCTTTGGTCGTCTTCTGTCTTTATATGATATATAATGGGTAATGAGATCCAGACCGGAGTCTTAATTTAAAGATTTGACGCAAGTCAAAACATGTTTTGTTTTTGCTAGCATCTATGGGTGCCGCCATGATTGTCCGCCATGTTGGTGGGTTAATAGGGTGGAAGAAGAGGGATGGGCTCCACCTTCCAATAAATAACGTGCCCTACACACAGTGGATCAACAACCCGCTGCTCTCATGACCTCAAAAAGGCTATGAGACAACCTTTATCCTTTTCATTTCATAGGTTGCAATTTCAATAAAATGAATAGAAGAATAAATAAATAAAAATGAATATATCCCAGGTACATGCCGTGAAGAAGGTTCTAGAAGAAGACCTCGGGCTGGAGGTGGTGCATATGGTGGAGGACGAGGCCACTATGGATGGAGGGGACGTCCTTTTCACGGGTAAACTCAACCTAACGTTAGCAAACGTTCTCGTTCAGGCTTCTGCTTCATACTATAATCATAGGACAGTTTTATGACAGCAAATAAGGGGCATTCCTAATTGGAGTGTCCTGCATGCATGTTAAACTCGACGGCTGGTCATAGGCCTGTCATAGGCCATACAGCCGCCATAGCCTCAATAAAAGTGACAGATGGCACCATAACGACGGCTTGTTAGCCTGGTACCCTAAATTATTTTAGTTGCCGAGTCCTGTAAATTCGTCCGTTTCCGTAGCGCGAAAAAGACTGGGATACCAGGCTAGTAACTCTTGGGCATGTCGAAAGTACTTTGGAAAGGACTGAAATGTCTTCATTTATCCTCTTTCAATGCCTCAAGGAAAGGAATTCTTCGTCGGCCTGAGCAACCGGACCAACGAGGCGGGCGCGCGCATCCTGGCGGAGACCTTCCCCGACTACAGTGTCACTACCGTGCCGATCGCTAGGGGGCTCCACCTGAAGTGCTTCTGCACCATGGCTGCGCCTGACGTCATGGCGGTGGGGGAGGGGCCCGAGGCGCAGAGGGCGTGGCAGGTTTGTGTCCACGAGACCTAAGGACATAATGTCCATGACAAAACTTAGTCTCCGCCAGACTTCTTTTGCGGGGTGAATAAATCGTAGAAATCAGCCTAAAAAGGGTATTAATTGGCCAGAGAAGGTAGCCGACAAGAGAAGCTTCATTTCCCCGCCGGCTACCTTCTCTGGCCAATTAATACCCTTTTTAGGCCGATTTCTACGATTTATTCACCCCGCAAAAGAAGTCTGGTGGAGACTAGACAAGACTAGCAATGCGCGTTTAAAACGGTACAACACAGGCAAAGAGGGAGTCAGCCACCGTAGGGTTCACACGGCGGTCGGTTGCTAGGGTATTATTTCTAGTTTCTAGACGCGTTCGGCAGAGTATCAGGTTACAATACGCAGGTGACCCCAAATAGAACACGCGTTCGGTTCGAATTATTAGTTCGGGTTCTTAAAATTGTACGAAGAAGGTACTAGTAAGGACTTATGATGTGCATTCTGTGATTTTTTTAAATTTATTTATTTTGGGTAAACACAGGAGATCCGGGCACGTGGCGACCACAAGTACGCCGTCCTAAATATCCCGGATGACGGGGCAGCCAACTGTATGTTCGTGAACGGGACCATCATGCACTGCGCGGCGGACGAGTTTCCCAAGAGCGCGAAGGTGAGGCTTATAGCCTTCCTACGGTGTTCTGGGTAGTGAGATGTGGCAAAAAATTGATTCATTTATCTGGCCAGGATAGTGAGTAATTGCAAAAGTAGCATCTTGCCTTGGTAGCCAAACTCCCCTTACCAGTTATTGCCTCTACTATTTTTCTACTCAGGTGGAGACCAAGATTTTCCAAGTTGCCAGGTCATGATTTTAAAATGTCACCAAAACACACGCAAAACACTGAGACTGAGCCGGATCTGTACATGCATCCGTGCTTAATTATGTTTACCAAAGGAAAACGTATTGTTTTTGCTCCGTCTCTTCCTCTTCTTCTTCTCCAAACAGTGACCTATGACCTGACCAATGACATGATTTGTTGATGGCTGTCACCATGGTGACTGGTGTTGGGTTACATAATGTTGCAATTTCATGGTCTGCTCTGCTCCTCTGCTCCTGTCACCATATACATGTACATTTTGTACTAGTAGTACATGTATGTGAATGTGTTTGAGTAAGAATTAACAGAGCAGACCATGTCCGAAGGTAAACATTATGCATTTGCTTTGCAAATGTTACTTCTCTAGTTTGAAGATTATATTTCTTTAACCGCCCGTCCGTTTTGTGTTTGCAGACCTTCACGTCGGCTCGGCTGGAGTACCCCCGTGTGCAGGTGCCCAACAAGGAGCTGGCCAAAGTGGACGGATCTCTAACCTGCCTCTCACTGCTCATCTAGAGACGGGCGCTACTCTAGGAGCGAAAAAAAATAAACAAAAAAACAAACAAACAAACAAACAAACACTGAGGCCGCGCGCGTATCACTAGCTCTCTTATGCTGAGGTCACATTTGCAAACCGGGGCCCGGCCGGGCTGTATCGATTAACGAAAAATCAACAGTTTTCATCAAGAATATACGAAAATAGTTCCATTATTTTTTTTTTTCGACTTTTTTTGTGCTTTTGTTGTCTTTTATACCATATTTTTCGTTCCATAAGACTGCCCGGCCGGGCCCCGGTTCTCAGCAATACGATTACGAGCGCGTAAGTTCTACGTGCGCGGCCCAGTGTGTTACGTTTGATATTGAGTGTATTTGGATCCACAATTAGCACAGATAGTTGCTATTCTTCCTTAATACAGCACTACATGACACACAGGAAAATAAATATAGATATGCTGACAACAATAAAGAAGTAATGTAAGGAATAACTTGTCCATATACAAGAAATCATGATTATTTTTTACATTTTTCATTTCTTGTACCATTCGCTTGGTGTAATTAACGCACAAATTAATCTGTTAATCTTTCCAATTGTTTTGTTGCAACTTAAATGAAAAGATGAATAAGGATCAGCGAGTTGACGAATCGTTTTTAATAAAAAGTTTTTTTCAGACGCTTGGTTGTCATTCTTGTCGTTCTTAAAGAGGGCTGCCGACTGCGGTAACTGTCTTTAGTTGGCTCTGTGTACTTCTGTTGGCTGTCATTGCAGGCAATAAGGAAAACAAATGTGACAGTAGTGACTTTTAAACAATGTTATGTTTATGTCAGGGTAGCTGGAGGCTCGGCCGAGTCTATAGATCTATCGGTATACCGCAAATAGCGGAGAGGATGTAGGACTCGGGAGCTATGATAGGTTTGGTAACCAGGCTATTTTTTTATTACAACATTCAATCAATGACAAGACATCGTGACGGCAAACTCATGTTTTCAATTTTTTTAATGCCCCCACCAACGCAGAAGACAATCCATAAAACATAGAACAAGAAAAGCACAAACTATTTTAAACCGAAGCTAGGTACTTGGGTAGGATTCGAACTCGGGACCTCCTGGTCCTGAGCCACTGACACGCTACCGTTTAATACGCCACACGACCCACATATTTCTTTTCAGTTTCTTTTTTCTTCTTCTTGAAGTTCTTCTCTTTCTAACTTGGACACAGTTGTTGTCTTGTCTTCTTGAATACCTGCTCGCTGATGTAGCCGTCACGGTAAAAGTGACTCAAGGTTTCCATTTTCTCACACCTCTTCAACAGTGCACAATAAATGCAGTTCGGAGTTACCATACCCTCCAATGTCCCCACTGTGATAGTTTTGCCCTTAAGCTTTCTATACTTAGGGGGAAGTTTCAGAGATTCTCCTACTCGTTCGGCCTGAATAGCCCTAATGCAGGCAAAACTTCTTCTCAGTAACAAGCAAAGATCGCCGTCTACTGTAAACCCAGGACTCCATCTTGTACTGTTGACAAATAAAGGTGGTTTGTGAAAAGAGCATTGGCTCCGGCAATGTTCAGCAATCATCTTATTCAAATTTTTAAAGTATTCGACTTCTCCCCAATAGTCGTTGCCGCTTGAGTTTATTCTTCTCCAGAATGATTTGTTGAAGTGGTCGTAAAGCGCGTAGTCCACGTAGCTCCACTCCCTGTGAGCTTGTTGGAGGTCGGGTGGGAGTTGCATCTCCTCGTGACGGTGGTTTCGGACGTTCGTACGTTTAAAGTAGACGATGTCCTGTAATACGTCGATGAAGGTTAGACATCCAGGTAATACGATACGCCAAAAAGTAGTTACTCAAGCAACTGGATATGATTTTGAAAACGTCAGACGTTTCAGCTAGTATCCACTAGCTTTCGTCTAGCTATCCATTATTTTATCCACTAGCTTTCGTCAGTCACTGACGAAAGCTAGTGGATACTAGCTGAAACGTCTGACGTTTTCAAAATCATATCCAGTTGCTTGAGTAACTACTTTTTGGTGCGATGTCCTGTAATGTCCAGCACATCAAGCGCTTCAGTAGAACTAGAGACTCGTCAAAGTATTCTGTTATCATCACCAAGTCAAAGTCTTCGTCAATCGTCCTCACGAACGTTTGGGTGACCTTCTCTCTGCTGACAGGATCTGAACCCAACGTTACTTTTGTATTGTTCTGAGGAGAAAATCCCAGGTCGACAGAGATTGAATTTTGGGTGAGACAAACCGGTAAATGTATACCGTGCCCACAACTATGGTCGTATTTCGCCGGGTTGGCCAAAAACGTTGCGATAGGATCTTTAATTTTTGACAGCCCAAACCGATGACCGTATCCATAGAAATTCCAGGATGATTTTAGGTGATTTAACGGTTTTCTAAGAGGATCTTTAATTTTTGACAGCCCAAACCGACGACTGTATCCATAGAAATTCCAGGCTGATTTTAGGTGATCGAACGGTTTTCTAATGATGGTGACATATGCTGTGTCCTTGGGCATTATTTGCGGAAAACGTGTTCTGTTATATACAGTGTGGTGGAGAAACATGTCGAAACTTTGGTTGGGAGGGTGAGGCATGTAATGTTGAGGGTCTAATCTGCCCGGATACATATTGCTTGGAATAGACCACGGCTTTGGAATGACGACATTCAGCCTTTTGGTGTATGCATAACGGCTAAGTATGCAAAAGTCGTCCCTCCTACTTTATGGTTCTTGGGGAAGGCCAGACGTTTTCTCTCCCTTCCTCCCTCGCACTCAAGCCAAGGCGGCAGCGCCCCCTGGCGGGGTGCAGGGGGTTTAAATCGAACTGGCGGAAGGGGGTTCTTGTAATTTATCCTCAAATTCGTGGTATCCAAGTTCAGAGGCCTGAAAATAAGACAAGAAATAGGAGATTTCAGACTTCCAAGAAATGTTTGGGGTTTTCTCGGATAGAGCGTCGAAGTTTAATGCATCCATGCAATTCCAGGGCGGCAAAAAACCCTAAACTAAACATATTCTAGATGGGGAAAACTGTACGTATGATATTGACGTTTATTGAAATTTCTACATCTTCTTCAGCGTCACTAATGAATTAGCAGAACTATTCAACACAGCAAGTAAATTATATGGATGACAACCTCTGCAGACTCCAAATCTAATGCGATAGAACGTCATTTTGGATACTAAATTATGGGTTTAATTGCACATGAAAATGTCCAGCTTTTGGCCGCTATGCATGGCCTTTGGATGTTGTATGTTGCAATGTGGCAAAGTTTCAAGAGTTTAAAAGCCTTACCTGGTGTTAACGTTGCTAGCAAAAAATCCCAACCCGGCCAAGACGAAGAAGAAGCAGAAATACACGAAGCGTTGTCCCATTGCTGTGCCGTCTGATTTCTATGGCCTCTGGGCGTTGTATCTTGCATCAAAATGTCAAATCGCTATCGCTCCGTCGGCACGCCAACTCAGCGATATGTTGTGCAGTCCACAGTGCCAGCTAGACGTCATCTTCCGCAGACCAAGGACATTCCTTGCTCAGACATCCAGACTTTGTCAAGTGGATGCATTGCCCCTCATGTTGACGGCTATGCTTCAGACTGTCCCGCCATAGAATGACGTTTACAAACCCGTTTGTTCACTATTGAACTAGTACTAATGCTCCTGTGGTTATGACATTTAAAAACTCAAACGTGAAGTCAAACGTGAAGTCAGTGAACCCCAAAACTGATGCAAGCGTGCGAATAAAAAAAAAGTTTGACCCCCAAAAAAGTTTCCTTCATTGTGAAATCTACGTGTCATAAAGGTTGAACAAATGACTAAACACACAGTATGCCTGTTTAGTTATAATATAATATAGTTTAAGTTATATGCCTGATAGGTTAGGATCAGGCAGGGCTCTGGATAGTCTCCGCGATCGTACTATAGACTTGCCATGCATGGCTCATGCCCCAGGCACCGTTCTGGATGCGTGTGGGCTATCCAGAACCTTGCCTTAGCATAGTTCTGGGTATAGCGCGCTTCTGTCTAAAACAGACCGACTACAATCTTGTGTGAACTAGGCCCAGATGTCGGGACCAGTCTCTCTCTCTCTCACGCCCTCCCGCCTGCCTCCTGCATTCCGCTATTATGAGCGACGGCCAAGGTCGTAACCTCTGACCTCCAGGTGGCAATCCCCATCGCTCAAGTCTAGAATGGGACACCGGCTACACAGTAGCGCGTTAGGCGCTGTAATTGGTAGGATTTGCGGGCGAAATGGCTGGATCAGAAAACGTAGTTAGAAGCACGGAACAGAACCCATATCAGAAGGGCATTACCTCAGCTGAGGCAATGAATAAAGCCTATGGGATGCGATAGCCTCTACCAGGCTTCAGAAGTGGCTGGAAACAGTAGACAAATGACAGACAGTTAACAATGCCAGGAGAGTTGGTCCGCCAAAGCAGTACAGCTCGCCGCTTCCGCAATTTCTACTCTGTTCAGTCGCCTCTGAAGCCTGGTAGAGTCTAGGGGCGCCGCAAGTGTTCTTTTAATTCCACGTTTCCAAAAATGCGCGATGAATGGAATAACCGCTCCCAAAACTGCACATCTATGCATGCATCTAGTGGTTTTAAAAATAAAGCAACGTATGAGCCAGACACACTCGCATTGTACGTATCATATAGTATACATGCTGTTAAAATTTACTAAGTTTATAAAGCTATCTATCAGAAAAAAAGCGGATATAGTCCCAACATCTGCTTGGAGAGTCAGTAACGGTATAACCTCCAATACCGCCCAGCCCCTTTGTTCTCGCCGCCGCCACTTTCACTTTCCGGGGATCCCCCATAGACACCCTCCAGTCCAGGTTTCACTCTCACTTTTCAAGATGGCGGACTGGTGGTACGGACAGTACACCTCAGCGCTGGTGTGCCGCGTTCCCGAGTCCACGGCGTCTCAGCCGACGACGACGTCCTCCTCCGGCGGTAACAACGGGTCCAAGGAGCACGTGAACGTGGAGCAGGCCCGCGGCGAGTGGGAGAAGTTTGCCGGGGCGCTGCGGCGGCTCGGGGCGGGCGTACTGGAGCTGGCGCCCGAGGAGGAGTGTCCGCAGGGCCCGTTCGTGGCGGACTGCGCCGTAGTGTGCGAGGGCACGGCCCTGGTGACACGACCCGGGGGCGACAGGAGGAAAGAGGTGAGGGATTCTTCTCCTAAAGTCTTCAAAACACTACTAATCTCTAAGCAGATGTTTTGTTGGCTGCAAGACAGTATCAATTTCGGCAGGGCAGAAGCCACAAATGAGTACGCCACCGAAAAAAAGGTACAGGTACCAGTACTGGAAAGATAGCCAGATATAACACGTAAAAATATTATACGCCACAACCTCTGCTTGGAGAGTATTTACTCTAAATCCTTGAAAAACGCCTCCTAAAACATGCATTATATCACGATAAATGGATGTATGATATGCCAATTTTGAGTGTATTTGTTTGGTGACAGTTGGACAATACGTAACGCGAAGCCCAGACGTGCATTAGTGTGTGTGTGTGTACCCCAGACGGACTGTTATACAGACAGTGTTACGGTTATACTGTAGAACCGTTAGCGGCCAATGTCAGCCACCCCCCACCACACACACATAGCAAACATACTTGTTGGTACAGCAGTAAGGAGACATGGTAGCCAGCTGCCTGTTGTTATGGTTATTACACATGACTGCTTTCATGAGCTGTGTACATGTAGATATGTGTATTACTACTACTACTAAATAATGTCTGGTGGGTGTCTTTATATGTGGGACATGTTCTATAGGACCCTGTTAGTACAAATGTATTATGGGGGAGGGGGGGGTGACCACCTGTAGGGGGTAGACACCTGTAGGAAGGGAATGAGGGGGGGGGGCTGACCAAAATGAAAATGATTTATATTATTGTGCTAGAAACAGAAAATTGTAAATATTAGGACAAAATCATCTTTATCTTTGGTTCGTCTGTGTTTGTAAAATGTTGTAACAATGTAATTTAACTATATTTGTTTCCCACTTGAACAAAGTTGGACCTACGACTTCAATATTATATACACCACGAGTCATTTCATTTCTCATTGATATGAAATAAGATCTATTTAATTTAAAAGGAATATACTGAATAGTTGAATCTGATATTGCAACCATATTGCCCATCCATGCATTTAGGTGTATTTTCTATTTTAATAACATTTCTATTAACTAAATGAAGACTGTCATTTTGATAATATTTCATGTTGTCTGTTAGGTATGGTATGAAATAACTCCCAATCATCATGCTGACATGGAATAACTTACAAATAAAAAGGACTTGGAAAAAGTTAACATTTTTTAATACACAGAGAAAGAAGCAAGATAATTTTAGCAAATCGATCCATGCACAATCTGGTGAGCAGTTATTCTCTGCTGACAAGGAATAATAAGAATAAAAAGGCATCGGAAAAGAGCAGCCTCGACAGTTAAGTTTCCCCTCCGCCATAACGACATTAATTATTAACGGCAGTCGTGCCGTGGTCCCAGCCAGCGTCTGCCTGTTCCCCAACGCTAACCGAGTCAGAACCATGACATCACTGCTCCCAGTCAGGGGGGAACGTACGGCTAACAGTAACACAATTATGACAGGCTTGCCTGGCAGTAATCTTCCAACAGATCTTTTGGTGGCTGCAAAGGCAGTATCATATCAAATTGACCAGGCAGCCCAGGCTGTGTCCATTTTCCAGGCAGTTACCATTTGCCTCCAGAAGCATAAGTAAGAGTACAACAAAATACCAGTATAATTTACTATAAATAAAGAAAACCCCATAAAAATGCTTAAAAATTGCATAAAAAATAGTCCAAAGCCTAAACCTCTGCTTGGAGAGTAGGGTGGGCCGGCTAACACAATTATGACGAGGTTATCTGGCCGCTGTTTTTGTACAGTAGCAGTATTACAGTATTAGGAGGATAATTAGCTGATAAGGCCATAACAACATAATACTAGTATTTCCTGGGTTCTATGACACAGGCCATGTTTTGTTATTCAGGTAGCCATATGCATGGGACTGACTAGATTTAACAACAATAACGTTTTAATGGAATAAAACAGTCCCCGTAGACTCTGCAGTTCAAGCTGATCTTCAAGTTCAGCAAATTTTCTTGAACGCCAAGAACAGACAAATGAAATTGGTGTGGCATTAGACTGGCACTCACAAAATTCTGATGAATCATAAAAAGTGTCGCAGTTTCTCCTGCTGCAGCAGAATTAGGAGGATAATTGGGGTTTACTGCGTGAGGAGGGGCTGTGTTATCAGCGCAGGATCACCCCAGGCCAGACAAATTTAATTTGTTGGTTCAAGGCATCCAATGCAATCTCAGGGTGGCAAAACCAAAAAATATTCTGGATGAGGAAATCAGATATTGACATCTACTGCCATATCTTAGCACATATTTGACATCATTTCATATTTGAAGCATTTGACATAACATCTGTGTCCATGATATCAATCACCAGGGTCCATAATATGGCCACCTTGAGAAATATGAGCTTAAAGATATTTTTACTGCAACATACTTTTGGTATGCACTCCTTCACACATCAAATGTACATGAGTAGGGTATGTTGCAGTAAAAATACACTATTTCTCAAGGTGGCGATATTATGGACCCTGGTGATATTATGGACACAGATGTTAGCCCAAAAAGACAATATCATACAGATTTCCCAATCCAGAATGTTTTTTTTTTGTTTTGCCGATTTTCTAATTTTTTGTTTGATGTTAGAGAAGAGAGAAAAAACATCAGGTAAATAGCCTTATCGGCCATTTTCTTCAAACAGAAATTTAAACCAGTCTGGGAATAAAACAGGAGGATTACCAATTGAAGCTTTTATTGATTTTACTAGATACGTCCATCATCAAATTAGATACTGGCTTTCCCGGAATATAATTATGCCCATTTGTTACATCTAAATTGATACCTGCACCTAAGCTCTTCTGATAATTGTGTACAAATGGTGATTGTGGCCGGTGCCATTTGAGAGTTTGGGTATAGATGTAGTACAGAGATAGAACTAATTCTGAGAAAGATAGCTCAGGTCTCTGGCTGTTTGTGAGAATATTGGAAGTTAATTGGAACAGATACACTCTGTTCCAGTCAGCCTGAAATGTTGGTCGTGTACCTAGCATCTATATCGCTATACCTACATGTAAATGGCTACTAGTACATATAGTGGCGAGAAGCAGAACTCCAGTCAGAAGCTCTGACTGAGGAAGATGTCACTCAGAAATGTAAAATAGTAAAAGCAAGGTGAAAGAAAACTCCTGTATACTGAAATATTGACATCTTGACCCTTGAAAATGCTATTTCCTACATGTTGAAGGGCAGATTTTGCTGGCACAACTTGGACCCTGCACTGGCAGGCTGTTACAGTCATCACACAACAGTTACAGTCTGTGTGCCAACTCTGGGGGCAAACATCTAATTCCCCATAGTGCTTCAGTAAACATGCTGCCATACAGTCATTATAAGGTGACACTGTGCCGTACTTGGTTCCCTTATAAGCTTGGTTCTCAGCCTTGCCATTGGAACATTCTGACTGTATACTAGAGCTATAAACAGTGTCTAACATAGGGACGACTGTATGTAGTAAAATTTCATTAGGGGCATGTTGGCCCTATAGCTCTGGACCTGGCTTTATTACTACAGTGTGGTTCAAGCGCCGCTAAACTTATCCATTCCAACGGGTCCAAACCTTTTGGAGCAGTGGTTAGTGCGCTAGTGTCGTAAGCTGGCTGGCTGGGTTCGGTACGGGTTCCATTCCTGGCGTCCCTGTATTCACTGGGGTTTCCTGTTTCTACTTGCACCTGTTTGTTTCAGTACCTCCAACTTTAATTTAATTCATTGAATCAAAGGGATGACCCCCACCTGAGAGTGTGAACAGTTGGCCTAAAACCGCAGCCTTCCCTGCTGAAAGGTTGGCACACCAGTATTTTGATGACATGAGCAGTCCACCCATGTGTCCTCACCACCTGTGTTTAATCTTCAGCATGACTTCTTCACCTGTTTACTGTCACAAGTGAGAGTGAAATGTGAACCATTGTCAACCATGTACCTTACCCCTGACATACATTTGGAACATAATTTGAAATCCAGGTCAGGTCATGGACTAAAGGTGGTTTTACTTTTGAGCATTCCTGTGATCAAGAATTGCCTGTCCTGGTAAAAATTGGTATTTATTATTTACTCTTGAAATTCCTTTTTACATTTCTGCACAGTAGGCATCTGCTCTATTGTTTTCAACAGTCATAAAAAGCAAACAAAACTAGAAAGGCCGACATTTGCTTTGGAGCAAATACAGCAATGGCTTCACCACATTTTACGACATGGCAGGGAAAGAATGAGAAACACAAGGGAAAACAATGCTTTACATTGATATAACTATAGTATGAAGTAACATACAACTAAGACTACAACAGTTGGATAGCTATTCCCTACATTATTGGTTAGGATTTTTAATTGCATAATGCAAACTGTTGATTTTCAAGAAAAAAAGAAGTGTTCATGCCCCGCATTCCAATGCTGGAGCAGGAAAGCTTGAAATACCTACCAAAACACTTGAATACAGACATACTGTCAGTATGGAATGGATCTGAGCAGGTATTAATTAAGTTAAGCCTGTTAAATTCCAACAGCCAATCAGCAAGGAGAATAGAGGAAAGCTGCATGCCTATTGGTTGATGCCCTGCATTCCATTGTGATGACTCATGCCCAAATGTGGTAACACTGCACACTAACTCAGTAATACATTTGCTATAACACAGCCAAAAAACTCAAATAAAACCATTCTAAAAGCCTGTATCACAAAAATTTAAAAACTCCTAGGGGTATTTGCCCACTGTACCTCCATACCAAATTTCAGGACCTTAGGCCCTAAAATGAAGAAGCTGAATCCATTTAAAAAATGGCAGGAGAAGGAGAAGGAGAAGGAGAAGGAGGAGAAGAAACATCAGAAAAAGCAATATGGGTTCACCACCACTTCGTGGTGTGGTGAACCCATAATAAACAAACAAACATTTGTCCTTTTCTTCTGTGTAGAAGCCAGTAGCCTCCTTAGCAGTTCTGGCTCTACAACTTTTTTTTTGCTTAGTTATAATAATATATAATGTGTCTTTTTTTTCTGATGGTGTATCAGATCTTGGAACTCGATTTCTAAAATCCTACGCAAGTGGACGAGTAACCATTACTAAACACCGGTATGCCATCAGGAAAAAGGCACATCAGCACCAAAAAAAAGACCGACTCATTTGAGTCATGGAACCTGCTAAGGACTCAAAAGAAGCTAAGAGTCCTGGGCTTCGACTGGTGTTTTTGTGTGATCAAGGAACCTCCCTGTGTCAAATTAAGGTAAAATTGCCTGCCTGGAAAGACCTTCCATTGACTGGTCCAGTTTGCCAAGAGCTGGACCAAACCGTGATGAAACACCAGCTATCAATAGACTGCTGTTGAGGCCAAGCCAGAAACTTTGATTACCTTTGGTTCTGCTCGGCTGGGTCTTTAGTAAAGGTAGAATTTGGATTGCAGATTATCCTCACAAGTAGCCATCATTTTGTATGTACTAGGTGCTGTCATTAAGGCTACGTCAATTTTGTTTCTTGGTTCTCGGTTTTTCAGAAAATTATGTGTACTATAAGCTATGAAGAACAAAATGAATTGTAGGGCCAGGCCTTGGTGCATACAGCTTCAGGGAATGCATTTTGTACTACATTTTGTACATGTGGGAGGTAACAAACAGTGCAGAATACATTGTCTTATGTACCCAGGAAATACTAAGTGCAGGTAGACATCAGGATCTAGGAATATCTGCACAGCTCCAATTTTACCTGCACTAACCAAAGAAGAAGAAACCTGCATATGCAGGTATATTTTGAGCCATAGTAGTGACTATCACATTTGCAGAGAAATTTAAGAGTAATTGTGTTGCAGCTTGTGAGGTGAAACAGGGATCATTTTGCAGGTTTAATATTTATGTAGCCATTAAAAAGTGTACAATTTGTATCAAGGATCATCCTAATAAACTTAAGCTTTCATATTTATAAGAGTAATTTAAGAGTAATTGTGTTGCAGCTCGTAGGGATGATTTTGCAGATTGAATATTAGCACAGCCATGATTACTCTGTGATGGGCTGTCCTACATGTACAATGTAGGCTGACACATTAACCCCAGTGACTTGTGCCCCTGGGACTGACATCAGATCAGCTGGGACCACTGCTCACTGTCATCAGCAGGAACCAGCAGTGGGACTGCCATGGCTGGAGTTAGGCCACATCAGGGCAATCTGTTGGTTGTTGGATTAAAAAAAAATATGGTTCAATGGAGAAACATACCTTTACACCTTTGAGGTTTAGACCTTGGCCCACTCAGTTTTACTTTTATGGAGTGACTACAGTCATTTCATGACCAAGGTTTCCTCCCTGCCCTCTTGTCTATTATGATGGCTACTTGCCCTTCTGTGTTAAAATTGTACAATTATCAAGAGCCGTGGCTAGGGCAAATCTACCTTCTTGGCTGGGATATCCAGAACTGTGCCTGATCCTAACCCTAACCCATTCAGGCATAGAGTTACGATTTGTAGATAGGCACAGTTCTGGGTACAATAGACTCTATGACAGAGACTATCCAGAACCATGCCTGATCCAACCCTAATGCATCCATGCATATATACATGGGACTAGATATGCAAGTTAGGGTCTGAATACAATAGCCCCATGCAGAGTAACTCTCATGAGAACCCCCCACATCTGCTTGGTTCCCTCCCCAGTGTGCCCAGGATGTCAGTTTGATTCAGTAGGAACACAAACACGGCTGACCTTGGGAATCTGGAGGTCACCGCTGCACAGCTTTCCAAACAGTCCCACAGTCCCTCACAGGAAGCTGGGATGTTGTTGTGGGATTCCGGCTGGTTTGAAAGCGTGAACTGAACTTGTTTTTGTAACACTTTCCTTTGTTGAAAAGGCAGAGTGACTGTAAAGGTTACCATATTGTTGTTCCAGGTGTATTCAGGAGTCGCTATTGGAACAGTAAATTTCAGAATAGTTTGGAAGTTCAGACGAATGTAAGCTGTGACTGTGTTTCTGTTAGTTTGGAAGAAAAAACTGGACAGTTTGGCACTATGGACAGTATGTGAGGCAATAATAATATAAAATACATTGTATAATAGTATTAGATGAAGATGACAATGACAATGACAATGACAATGATGTTTATTTGCACATTCATGCCCAAGTGAAAAACACATCACAGTATTGTGATGTACCATATTCATTTGCCAGCCTCCAAATTTTGTATAGTTTTGTAACATACCAAAGTGAGGGTTTTAATGTATTTATCCATGACAAAGAAAAATTTTTAAAACGCTACTACTGTACTTCTCCAAATGTTGAAAGTTTGCTGCATGAAGTGATGGTATCCAGTAAATGTATTACACCTGGCCTGGGTGCCCCTAATGGAGTCCAAAGTGGGTCTAATTGCAGGAATACCAGGCCTGAAGTGATGGATAACTCTGGTGATGGGCCAGGAGAGGGCTTGATTGACATTTGCTGAGGCTCTGTTGGGGGGATAAGAAGAGGCTTGAAGTAGTAATTTTGTTATGAGCAGGGTAGATTGGTACTTAGATCAAAATCATACTGTATCATGACCAGAAAATCAACATAAAAAACGTAGAAACCTTTTATATGGAAAGATACTCTTTACATTAAGGAAAAGGCAACTGAAGATTAGATTAGATCAGGATAGCCTGGGTGCCAGGAGCATCATTAGGGAGCTGACAGATATTACAGAGGATGGTACCAAGGCTAGGAAAAGGACCCGAAGCTTGATATTTTTTACAGATGTTGTATGACACTGTTGAGTATTTACTTGTTGTTTATTTACTTGTTTGTTTATTTGTTTGTACAGGTTGAGGTGATACGGAAGGTGCTAGAACAGGACCTGAAGCTGGATATTGTACAGATGTTGGACGACAACGCAACGTTACACGGACAGGACGTGCTGTTCACTGGTAAACAGATTGCTTTTGCTCATTAATTAGACCTCACCAAACACCAATTTTAGCTGATCTTGCTCCTGACCTACTCCTAATCATGTTTGGAGGGAGTTTGGAGTTTGGCAGTGTTCGGGAGGCCATATTTGGCTATGTGTAACAGGGGCTTAAATGTTACATACTTCTGGATGAGGGCCTGCATGGGTGGAGCCTCCTCATGCATCACATTTTACGATTAATTCCAGGTAGCTATGACCCATTATATAGAATCAAAAAAGCTCATTACGCTCTACGCAAAATGCACCAGTTACGCTCTACATTAAATTAGAGCTGTCCGTCTATGCTCTAGTCTATGTACACTTAAAACGGCTGATTACACTCTACAGAAAAGGGCATGCGGGCTCCCCTAGATACTAGTAACTCATATTATAAGGTCACAAATCTGGTAGTTGTACTACGTATTGGCAATATTTCCGTTCAGTTTATTTGCCAAGACAAGGGCGCATTATGGGATTCGAACCCAGAACCTTTAGATTTTTAGTCAACAACCCTAACCACAAGACCATCGTGCCACCTGATGGTAACTCATAAAGTCACAAACTGGCAGATGTACTGGCAATATTTTTCAGTTCAGTTGCTGTGACATTATTTATCTTATTCACATTTATTTTTCGAGGATTGGGCAAAAAGTTATAAAACTTATCTCAGCCCTCTCCTCACACATAAAAGGAAACAATAAAACAAAGTAATAATAATAATGATAAGAAATGACAAAGGTACATAATGAGCTGGTGTACAAATCAAAATCAATCAACTAAATCAAACAAAACGTCCTGTCTGCAAAATAAAGTTGAAAACCACATCAAATATTTTACAGTTGTTGACAAACGACAATGATGGGTTACCCCTGAGAATGGTTGAACATAAGGTGTTGTCGGTGACGTTGTGACATTAGTGCACAACATGGGATTCGAACCCAGAACCTTTAGATTTTGAGTCAACAACCCTAACCACAAGACTGCCTTGCCACCTGATGGTTCAGAAATGTCATGACACTTCCTGGTTCATTGACCTGAGGATAATGAGTTCCTAACATCTGCTCTGGCCCGGCCCCAGGGGACCATGGGTAATCTGGGGGCAGGTAAATCGGAACCCACATCCTCATCCAGGTGGCAGTAAAATCAATATGTAATAATTACTTCTGGGAAGGGAAGTACAGTTTTGGGTCAGCGCTGGTTTCAATGTGTGTTTGGTGAGGTTGGCTACTGCTCGGCTGTGCCAGCCACACTCACTAAGAGCTCAGTATCCGGTTTAGCATCTGTTGTTCCCAATCCCAGTTTTCTACGGGTTAGACGTACTTGCACATCAATGCTGAGTTCAAAGTTTTCAAAATGTGCCACGCTCAAGCTCACCATCCGGTTTAGCGTCTGTTGTTCCCAGTTTTCCGAGGGTTAGAAGTGCTTTCACTGACCACTGCTCAGGCCAAATATTTCAAAGTCAAACAAAATGTTTAAAACATTCGGGTGTGGACTGGAGGCTCGGCCATGGTTAGCCGGTGGTTATAGCTGGTGTTTGTCATAGGTTAGCAGTGATCGGGACATGTTTGGTGGTCAAATTTACTCAAATTTAACTAAAATTCGAGTTGATTTATATAGAAAGGTAAGTCATGGCCAAATCTGGTCCGAGTGACTTTTCAGGGTTTTTTTCTCCGTTCTTGGATGTTATTTGGAGTGAGACATGGTCCAGCAGAACCGGTACATACCCAGCCCTACCCAGAAGTAATGACCTGTGTATGTGTATAAGATCAATGGATTTTAGTGAACCGGGAAATGATTGGAATGGAATATACCAGTGACCTGAAACACAACCTTTTGTAAAAGTCATGAGTTAATACCTACAAGGTAGGGGGTGCAGGGCTCCAAACCGTTCTTTCTTCGTACCTACCCTAGGTAACATTGAAAATTACCTACACCAGACAAATTTTACCTGCACCACTCAGGATTTTAAAGGAAGTATGGATCACACTAAAACCTGTTCAGAAACCATTATTACTTGTATGCTTTATGCAGGTGCTTTGCCAAGCAGTAGCAAACACAAAATTTTTATTGGTTTTTAGGCCACACCAATTTAATTTGTTGGTTCTCGGATTCGCCTCTTCGTTTTTTTTCTGATTTGCAAAAAAAAAAAAATTGATTCTGGTCCTGAATCAACTGAAAAATGCTCATGTTTTGCCCCCCAACAGTTGAGGAAAGTCCTTTTCTTCCTAGTTGTTACAGTTTTCCCATCTATCATTGCAGTGGTTTGATTACAAGTTCAAAATTCAATGTTTAAATTTTAACCCAGCCTTTTGTGTTGACTTCATGGCTCATTTTGTAGCATTTAAGCCTATAATAGGAATTGCCTAGACCTGTTTTTATTTTTATTTTTTTTCGCCCTGTCGCTGCATATTTTTTCTGAAAAAATCCGAGAACCAACAAATTAAATTGGTGTGGCCTTATTTTACAAATTTTGGCCTTGTGGATACTTTTTGGGGGCCTTTCTAAGAAATGTAAAGATGTTTCTGGAACTTTGTCTGTACTTGAAACACTCTGAAACGCTCCTTTCCTCAGTTTTATAGAAGCGATGAGCTGAATAACTGTATTACTGTGACCCTGACGTTGGCCATGTGTGCATCGCTCATGACATATCTCCTCTCCCATCTCCACAATCTGCTGTACTTACTGTGTAAGTGTACAGAGAAGCACGGCTATGAAATATTTATGCTCCGCCTTATCTGGGCGAAAACTGCTGACTCAGCCGGATTACTGCTCATCCTCAGACTATGGTCGTGTTTAGGCCACGCAAATTCAATCTGTTGGTTCTCAGACCAACATTGTTATGAGAAATTTTAGCAAAAGGACATTATGTAGCCTTCAGCAGTCTTCGGAAGTGGCTGGAAAGGGTAAAAATTGGCCAACTGAACAGACAACATGCCAGGGGAGTTGGTCTGTTAAAGTTTGCCACTTCCCTGGCATGTTATCTGTCTATTTAGCCAATTTCTGCTCTTTCCAGCTACTTCCAAAGCCTGCTAGCTACATGATGGAAGGTTGGGAGAAGATTGAGAAAAAAACTTGCTTCTGACTCTCTTCACTCCCTGAAACTGTGTGCAACAAAGTACAGACTTCCCCCCAGATTCTGTTGTAAAAAACTTGTGATGCTGATATTCCAATATTAATCCAGCATTTGTTAATCTAAATTTAGTTCTTTGAAAACCCAAAACCAAGAAAATGAATTAGGGCAGCTTAAGACTGAAATTTTCAGAGTTGAACCTCGGACCTGATTGAATTGATTTTTGCATCAACTCTAGCTGGATGAGGTAAAACTAGTACTACAGTAGTAAGTTTCAGGTAGTACTTCATTTATTTTTTAGTGTAAGGTCTATTTCCCCTTTTGGCTTGATGCCTACCATGCAAAGGTGTAAGAGAGTACTGTGCAAAACATGTACACTTTGTGGCTCACTCAGGAATAATGCTTAAAAATATATATGTACATTTATGTCTATACAGTAAATTAAATATCACAAAGTCGTATCAGCTTCAACTTTGTCCAAATTAATCAAAAGCTTGCCATTTGGTTCAGAAAAATTATAGAAATATGAATTATGATGAAAAATGTCATATAAATAATAATATATAATAATTGACAATGATCGAGGTACTAAATTGGAGTGGATGAAGTATAAGGGGGAGGGGAATTATATAAGCCATTAAATGTTTCATATCCATCTTCAGTATTTTACGACTCTCGAGGGAGGAAAAGTTATGGATAAGTTCACGAGAACCATGACCCCCTGAAATAGGCTGGATCAGCAAGCAATACAGACCGTGCACCCTGCAGGCTTATCAACCATTTAACATAGTGTTTGGCACTAAAACATTGGCGCTAAAACATTCTGGGTTCAATAAAATGCAACAAGCATGTTTGAGAATTGAATTCTTACCCCACAAGAACAATTTTCTAGAAGTATTGGCTGGAATAAAAGCAGTCTTAGAATAAGAACAACATGTTTTTTTTACATTTCTCAAAACAGGGATTTGTGTACACAGCATAATACAGATGAATTTTCTTTGTACAAAAAAAAAACGAGATTAAGTATTTTTGTTAGTGTGGTCACGTACATAAGGCCATGCCAATTTATTTTCTTAGTTCCCGGATTTAAAAATACAATGCTAGAATATCTGCATGACAACAAACTCTTAGGGGAAGTCTGTTCGTTGGTCCACACAGTGAACAGAGTCAGATCCAAGTGCATCAGTTAAAGAGGGCTTATAACCGGAAGGAATAAAGCTTAAATTCTACTTTATTATATAATATTGTATCAGGACTCAGACTCAACTACATATTTCATACCAAGTCCCAAATCCTCACAGTAAAAGCATTTGAGTTAAGGGGCAGGCGGAGAATATTTGTCAGGACTAAAAGCTTCAGTTTGTAAGTACATAACACTGCCTCATCTGCCTGCTAAGCTGTCCCCTGTTCCCCATTCAGCAAAACTACAGCTTTGTATTCTTTAACTTCTCCTTACTTTTATTGTTCCCAAAGCCATGTTAGAGTTTGAAGCATATCTTTGATAGGAACGTAAACAATGAAAGGTCTTATAGTGTATTGAGTACACACATCATGTGCAGTCCCTAAAGACACATAACCTGATTTGACTGATAGCCTGAGCCTCTTAGTTTACGTTTTAGCTCTCTAGAGTTCGTGTTGAAGTCAAGTTTGTAACCTACTGTAAGTGCATTTTGCTTTCACATTGGAAGAGACTTTTCTTGTCTGAATAATGGATATCTGATGTTATACAACAGCATTGTCCTGTACTGTACTTCTTAATATTAAAGGTGTATTTGCTATAAGGTATTAAACAGTTTTTTCATACTACATGTACTTTATGTCATTTTTTCTGTTGGATATGACATGACAAATTATTTCTAATCACTCTTCATACCATGCTGACAGTAAAAAGACAAAAGAAAATGATTTTTATAGAGATAAAGGTGCAAGATATTGAATTTTGTTTGAAGTTTGATATCTTTTGATAACATTATTCTTTATACTGCTGACAAGGAAAAATACTAAACGTAATTGTGGCTTGGGCACACTTCTATTCTCTTGCCGAACACAGGCAGACAGTTAGAGGAAAAAGCAGACACCAAATCTAATTCTGCCTGAATCTGGGACGTCCGCAATGAAAACAAAGTCTGACAAACTCAGCTGAGGAAGGAGGTAGACGGCAGGTTATTGGGTTAGAGCGGTGTTTCCCTTTGTTCCCAAGGTCTTTGTAATGTAATTAGGAACAGATATTGGATTTTATATGCTGAGAGTGCGCAAGAGTAATGCCAGTCAGCGGCCCGTAGGTGGTAGAAATCTGAAGCTTATATGGCAAGGCAAAACTGATTTAATTTCTTCAGGTTCTAAAAAAATAATGCTAGATTGGAATATCAATGTGATGATATTTATTTTCTTTATTTCGTTATCAATGTCTTTATTACACCTCTGCTAGTTGTCTGATCCTCAGCAAAAATGTATACATATACAGTACATGACATGTACTAGTACATGTACAGCTAGCTGTATATGCATGTCAGCGTAGAGACTCCAATCTGGTAGAATCAGTGATTCCACTTGCAGAGATCCTGATCATGATCAGAATCTGTAGATTTTAAGACAGACAGAACTTTTCAACCATGATTCATGTCAACTTTTATCAAAAGATTGACTTGAGACTCAGGATTTATAAATGCATAGAAGATCAGCATAACACATTCCTAGTATCCTGATTGCAATCTCTGTTGACAGAGACTCTGATCGGGATCTCTAGGTGGCAAAATCAGCGATTCTACCAGCTTGCATAATATGCAGTATATCTCTACAATCTAACATACTTATGTATACACAGTATATAGCATTGCTATATGTCACGTACATCCTCTGTGCCGATATTTTGTAGCCTGGTTACCAAACCTAGTCCTACATCCTCTCAGGACTCAGGAGCGATAATAGGTTTAATAACCAGGCTAGTTATTTTGTCTGTGGGATCAAGAAAAGGTTGCAAAGCAGTATGGGAAAGGAGGTGAGGTCTGCCATCTCCAAATTTCCTTGCTATACACATGCATGTAAATTTTGTTTCCTATGGGTCCAAAATCTGCTCTGATGGTTTGAGTAGAATTAGATTATGTGTCTGGTTTGCTGGGATCTGTCTGCTTGTGTTGATCAGGAGAGTAGACAGGTGCGTCAAACAGTCTAAAGTTACCTGCCACAGCTGTAATTTGATATCTCTTCTGCTGATTACGTTCTGTGATGGATGTAGATCTCTGAGATCCTGCCATTACCTAATCAGCAAGAAGGGATGCAGGTTACCGTAAAACAATTGTGTTGGATTATATTTTAGGAAAGACTAATAGAGAAGCAACTGTCGTCTAAAATGATGTTCGTCCCCTGATGTTTTTTCCTGGTCCCCAGGCTCCCAGCTGATTTAGGATGTAGATTGCAGGGTTTTGTCTCCACTCTAAACATCTGGATGTCCTTCTCATTAATGGAGAAATTATCTCAGCAATATTTGTAGCGTAGAAACTCTGATTTAGATTTTCTAACCCTGATACAATCAGCAATTCTACTGAAAGAGATCCAGATTGGACTTGGATCTCTGTGAACAGAAACTGTGATCAGGATAACTGCCAGTATAATCAATAGATGAATAGTGTATGGTATAATGAATCACAGATTGTACCAGCAGAGGCTACTGTAGAGTAGAACTCGTTGCCACCAAGTACAGGGGGGGGGGGGCGTCATCACTGGAAAGGTTTATTTAGACGTCAAAATTTTTGCACTACATTTAAACATTTTGGGCCTGTTGTTCAGTTTAATATAGCTAGCTGCCGCCCTGCCGCATGCCTGCAAAGCTGGTGTGTATACCGGCTATACTGATACAGATACAGATTGGGATCTCTACCAGTAAAATCACTGATTCTACAAGTATAGCGTCTCTACCCTGGCATATGTTTTGCCATGAGTAATACTGAAATCTCTCCCTCTTCCCAAAAATGTACAATTCCGGGATGTTAAACAATCCCCTATACAGCCATAGCCTGCACCAATCATTGTCATCTGGATGGGGAGGGGGTTGTTTGTTTGCTATGTGCATGGAATGATGGTCACTTTAGATTTGGAAGACCTTGGAAATTTAGAAATGCTGACAAACTTTCATATTTATTTTGACAGAACTTTGATGCCACCTTTGAATGTAGAATTTAATCAGTAAGTAATTCTAATACAACAAATTGTATCTCTCTTTCTTCCCAGGAAAGGAGTTTTTCGTAGGGCTGACATGGTTCACGAACCAGGCGGGTGCGCGGGCCCTCGCGGACGCCTTCCCAGACTACCGCGTCTCGTCCATCAATGTGCCGAACGAGGTGGAACACCTGGGTGACCTCTGCGGGGTCGCGGGACCCAACCTGCTGGCCGTGGGGAAGAGCAAGGCTGCCAAGATGGTGCTCAAGGTGGATTATCTGTGTTTTTTCTTTCATCTAGTGTCCCATTGGTCGGAAAATCCTTCAGAATCTAAATCTAATTATCAGCATAGTGATAGCATGTTCAGCACTGAGGACAGTACCCTTTTCACTAGAAGATCAGGAGGATGGTTGCTGTCCCTTTTACTGAACATGTTATCCTCAAGAAATGAATGGTGTCTCTTTTGACAAAGGTGCTGTCCCTAATGCTGAACATGATATCCTCATACTGAAGATGCTATCTAGTTGCAAGGGTGCTGTCCTTAGTGCTGAACATGCTATCTGCATACTGAAGATGCTGTCTCTAGTGACAAATGATGCTGTCCATAGTGCTGAACATGCTATCCTCGTGCTTAAGTTGCTGTCTCTAGTGTAATGGGTGCTGTCCCTAGTGCTGAACATGCTATCATACTGCTAGGATGCTGTCTCTATAGTGTAATGCGTGCTGCTATAGTGGTGGTCATGCTTTATACTTGCTAAAGATTTTGTCTCTAGTGTAATGAGCACTGTCCCTAGTGCTGAACATGCTATCCTGATGCTAAAGATGCTGTGTATAGTGACAAGGGTGCTGTCCCTAGTGCTGGTGTTATGTATCTGCTGGTGTTTATACATGTATACCTTGTTTAACTTTAGGAGATGGAGTTGATGGGAGAGTTTGACTATGAGATCCTGAGCCTGCCAGACGACCAGGCCACCGACTGTCTGTACATGAACGGCACGATACTGCACTGCACCAAGGACGAGTTTCCTGACAGTTATAAGGTAAACATTACCAACCCTTTCTTCTTCCATACTCCATCTCTCAGGAGGAAGATCCATGCTGAAAGTTTAAAGTGATGTTCCTAGAACTACATCACTACAGAACAAGCTTCCCTGTGAATGCTTTCCTAATGGATAGAACCTTAAGCTTTTCATTTCTAAGGTGAACAAACATCTGCCCCCAGTGCAATACTGCAGCGCAAAACATGTGAGTGGTTCTTAGGCCACACTAGTGTAATTTGTTGGTTCTTGGATTTTTCCATGAAAATCATGAAGCGACAGGTAAAATGAAATAAAACTGCACAGATTGTAAAGCTAGGGAAGATAAACATGATGTATTTGCTTTGCATAAAATGTCGCCTTTATAGTTCAAAGCTTATATTGTTTCTGTATATTGTTTCTGTTCCCTCACCCCCACCCCCCAGGTGTTTGAGACGGTGACTGACTACCACAGGGTGGCCGTGTCCAACAGGGAGCTGAGGAAAGTAGGCGGGGCTCTCAGCAGGCTCGCTCTGCTCATCCCACACACCAAGACTAAGTGAACCTCCCCTATACACACATCCCCCTCACCAGGACCTAATGAACCTCCCCCTACATGCATCCCCTCACCAACACCAAGTGAACCTCCCCCTACACATATATCCCCCTCACCAAGACTTAGTGATCCTCCCCCTATATGCATCCTCCTCTCCAAGGCTTAGTGAACCTCCCCTCACACCAAGGCTGAGTGATGTAGGTACATAGCCATGTACCTATCATTGTTGTCTGGCTGGGGAGGGGGTTTGTTTTTTGTGTATGGAACAATGGTCACATTTGAGTTTGGAAGACTCCGGAAATTCAGAAATGCAGACAAACTTTTCATTTCTATTTTGACAGAAATAAAGACATGCATCCTGATCTAGAGGGTGGCCCAATTCTTGAAACGGCAAACTAGTGCATAAAGTAACAAATTTAGTTGTTTCATCATGATGGTGTTGGAAATATAAAAAATAACATTCCAGGTTCCAAATCAAAAGTGACCACTGTTGCAGACTTTATTTCTTGTGGCTGTTCCTCTATCATGACCTTGGAGCTGAAGGTCAAGTTAACTAACCGGTGCTATGCTAACCAGTAAACTTTCCTAACCAATCTTTACCATGCACATTGTCTGCAATATCAGGAGAAATTTCATTCCGCCTTTTTCTAAAGATTCCATTTGAATTTCCATTCCATCTTTTTTAATTCCACTATGATGATTTTTACTTCTTTACATTCAAAGACTCACAATAAGAGGTCATGGTTCATAGGTTAAAGTCCTTGACCTTTGCACTGAGACAACTCTTGCAGTCTGTCCAAGATAATTTAAAGTCATTACAGTGCAAGAGCTAATGTTGTTGAAAGATGAAGACCTTTCTTTGTGTAAACGTTTTTCAAAATGCCTGATATTTGTCAAAATTACTGTTATTTCTAAAATAACTGATTTTTCTAAAATTACTGATATTTGTCATACTCACGGTTGGCAAATCATTTCAGCCACTGTTACCATTGTTCAATAGAAACAATTGTAACCACTTTTTAACATGAGTTTTAAAAGGCTGTTATTCAAACAACATGCCTCACTTTTGCATGGCCCTTTGCTGGATTGTGTGATGTTTAGATTCAAGAGCCCATTGTATATAGCCCATTATGTAATATGTGACACTAATAGCTTATAAAACAGGGCTAAAACACAGCTTCCAGTATTATTGGGGCTGTGTCAATTGTACTAATATGAAAAAGACTATGAAACCTGTTTGAAGGTGGAATGCAATTAATGACTTGACTTTACTTAAAGAAAAAGTTCTTCATTACAAAACCAGAAAGAAGTGAATATTTCCTGTAACAATCTTTGAATCAGTCAAATTTGAAGCTAAAGAAAAAGATAGATGTCCTGGGTACCGTGCTGGCATATGTGACTCTCTTCTGTGAGTCTGACTGAAGAGACGGTGTGGAGATATTTTTGATGAGATGTTTATGAGTGATCTGGATGATCTTCAGAATTCAAGGAAGGCAAGAAAAAAAAAGGTCCAAATATGGTAACAATGCTTCTCACATGATATTTAAGGTAAACACATTACAACAAACAAGAAAAACAAACAAACACACATACATACATACAACAGTGACACGCTTACTCTGATAATGCAGTACTACTGAAGACACTTAACTGAAGATTAAAACTAACCTGAAGATGGAAACCAGACTACAGCTACTGTACTGAAAGTGTGGCTTTATATCAGCATAGCAGCAGCAGCACCAAACATTCCTGTAGAATGATGTTTAAATTTTTACTCAATAGTTTAAAATCTCTGGTAACATAATCAGAATATTTTGCCATGATTTGTTCTCTTATTCACTCCAGGCCCTTAAAATGCTCTGTGGAAATACAATATTCTATATAATTGTGAACATATCTACTAGTAATGCAGAGTTATGTGGCAAAACATTTTATATGAATTAAATTTTGGCTTAACTTTTTCCATAAGGTCACTGACCAACACTGACTAGTTTGCTTAGACCTAGGAAAATTTATGTGTGTTTCTGATAATGGTTATAAAAAGAAGGGTTGGTGTAAGGATGTTAGAAAAAGATTTTGCTCAGTTTTCATCACCGAGATTGGAAATCTTATGTCCCTTGACAACTATCTACCCAAAAATGGTCAGAGTTGGTAAATTTTTCTCTAAGGTTGGTCCGAAACACAACATTTTTCCTGCGGCCTGACTTAGACATTTGTTATGTCTGCAAATGTGCCCATTAATGTCATAATAATCCATTTCTTTACTTTTTAACAGTGTGGAAGTTTCTTATATAGTTCTCCTGCAGGACAGGAAAGCATAACTGTTTTGTCCTAATATTTTTTATGATTTATTAACAATTATACTACTGTACATTTATCATGTTTGTATATCATCATTAACCAAGTGCTAACTTTATCGTTATTATTCATCATTAACCAAGTGCTAACTTTATCATTATATTATAAGTCAATGTTTGTGTTGTTAAAATTGCCAAGGAAGATTGTATTGCATATAAATGTGTGGAGATGTGGAAAAGTTGAGTATAGACATTTTAGACTTTTACTTCAACATAGATTTTAAAGCTGAGTCTTCATACTTGAAAGACTATAATTATTTTAATGTTATTTCCTGAACACAAATTCAACTGAACAAATAGTTGAAGAACTTCATTAATATCATTTGGGAACTCTGTTTAAACTAAATAGTTGAAGACATAATATCATTTGGGAACTCGGTTTAAACTTCTGACACTGTTAAGTCATATCTTCTCTTAATTTGAATTTGTGTGACACACACATTATGATTGAAACATGATGCACTCATGTTTAAGTATGACATTCAAGACAACAAAACATACAAAATATGTGAAGAAATTTGTTCTTTTTGTATGATATTGGTTGAGCGATCTAGCAAATTTGTGATCATCCAGTTTCTAATGGAAAGGGGGAGTAATGTAAAGTAAGAATCTCTGCAGTAATTGATATAATCCTAACACTTAACATTCCTGTACCCTGATACTTAATAACTAAGTATATTTTCATTATTGCATATCATACCTCATGTATTATGTTGTAGTTTTCTGGGCTCGAAAATATCATGTACTTAAATACCGATATCATTTAGTCCAGAGAGACCATGTTGTTGTGTACTTTTGTAGCCTCTACCAGGCTTCGGATGCGGCTGGAAAGAGTAAAAATTGGCCTAGTGGAAAGATAACAGTTAGTCCGCTAAAGAAGTGCATCAAATTGGCCAAGCAGTAACCATTTTCCACCCATTGGACTGCCGTAAAAAAAGATACCAGTCCAAAAACACCACCTAAAACACGTAAAAAAAGCCAAAACCTCTGCTTGGAGAGTAGGCTAATTGTACGTACTTCTGCAGCCTGACGCTTCTGGCGCCTGGTAGAGGCTATACTTCTTGGTACCAGAATTGTGGAGCTGAAGACATGCCTTTACCTTGCCTTACCTGCGCCAGTTTTCATGACGTAGAATTAATAAAGCAAGCTTGCTATCCTGTACTTCTCTCAGTATTTCTCTTCGCTGTGTCTGTTTGCTTGCTTGCGTTAGTAGTATAGTTATTTGAATACAGTAGAATCACGGGGAAAATGCGAACCGGGGCAAGGCCGCGCTACACTATATAGCTACTTGAAAAGGCGTTCTTTTAATCAATATTTGTTTAAAAACACACATTGCCCTTACAAGGACCGAAGCCATACGGCACCTAAGGTGCATTGTTCTAGCCGCCTCATCTTTAATGAGTTTGTTCTGTAGTTTACCCTTCGGATTTAACTCTCTTCGGCCTCTTTACAGGCGATAGCGTAATCCGCTTACGGCGTCAAAAGTAAACTTTACTCAGAGTCGAACGATGGCGTGGGTTTTACTCAAAAACACTTGTGAACTTTATTTATGATCATAAAGTTGCCCAATTACTAAGATCCCGCCATGAAGGACTTCTCAGTTGTGCGACAATAAAGCAACTCATAAGGCGACTTCCAAGAAATCCGAGAGTTCCCTAAAGTAAATGTTTACAGTAGGAGGTTTGTTACGTCTTGTCGTAAGACTGATGAGTAAAGATAAGTCTGAGTCGTTTGCTTTGATTCATGTTGGGGGTGGGGTGGGGGTGGGGGTCGGAGCGTGTCGCTTGTGTTTGCTCATTTAATAAGTGGGATAATTTTTAATAAGGTTTTGGGATATGCACGTCACCAATCTCCATGCGTGCGTGCGTAGTGACTCTCTCTGACGTGTAACGCAACATGTACGTGTGGTGACGTCACCGATACATGTATGCCGTCAGAAAAGTTCAAAACGTGACAAAAATCGAATCCTTCTTGAGGGTGTGCACTCGAAATTAAGTATTTCTCTACATTTCGTACGTACCTTCATGAATCCTAACGTACAAAGTACATACTCCCTCCGCGTACATGCATGTATACGTAGCCTTTGCACTTTGATATTTTGCATAGTGATGTTGTCAGTATCAATTCCATCGGTACCCTGGTTCTAACACGTACACCATGACCCTTTCTTTGATTAATATTATTATAATCCTTTCCCACTAGAGATTGCGACCGATGAGCAACTAAATAATTATATAGATCGCTCAACGAGTTTCTAAGACAAAGAAAGATTTTTACACTTGTTGTGTTTTGTTTTATAACTTTAATATCATTTTTTCGCGTCGATTTTAACATATTCCAATGATAAGATCATGGGTCTCACAAATCCAGTTTTGTTCGCTTAACGCTAACTAGAGATCGTCGTTTAGTGGAGAGGGGTACCTTACCCAACACAATTTTATTCTTACCTAAAACAATAAAGTGTCTAAGTTGTTGGAAAGACGGTACATAGTACAGATTCCTCTGAAGAAAACTGTAGCGGTCAATTGAAAAAAAAGTAAAGTTATGGGGAACATTTAGGTGCGACGAGGTAGGTGCCTTTACCGGTCCCATGTTGTTTTACCGCATTGCTATTGCGCAACAATGTTGCTTGTCCAAATACTGCTTACAGCACATGTTTGGCTATTACATGTTTTGCTTAATTCGCCTCAAATCAAACCTACATGACTTGACATGTACTGATATAGTGTTGACACGACGTGAATGGACAACATGTCCAAATGAAGGCATCCATGACTGATTTTTCAGCGATCAGAGATGAATTATTTGTCAACATTCCACTCGGCCCCCCGTGTTTCTGAGGGGGACAATATTTACCCTGAAAAATACCTCCAGTCAGCACGGAGTTACTGACAACCATTGTTCTACTGGGGCACAGGCAAATCTATTGTATGTTTCATGCTTTTAAAAGACATACAGTAGTATTCTAGAGGAAGATTTTCCTTTTTTTTCTGGGTGCACATAATACACGTTCTTCTTGCGATATATTGTTTCTCCCGGAGATATAGTCTATATATCTATGCCTTTTTCCTTCTATTTGGGTTTGTTCTTATTTAACGTCTTACATGTTTGCCAGGATAGTCCCATGGGCGTCGGGTCGTCTGTCACATCGTATAGAAGTAAAACGTATTGTTAAGCAATACATAAGATGCAATCGAAGTACTAGTAACCGTTCATTCGTTGCACAATCAATTGAAGTGTCTTTATTCACGACCTTTGTAGTAATTGTACGCTCGACTGTACGTACGGACGGCCACGTGTGTGTGTGTTGAAAACATTATGATAACACCACCGTTTTAAAGTCAGTCGTTAGACGATAATTAGGGTAAAATAGGGTGAAATTGGTATCGTCCTGGTTGAGAGACAACGGTACTCTTTTGACTTATCTCCAACCAGAAGTTGGAAGAGTAGATAGTTTTTTGCTTGCTCCGTTCTTTGTCGTCGGTCAAATCGCCCTAGCCCGTGCTTGTAGTTCAAAGTCCTTGGTTATGGAGTCGCTACCATGATTATGCACAATTGTACTATATTGTCAGACATGCATATGTGCATTCAAAGGGTGAAAGTACTGTTGAGACTAGTGTACCTTAAATAGACTATGTAGTTTAGTGTGAAAATGCACCTTTCCTGTCGAATTTCTTCTAGCGTTTTAAAAAGGCAATGGCAGCATTTGTAACACTTAGAAAAGTAGTATTTTGACGACAACCATGAGATATCTCTGCCCCGGCCTCCGTGTGTCATATGGGCGCCAGGGCCCGGCGATAAGCCGTGTTACCTGCTTGTTTTGATCGCGCCACCGATTCACTAACCAAACACCTCAGCTGACCAACGGTCATCGCAGTTAAACATCAACCCACACTTCCTCTCAAAAACAAGAAACCTTTAAGAACATCAAAACACTTGAGAAACTTTCCTGTCGCATTCTTGGAGAATCTCCAACCCGCAAAACTCACAGGTGGAACAAAAACAGGTTCCCACCTGTTGACTCCGGCTCAAGGACAGAGTTACTAGAAAGAGAGCAACACACCTGGACACGTCATACACGATATGGCTTCTGATTGGTCCGCGCCTGCACCGCGTGACCCGATCTAGTCCGAACTAGCTGGCGTCTTGGCTCAGATTAAAGGTGACGTCCACACTGCAAGGAGCGCAAAAACAGAACTCTTCAACTTTCTTCGGGAAAAGTTTTCGGGAACATTTGAGACAAGATGTTGCGCGTTGCAACTTTGGCGCTGTTGGTGTTCGCTGTAGCGGCATACCCCGCTGATTATAGAGGTGAGTTGTGTTCTTTGCTTTTATGTCCGATACAAAAGTTTAGTTTAACCGTTTTGTTACCCTAGTGCGGTAAGATATTGATTCACATTGTAAGAAAATATCTGGATTCGCGAAAATCCCTTTTTACGGGCTGTCTATCTCGCAATTAATCTAATATCTGACACTAGTTTCGTTTGCCAACATTTTTCATCAGAAAAGACAACTTTTGGCACAATTTGCTGGCGTTACACTCTAGATCTGTTCCTAAGCGTATGTGGTTCGAGACAAGAAGGTTTTTTTGCTATTTTTTGTGCTCATTTGTTGAGTCCTCTCTTCAACAACGTAAACTTCTAAGAAACGTTCAGTACTTGCGAGTTCTTTTCAGTCGCTTTACTTGAGCACGTAGCAAAGGATCTTAGATCAAAATCCAAATCGTACTCTATTGCGGCTGTGAAGATATACCATACCCATGTTCACACAGGAAAGTATTTTCTACGGGAAAATCATCTAGTTAAATCACTCAGAAAATCTGGTAAAATCAGTGTACCTAAAGCCCGGATTAAGAGACTTGGCAATTCGTTCCTTCATTTGCGCTGTTCGCCTCTATAACAAGACAATTCACCAGCTAAATCCGACGTGATAACCGCATATTGTGTATAGATTTTGTGTAATCGTTTTAGAAATGTCTTAATAGTGTGCTTGCCATGTTTCATGTGTACAATGAAGAGTGTAACAAATCATTGTTGTTAATGCGTTATGTACATGTAAGTAATAAGGACGAAATTCGGGTATCTGTCCGCGAGAGCCTTACCGAATAAAAATTTGAATAGTTAGACAACGTGCATGCTGGTCCCGACCCTGCCCTAGTTATAAGATTTCTTTACAAAACAACAAAGAAAGAAACACACGTGACAAGAAAACACGTGGCGTCCCCCAGACATGCTTTTCTGACGTTGCTAAGTTCTTTTTCAACGATCACTTTAGGAAATCGAATAGGAAAAGCAGCAAAACTTTTTACTTGAGTTAGTCGAAAGCCTATCGAACTATTTGACAAAGATGAATAAACAAGCCCAATTCTCCGTTTCTCAGTTGTTTTTACCTTTTGAATGCATCAAAACAGTGTCCCTAAAAGTAGTCTTATTTTCATCCACTCTTCACGTTAACCCAGCTCCCAGCCCTGGCCAGTGATCACATGGCGGTTATCACACAATCTGTGCATATTTACCCTCCCGCTTATCTTCCTTGTGACTCTAATATAGCCCGGTAAACACCATTTATCAAACACCTATCTGGTTTTTGGCAACAGCGCACATTTAACCCTGATCGATTTCCTGTCAATACCTCTGTTGTTTCCACCTTTGAACCATCTTTTAATAGTTCAATTCTCAATTCTTTATTGTTCACAATTCAGCAAATGTACATAGGAGTTAGTACCAGGACAATTATCGTACAGAGACAATTACACAAAATGTTGCAAGATAACAAGATGTTGCGAACAAAGTAAAACCTACAGTTCATGACCCGTAAGATATGTCGTTATAAAATCTAACGGGGTAGTGAACAAAGGATTGCTTCAGTCTTTTGATTCTAGCATAGCCATAGGGATCATAGGGGACAGTGATGCTATGATCTCCTTCAGAGGCAAGTTTTGAAACTTTCAGTCCAAAAAAAAAACAAGGCAGTGAACGTCATTCAAGACGCTAGCGCTTGTGACGCTGTTTTTCATCCTTCCTATGGTGCAAGGAAGAGATGAACCTGTGTAGATGAAGTAGATGTATTGAAGTGGTTTGTACCAGCCACATTTTGACGTGCGTCAGTGTCACAAAATGTTCCAGCTCATACCGGCTTCAAAGTCGGGGAACACGTGGCATGGCCTTTGCGCGAATTCCTGTCATGCATTGCGGCTAATCTACAGCGGAATTTGCTCGTGACATTCGCATGAACCTCAGAGTCAAGGTCAATGTTAGAGTCCGATTCTGTTCGACTTTGACTCGGGGAGTCTTTGAACGCCTTCAACGTTTTCCGCTGAGTATTGCATTAGGATGTAAATTAAATCATGGCTGCTAGATATAAGAAACCAACAGTCACACGTTGATAAACTATAGTTATTCAATATATACCTAAACATTAACTTTGAGCTGTCTAAATGTGAGATTGACATTTTCCCCTTACTGTAGGAGCGTCAATTTACACAATCTCAGCTCACATATCGTTATCTTTTCACTTTTTCAGGTTCCGGTCCAGAAAAATGCGATGGTAAGTACATGTGCATTCTTTTCATGATCATATTTTGGACCATCTCACACATGGGGCATGCCCCTACTCTTTTTTCAAAAGTTTTGGTGAGTTTTTTAACGTGCGTGAGGTGTGTTTGTCCGCAAAAATCCCCCGTAGGGAGGCTGGAGAGGCATCGGGGTAAGTGGCGTACCGTATGTAAAACGTTTTGAAGCAATATACTTTATTCCTTTATTCATGTACTTACTACTTCGTGGTAGTATTTATGTTTCATTTCCGTAGACTGGAAGTAGGGAGGCTTTGTATGTTATCTGTTGAATGTATTTTTTTGTGGACAATGAATAAGAAAATTCCGTGTTGTTCCAGGTGAGAACCGCCTGTCCCCCGGCCATGAGTACACCTACAACTACACCGTGGAGGGCTACAGGAAGCCGCTGGCGAACGTGGAAGACAAGATCCTCTGGTTCAAATGGCTCTGCTCAGCACATATCAAGGTACGCGCGTGTGTGTGTTTGTGTGTGTGTGTGTGCGTGCGTGTATGTATGTGCGTGTGTTTGTGTGTGAGTGTGTGCGTGCGTGTGTGTGTGTGCATGTGTGTGTGTGTGTGTGTGTATGTGTGTGTGTGTGTGTGTGTGATCATGTGTGCGTGTGTGATTACGCGCGCACGTGTGTGCGTGTAAGTATGTATATGTATGTATGTATGTATGTATGTATGTATGTGTGTGTGGATGTGATTTTATAACCAGTAACTTTTTAACCAGTAACGCTAAATGAATTTCTAAACCTCTCACCCTCACTCAGGTTTACGGCCCCTGCGAGATGGTCCTGTCCACCCCGTACTGTGAGGTGCTGAAGGCCGTGACCTCTGACATGGAGGAGGAGCGGGAGTACAGGTAGGTCAGAGGTCGACAAAGGCCAAAGTTCGCCTTAATGCATTTTTTTGGCAAGTCGTGCACTTATTCGCATTAGTCAAATTCAAGTCACAAAGATAATTTGAGTTACGCATCATCATCACACTAACGCCACGCAACCTAGCCTGGTATCCAGCCTTGTTAGCTTAAGTCCGCTACAGCCTTGGCGGGGAGCGGATCTTGGGTAGCGGACTAAAGCTAACAAGGCTGGATACGGATCTTGGGTAGCGGATTAAGGCTAACAAGGCTACCAGCTATTCCCATCTTCGCCCAGTGCCAGTTTTTTCAAAAGCATTTCTTGCTCTTGTTTCCAGAACGTTCGCCCACGGCAAGTCGTACACCCGTGAGTTCACCGAGGACGTTGACCTGCCGTTCTACATGAACCTGGGCGAGGTCACCAGCATCTCTCCGAAGGTCGACGGTCCTCTGCACGTCCTCAACCTCCACAGGGACATGCTCTCCATGCTGCAGCTCCCCACCAGGCTCGGTAGGTGGCGCGCCTGCATGTCGAAGTTTTGGATGTGTTTTTTGTAACCCCTAGCATGTTTAAGAGATTTGGCAATGTTTCGACCTGTAGGGTAACTCTTCTGGCAAATTATGTTGAGATGTCACCGAAATCATTCTCCTTTAACTCGTTTCCGTGCAATTAAGATAAATAGAGGAACTGGGCGCTGAGATGGTAGCTCTGCTCCTGAGGCGTCGCCAAAATGTTTTTCTAACGCCTAGAGCTGTTGTTTTTCAGACTTTTAATAACTTTTTAGACGGCCTGGAGAAGATCATTGCGCATCGACCGGCGTTTATTGAGATTGTCTCCTTTTGTTTAGCTGTTAGTTTGTTTATTTTGGTTACTAGGACGATCTGGAGAAGATCACGGCTCTCCGCATCGTGCACGGCGACCGTTTGTTTGTTTATTTGTTTATTTTTGTTGCCCAGACGACCTGGATAAGATCACGGCCCACCGCAGCGTGCACGGCGACTCAGCCGTTTGTTTATTTATTTATTTGTTTATTTTGGTTGCCCAGACGACCTTGATAAGATCACAACCCACCGCAGCGTGCACGGCGACTCAGCCGTTTGTTTATTTATTTGTTTGTTTATTTTTGTTGCCCAGACGACCTGGATAAGATCACGGCCCACCGCAGTGTGCACGGCGACTCAGCCGTTTGTTTATTTATTTGTTTGTTTATTTTTGTTGCCCAGACGACCTTGATAAGATCACGGCCCACCGCAGCGTGCACGGCGACTCAGCCGTTTGTTTATTTATTTGTTTGTTTATTTTTGTTGCCCAGACGACCTGGATAAGATCACGGCCCACCGCAGTGTGCACGGCGACTGCGCGCCCAGGTATGAGATCACCGACAGCGTCGACCTGTCGGGCACCAGCGTCGCGCTCGGAGTGCGCATGCTCAAGGACATGTCCAAGTGCCAGCACCCCGACAACGTTTTCCAGGACGAGGTACGACCACAAACAAAAACAAACAAACAAACAAACACACAAACAAACAAACAAACAAACAAACACTGACAGTGAAAGTTACCTAAAACCCATTACCTATGAAGTCACACACTAAGAGATTTCTGTTAACATAGACTTTAAAGTGATTTTAAAATCATTACCCATACCTTCATTTACTACGAGATTTCTGTTAACGCAGACATTGAGTCCTTTTACCCATACTTTCATACTGATTGCTAGCTGTTAACTGTATTGTTAACAAGCTGAAAAATAATTCTCATGGCAAAGATGCCTAAAGCAAAGATTAACAACAATGTAAAAGTAAATAAAAAAGGAATATGAATTTTTCTCCCCCCCCCCCCGCAGGTAATGGAAGAGACCCTCGGTGACGCCTCCCAGCAGTGTGATTACGTCATGAACGAGGAGGGGCGTATCGACAAGGTCACGTGTCGCGAGCAGACCCCCGATAACTACCTGCACCACAATAACCCCTTCCTCATCGCCAATAACACCCGCAAGCTCGTCTTCGTCAAGAAGGACCCGCTCAAGGTGCTGAAATCTGAGGACGCTTACGACAAGGGTGAGTTAATTTATGTGTACATCTGATATATTAAATGAACGACCTTTTAACGTATCCTATATTAATAATTAATGATGTATAATGATTTTAATGTGTGCTAACTTTTTATTAATTAATCAATTGTAATTGGCAGAGCACTTCAGGTCCCAATTACAAGGAACCTGCCTTTCTGTGCAAGTGATGAATGGCGAATAAACCATTATTATTATTATTATTATTATTAAAGGTTTCATTATTTCTTACACATAATTACCTTTGACAAGAAGGATATGTTTTCGGTTGTGTCATGTTGGAGTGGCTGTGGTGTGGGTCAGCATAACCTCAAGAAACTGTGGATGGTTGTGCGTGATATTTAGTGTAAGGGTAAGGGTCGAAAAGAAGAATTCAAGTTCGATTATGCGCTTCCTAGTTGAAGTTGTAAAGTTACTTTAGAGTTACTACTATAGACAGTATTTTTGTGTGCTTGTCTATATCCGAGTTTGCTTAAAAAGAGTCTTACGTTTTTAATTTTATTCTTTCCGCGACGGTTTGAATTTTGAGAAACTAATATTTGTGTTGTGTCCGTTTTCCAGACGGCCGCTACTATGATGACCTGATCTTCAAGATCGACGAACCCACCAGCCCCCAGAAATCCCCAAGGAAGAAGGGTAAGAGCCGCTCCTTAATCTTCCAAGTTTTCCTTCTCACCTCATGGCATGGCAAGTTAAAGCCAGGATGAGAGACTAGGTGGGCGGTATGTGGAGGAATTTAGGAAGTGGCGTAATACCCGATCATTTTGCCTCATAAAAGACTCTCGCCACAGCATTAACGAAAACCCAAAATACTTCTCGCAGGTCTGTCAACTTGAAACCCTAAAAAAAGTCTTTTTGCATCGACTATTAGCCTCTACCAGGCTTGAGGAGGCGGCTGGAAAGAGTAGAAATCGGCCAAAATAGAGAGATAAGCATGCCAAGGGAGTTTGGCCGAACTGTTCTCTCAACGGCCAAACTCCCTTGGCATGCTTATCTCTCTATTTTGGCCGATTTCTACTCTTTCCAGCCGCCTCCCCAAGCCTGGTAGAGGCTAATCGACTATGCTCATATCACATTTACCTCTCCGTTTGCAGCGCCCTCTGACTGCAGGCCCGTGAGGTGCAGGATGTTCTGCAAGTTCGGCTGGCAGATCGACGAGAACGGCTGCGAGGTTTGCCGCTGTAACCAGCCTGGTCAGTCCTTCATTCCCCTTGTTTATTTATTGCCCACTATCACCTGTATCTTTGGACGCAAAGCTGGTAGTAGCATTCCCATAGCAGATTGTCCCTATGTCTGTCGCCCTTGGAAGTTAGAATCGTCTGGGGGTCTCTGACCTGAGTTGGTAACGACTAGATAGGGTATAAGACGCGTATTGTGGCTGGCTTGGTTTAAATAAGACTCACGGCATTTTAACTTGAGTAGTCATTGTTGAATGTTTGTGTCCGTTACAGGCCAGTACCTTCTGGACAAGGAGAAGTGCATCGGTAAGTGATAACCGGTTTCCACTTCTTTCGAAGCCACCATTTTGCCATCCTACCTTTTGTTGGTTTTTACTATATTTTGTACTAAGGAACGCTGTGTTCTAGCAACAGAGTAACCCATAGAATAGAGGGATTCGCCATTCTTTATTGTAAATATTGAGAAAGAATGACTTGGACTCGTTCGTATACAGGGAAGAACCGTTTCGAGCCGGGCCGCCGCTACATCTACAACTACACCGTGGAGGGGAAGAAGGAGTCTCCCGCGCACATGGGCAAGACTCTCTGGCTCAGGTCCACTTACAGGTAGGACTGGGGTTGCTTGTGTTGATCATAGCAACGTAGTTTAGACATACGTAGGACTCGGGCAACTTAGCGTATTTAGCTAGAAATGCCTACCATTTATCGATAGACACTATGCGAATTCACTATGTAGTGAACGAGAGTGAACGACACTGCATCAGCAATTGACTGTAGTTTCGCACACACACACACACACACACACACACACACACACACACACGCACATACACACACACACACACACACACACACACACACACAGAGACAAGGCGTAAAAAGTAGACAGATGATCGCACATATGTACAGTTACTGTAACTATCCTCATGCCGCCCTACAGAGTTGTTCTGGACGCCATTGACGCCTGTCACGCCATTATCACCACCCCCAAGTGTGAGATTCTGAACGCCGAGACCAGCGACGACTCCGAGAAGCCCGAGTACTCTTCATTCGCACAGGTTAGAGGATTAAGGGTTAATAACCCGCCCTCATGTGTATGGGGCGTCATAAGGCCTGGCTTATGATCTGCAATAACCAACGATTGTACCGCCAAGTGAGCGCAGCGAAAGAGCCACCAGGCCTTATGGCATCATATACACCGAGGAACAGCCTGGTCATTAAGGGTTATCATCAAATAGCCAATAGGAACTTTTACAGCGTCATAACTAATATGACATGGAGGAACTCTAATTAGTCTTCTTTTTATATGATAATTTATATGATAATTTTATATGATAATTAATTAATTTATAAGATAATTTTTATATAATAATTAGTTAATGTCCCGCCCCGAGGTGAATATGGTGTGATAAAGCCTTGTCAGTTGCTATAACCACCGAATAAAGCCACCAAGTGAGCGCAGTATGATAATATACCTTATTCTTATGCTATGCTACAGGGTGTCCAGTATGCAAAGGCGTTCACCCAGGACTACCCCCTGATCGTCTACTAGAACAGGGACTGTTTGTTTACTTGTTTATCTGTTGTGTCTATCTGTTTATTTCTCAACACAGGGTGTCCAGTACGCCAAGGCCTTCACCCAGGACTACCCGCTGATCGTCTACTGGAACAAGGGTCTGGTGGAGGTCATCGCCCCGCAGGTCGACATGCCGGTGTACATCCTGAACATGCGCCGTGAGATCCTCTCCCTGCTGCAGATGCCCATCGACGTGCCCGAGGGAAAGGTACGTCACCGTCACGTCACTATTCAACTATGACGTAGTCTAGTGGCAGTCATGTTGGTTGGTTAAAGACACGTCCCTCGATGTGCCTGAGGGAAAAGGTACGTCACCGTGACGTGACTATGAAGTAGTCTAGTGATCGCCATGATGGCTGTTTAAGCACGGGCGCTCCTAGTGTGTTTCAGGAGTAAAAAGTACTTACTGGTACGTCGTTCCTGTGGTCACGTGACTATGTGTCCGCCATGTTGGTTAGTTAAAGAGGCTACGTGACTATGACGTAATTTACTGTCTACCATGTTGTTCGTCCCTCGTAGTCGAGGATGACCAATGCCTTACTTCAGTTCACTTCTGGTGGGTCCGGAGATGGGTGATGACGCCAATCCGGGCCAGGAATACTGTCCACGATATTGATTGGTTAAAAACGTCTCGAGATCCCTACGTTACTACTGTCTGTGTTCTCATAGAGTGCTTACAGTCATGGGGGGTATTCTATGCGGTGATGTATCTCTCACGTAACTTACCTGACAGGTTGAACCATCCAAGATGGCGAACGGTACCTACGTCATAATCACGTGAGTGCTAACGCCTCTCTGCTGGTTTGTTTGACCAGGAGCAGATCCGTAACGTGTACGGCGAGTGCCGCCCGGAGTTCGAGATCACCGACCAGAAGATCTTCCTCAACAACCGCGTGGTGACCGGCGTGAACGTCAGGAACGAGCTGACGCAGTGCAAGCACCCCGAGAGCTCCTGGGAGGAGGTGAGGCTCAGATCTCATGTACTGGTGCTGCAAGTTCGTTCGTTCGTTCGTTGCACGGCTTAACGTCCGTTGTTCCCCGTCATGCAAGGGTTGGACGTCGTTGGGTGTCGTTTAGGTCTGCTCTCCAGCTGCTTCTGTCTAGCGGGTTGGCCTTCTGCAGTTTCAAACTGAAGTTTCAAGTTTCAAGTACTGTATGGGATACATCCTATGTCTTCAGAATGTACCAGGCACTGTCCTGGACAGTTTCCGCGTATTCATGAATGTAGATTTGCCAACAGGCACATTTCTGGAAACGCATGCGAGCCATGGACTATCCAGAATCGTGCCTGAGTATCTGTGTCTACAGCGACATACAAAGAATGTCTTGCAGTCGTCAACCCTTCAATAGTGCATAGTCACCATCTGCCTTCTTAAATTGACAGAATAAAAGTTGAATATCTGATTCTAGACAGGTGTCATCTCTCCCTCCTTTATTAATATGTACATAGTCGTCATATTGACTCCTCATTAATGTGTATACGTAGCACCAATCCCTCAAGTTTTTGGTCCTTTTTGACCAGGCGTCCTTTGAAGTCCCTCCCTCTGACAACCCCCCTGCCCCCTCCCCTCCCCACAACCACACCAGCCCTCTGTATGTCGACATGTCCTCTCTCTCTCTCCGTCTCTCCCCGTGAAGCCCCAGCCTACCTGCTGGTCAGCGGACGGTACTCACACTACTTGTTTGCACAAGGTCTTCGGCGTGCAGCTGACCAACGCCACCAGGGAGTGCAAGTACCACCTCAGCTCCAAGGGCAGGATCCAGAAGGTGTCCTGTAAGGAGGTGATGGAGGATGCTTCTCTGTCTTACAACAACCCCTTCATGATCGCCAACAGCCGCAGTCACCTCAACTTCCTGGGCACTCGTTCTCTGCCGGACCCTGTGCCTACCCTGTCTATGGGTATGTTCAAGCTTTATTATTTTACTTTTGTTGTAATTTGGACTGTGTTGACTTATATGTTTATAAGTAAATGGCTTTCTTATGGGGTTTCCCCCAGCTAGAGCACATTGAAAAGCGCGCTCAGTCGATATGTATCCCCTGGATAAAATAAAACAACAACGTCAACATCATTGTCACTCATGATTAAGTATGTCAGGATACACAAGTAACGCCTGTTTGTCCTTAAAATGTCCCCACTTTCTATGTATTTGCTCTGTTCTTGGGTAGTATTGAGCAATATAATACCGGTAACGATGCCATCTCTCATATAGCCTTATCCTTATAAAACAGCCAGTATTCAACAGCCAGTTGAAGTTTTAAGTAGTTATCTTGATATCATAGCCGATTCCAGTGATACTTGTACCAAGACTAGTATATATGTATTTTCGTTTATATGATAAAAAAGCATCTAACAGAATAATCCTGTTTTTATCACAGAGAACCGGAGGAAGACCGACCTCGTCTTCGAGATGGAAGAACAGGCTGACAGCAGACGTAAGAAAACATAAAATCTAACGCTAAGTACTGTCGTTAGGACTAGCTATAGCTTTAATAGAGTATGTAGAATATCCTTTTGTGATAAGAATGTTCAACAAAAGATAACGTTTAAAAGAATGGTTTTGATGTCTCTTTCAGGGTGAATCAACCACACGGCGTGTAGTTTAGATATAAAAAGATATCTTTTCATCTCAATTTTTCCAGCCAAGGAGGAGGAGGAGAAGAAGGAGGAGGAGTGCACGGATGCCAAGTGCGCGATCGTGGAGGAGGTGGTGGAGGTGCCGAGGGTTCCTGTGTGGAAGCAGGAGAAGGGCGAGCCTGTGGAGAGGACCCACGTGGACGGGGGCGACTTCGTGTGCAAGGGTAAGGCTGATATATCTTGGTTATGACGACGGTTAGTCCAAACATGTTTAAAGCTGTTATTAATAATTATTCTTACCTGGAGCTTTCGACTATAGACAGACCCAGTGAGATTCTCTATGACGTCAACACTGGGTCAAAGGCATTCGGTAAACGATGTCGGCCCCCATCGCAATTGAGTGACAAAAATGTGACGAAATGACAAAAGTATGACAGGCTGAATAAAAGTTCGAAACAGGAACTTTGCGGCTCCAGATGTCTTCCTGAGGAACGACTGTGTGTGCGGGATGAATCCATTCTACTATATACTGTGGCAAAAGGTTTGTCAGCCCCAGCAACTGAGAGTCTTGGGCGAACTTTTTACCTTACCTACATGTAACTGTTGTCATTCCCTCCCCCCCCCTCCCTCTCTATCCAGACGGAAACCAGTTCCAGCCCGGTTACCGGTACCTGTACGGGTACTACGGCAAGGCTCAGGGTAAGATGAGCTCTCAGCCCGGCAAGGACGGGTACTGGGTCACCGCGCGCTGCTGGGTCGAGATCGAGGTAAACAAATTGGCTACTAAGTTCATCTGTGTTCAACTTGGTAGAAGTCTAACAACCAAACACACACACACACACACACACACACACACACACACACACACACACAAATAAATTGGACGTGCTCATACTTTCGACTGTACAACTCCAGTCTAAATAAAGGAATGAACAATTCACCGACTCTGTGCAAATGACACACGTGACTCGGTGAGCAGTATCTCGTAAATCGCAGGAAGTTTGTAGCAGCCCCCGTCTTTGTTGAGGAATGACTGTCATGCCCTGATGTAGATGGCCTGTTAAATACACTGTGCAAACTTTGGTGTTCATGTATGGTACACAGCATTGTGCATCCGAAATGCCTTACACCAAACCTTCTATACTTCCCAGGTCACGAGCAAGTGCAGTTTCTACATGAAGACGGCTAACTGTGTGTTCCGTGACTCCGAGCCCCGCGTGCCTGGAGACAAGGTGGATAAGGAGTTCCACAAGCTGTCAGCCAACCTGGGAGAACACCCCATCTACGTCGAGCTCAACCACGTATGTCTGGCTTTTCTATCTTTCTAGTTCTATGTGAGTATAGTCCAATTCTGGATTAACAGTCTCTGTGGCAATCTACAAATGCTCATCAACTTTCCAAGTTACTGTATCTTCCTATCGTCGGAAGTCCAACTAGCGTATCACACTAGACATCCTCAGGTATGCTGTTCAAACACCTCCAGAACCAGCAAGAAAGTTCTTGACTGTCTGTTGTTCTTGTACCTCAGGGTCTGGTGCACCGTCTAGTTGTGGACCCGTCCGAGTCCACCCACATCCTGAACACCAAGCGCGCCATCCTGTCTACTCTCCAGATGCACCTGGCAGAGAACCCTCGTCTCAACACCAACATCACACAGGTATGTACTGTGTATGACTGAACTTGTCGAGTGTCAACTTTCCTCGACCAATCGAACCATGGCTGATGCCTAGAAACTTCTGTGTCATTGGTGGCCTTCTCTGTGCCATCCGTAATCTTTCGTCGGCAGTGGCTCGTACCCTACCAGTCCATACATATCAGGTATTTTGAGCCATCATTGTTGCTAATTAGGGGGTGACAGTGTCGTGTGTGACTGCTAGGTCAGAACATAATACCAGATTGGCTTCTATCGTATCGAGAACCTTGCATATCGAGTTATACATGTATTATGAAATTATGACGTTTGTTATGACATCACCGTTGCCAGGGTGACATCTATGGCGACTGCCCGGTTAACTACGTCATCAGCGAGGTCGAGGAGGGTCACGTGGTCGGGATGAACGTCACCAAGCACGTGTCCAAGTGCAAGCACCCCAAGGAGGAGATGGCCAGCGTGAGTAGTTTTCCAGTGTTCTAAACAACCCTGTTCTCATGTAGCCTGGGTGCCATCCCCCGTAGTATTCGCCCGCTCCCTAATGTTGCTTGCTACCACTGGCAAGCTAGCGTCATCATAGAGCGAGCGAATACTACGGGGGATGGCACCCAGGCTCAGTTCTCATGTGCGTGACACTGTGATCTTTATAACAGACATCCAGTGCACACCTCTTGCGCTTACGTTACATCTACATTTTACGTTATGCTACATCTACTTTACAAGCTAAGGTATTTTTTACGTACGTTTCTACATTAAACGCTACACCATCCCCTATCTCTCCCACTGAAGATCGCAGGGAGCCAATCCGGCGTTGCGGTACGACCTGATTTGTTTCCAAAGTTTCTACGCTCTACTTTATCAAAAGTACCTAATGCTCCATGCCCTTCCTGTCTCCCTCTCCCACAGAAGATGGCAGGGAGCCACTCCGGCGCGCACCAGACCTGCCGGTCGGACCTGACGCACGACTCTGTGATCGAGCGGGTGATCTGCAAGGACGTCCGGCCCGTGCGCGAGGACAGGATGATCGAGACGCACCGCATCCTGGTCCTGCAGCACGTCCGCCCGCTCAAGCCCAACGAGCCGCAGTACCGCTTCGACATCGGTGAGAGACTACTCCTTATTCTCTTGTAAACATCGGTGAGAGACCATATTGTCATTGAAACATCGGTGAGAGACCAGTTCTTATTCTAACTTAACTTAAACATCGATGAGAGACCATTCGTGATTCATGATTCGTTCCAAAAGAGTCGACGTGTCAGTGAGCCGACGTTCCGATGACTGATGGGTTTAATGCCTTTAATTATGAAGATGCCAGACGGCCATCGAAACGTCAGCTCTTGTTAAATATGTGGTTGTGAATTAAAAAAAAATCTTTGTTATTCAATCGTTCAACAACCAGATGAATTTCTTTATGAATTTACCAGTTGCTTGATTTGTGTTGTATGGCGATTTCCCCGTCCTACAGAGGAGGGTAAGGAGACGAGCCTGACATACGAGGCTGAGGAGGGGAAGGGCGCAGAGGAGGACGAGGAGACCATCAGCCTCAGGGGAGGACTGGAAGGTTCGTCAGAAACCAGTTATATCCAGAACCGTGCCAGAGCCATGCCTGTGGCAATCTACGTTCTTGGATACGATCTACGTTCAAGTACTGTACATGAATGTATTTGAATAAGAATAAAGAGAGCAGTAGATTTTACGCTGGACGTGTGGACGTGTAAACCTTATCCACCTGCTTTGCAAATCTTGCCTTTCTTGTTTTCTTTTTGTTAATTTTGTTTTCTGTGCTCCCTTCTCCAGCCAAGACGCCGTGTAAGCCTGTCCGGTGTAAGATGTACTGCGAGCACGGCTTCAGGACCGACAAGCGCGGCTGCGAGATCTGCGAGTGCGCAAAGGAAGGTGGGTAATCATGACGTCGTGAGCAAACCTACCAGCGTTTGATTGCAGCTTGAGTGCGACGCCCCATACATCGTTTTTGATCATGTCGTTTTCTGAAAATTCGAAAGTGATAAACTGCATTGCAAAACTAGTGTAAAAGGTAGATAGTATGACATCTATTGCTGTATAACACGCATTCTATGAAACTAATCTTCCTTACGAAGACTGTAGTATGGGATAAGAATGCAAACATGTTTTTGTTTCTCCCAGGCGAGGGCACCTGTACCGATGACGATGGGGTGACCCGTAAGAACGGCGAGAAGTGGCGCCCGTCCTTCGACGAGGACTGGTGCAACTCCTGCCACTGCGAGAACGGCAAGGTGGCGTGCCTGGGCGTCGTCTGCGCCAACCCCGACTGCGGCAACGAGGCGCCCGTCAAGGTGGAGGGCCAGTGCTGCCCCGTCTGTCCCGGTATGTAGGGCATAGCCTCTACCAGGCTTCGGGAGGCGGCTGGAAAGAGTAGAATTTGGCCAAATAGATCTAGATGCCAGGGGAGTTGGGTGCGGCAAACTGTACTCTGTGGCGGACAAACTCCCCTGGCATGCTATCTCAATATTTGGCCAAAATCTACTCTTTCCAGTCGGCTAAGTAGGGGATGCTTTATCCAGAACCGTGGGTTTATCCATGCCATCCACAGTTCTGGATAGTCCACGCGTATATCATGTTATATATGGTCCTAAACGCCTTTTAATAGATGGGACGTGTGAATTTGGAAACGTTTCTTTTTATCCTAAAAGCTAATCTGTGTTGGCAGAAGTTATTATGAAACACGTTTAAACAGTAATTTTAAACAAAATAAAATTGTACTAGAATTTAATTTTGCACTGTAAAACCACAATCTTCGTCGTGGAATAAACAATCCACAGTTTCTGTGACGTCGAAAACTGCGGTAAGTCCAATCCCTTGTCTTGGAAATTAGTTTAAACTTACTTCATACTGATTTCTTCTTACTTTTGTCTGAAAGATGAGGAGAAGCCACAGAAGCCCGGTGACATCAAGCAGGGTGTCTGCACGACCAAGGACGGCCAGACTTACAAGGTAGGATTATCAACGTTAATGTTAATCAGTCTGCCTTACTCAATAGTTTAAATCATCCTTTAGCACATTGAAGCAGCCATGTGGCTGCCAATATTCTATTGGTTACTGTATTAAGCAGCAAGGGGAAGGTTCAGGGTTTAGAATTTGTAGCAAATTCCCAGAATTCTTGCAACCGGACACAAATCATGACACATTAGGCTCACGCAAAGCGTAATTATTAGTAATGTCTATGGTACTTGTAAGTTGCAAACTGTGACCATGTTGAAATGTGAACTAGACTTACTTTGTTGCACGTGATTGCCTGACATGAACGATGAAATACGTCAATTGTCGTTGTTGCTCTCAGGATGGTGAATTGTGGGAGGAGAAGGACTGTACCAAGTGCATGTGCATGGAGGGGGAGGCAGTGTGCACATCCGTGCTGTGTGAGGTGCCAGATTGCGGAGAGGGCGTGGAGCCCATCATGAACGACGGCGACTGCTGCCCCAAGTGCCCGGGTCAGTCCAGATCATCTTCCATTTTGTATTGTTTTCTTTTTACTCGGTGGTCACTCCAGGGGTACATGTTACATGAGTATGACTCCCTGAGTTGGACACATCATGAAGACTCACTGACGCAATAGAAGAAGCAGGGGTTAGGAAGGATGTTCAGATCAGGAACATTCCCTCCCCCATTTAGATCGGTTACTGTTTAGGACACCTTGGTCATCTTCTCATCATGCAAGCCGCTTATAGATGTCAAGTATGGGCAATGGCTTCTGGCTGCGTTAGCACTGTCCAGCCTTCAGATCCAATCACGTTGCCGCATACGGTCACGAGGCAACCTGACTGGCTATTCGGTGATTCGGTCAGTCACCCTGAAGAAGACCGAGGCGATGCCCAAAATTCTGGCAAGCTGTATCTTTCTTGTTTTAGAACGAATTTCTAACCTTGGGTAAATGATAGCTAACTGTACCTCAAATCTTACTGTACGCAGAGGTGGAGAAGTGCACGAGCTCTGACGGGAAGGAGTACGTGGCTGGCGAGACCTGGGAGGAGGACGGCAGCTGTACCACTTGCAGGTAGGTGTCTAAACAAACAAACAAACAAACAAACAAACAAACAAAGTAAACAGATAAACGAACGAATCAGTCAGTTGCAGGTGTGTGTTGAAACACTTTCAACTTGTTTCAAAGCTTGCAATCCACGTTACACTAACTTTTCCAACTGTTTTGGGCTACAGATGAGCAGAATGCACTATGTCTAAGATGACGTATCTGAACATTGTCGTTCTGTGTACTAAGCTGCGAAGGCAGTTAGCCCCTGTGTGTGCCAATCCCTTCGGAACCCAAACATACAAACCCAGCATTGATTAATGCCACCCCAAACAATACTTTCGTCCCGAAAACGATGACCTTGCCGTTCTGCATACCAGTTTACTTGCTCACTTTGTGGGAACCCAAACATACGAACCCAGCCTAGATTAGCGCCACCCAAAATAATACTTCCGTCCCAACAGTAACGACCCTGCCGTTCTGCCTCCCCAGGTGCGAGGGCGAGAAGACCGTGTGCATGTCGATGATGTGTGACTGGCCGCAGTGCGAGGACGGCGCGGAGCCCGTGAAGAAGGAGGGAGAGTGCTGCCCGTCGTGCCCTGTGGACGGTGAGGAGTAACTCATCTCTGCCTTCAGCGCCGCCGAATCATCCCCGCTTTCGCTCTAAACCACCCGGGAAACAAACACTAGAACACGTCTCACATCGTCCTAGGACAAACGCTGTCTGTTACAAGCTAGTTCACAGTCTGAGGTGCGCATGTGTGCTGTGATGCATTGTGGGTAATATGTCCAGGACCACAGAAATGATAGCTAATGATAGCTAACTGTGGTTCCAAATAAAGTCAAAGCCATGTAATAGTGGAAGGCCCCTGGATATTCTTTGTGTATAGTCACGGTCCTTCAACACTTTGCCACATTACTAGTATAGTACCCACGATGCATCGGACCGCACTTGCGCGCTTCATAAACAGTTATTCTAAAACGGCAGCACGATGCTGAGTTGGTTTGAATACTACGTACATAACTGTCGTTTGCTTTTTGTAACGTTTTTGCATTCTGGATGAATAGTAATCGATATTTCAAATGTAAGACTTGTCGCAAGCCCATGTAATGCTTTACAACAACTTCAAGTCCTTTTATATCTTGTCATGTTTTCAAGCTTGCAAGCGTTTAAACGTAATCCTAAATGTGTATATCAGTTTTGGTTTTATAAATTGAGAGCTAAAACGAAATGTGATGTGATTTCTACTTTTTCCTTTGACAAATAAAGTTTGGCATGTAAGAACACTCCAACGTGCAAGCTGCATTCTTGTTTCAGTTTACTGAATTGTGTGTTTGCGTTCCTGTTATAGAAGAGTGCATAAGTCAACTGTTGTTTTTATCTTTATCTTATTCGATCGCAACAAGGCTTACCCGCAAAGTTGCATAACAGTTATCATACAATCTGTAGCAGATGTCAGTTTGAAGTTGGGATTTTTAGTGCAATGACTTGGTCGCTGAAACAGCGTTGATTGCCATTAAATAACAGCGAACAATGGAATGGAATGCTATGATGCTAGCAGCTGCAATAATTGGCTTCATGCTTATACACATGGCGGAAAGGGGAGGGCAGTCATCGTATTCAGAACTGAGCATATGTAGCTCTATTCCTGAATGATTCAGGGATAGGATCACGCACGGTTCTAGATAGTCTCGGCGTATCCAAGAATGTAGATTTTCCTCAAACACGGTTCTAGATACGCGAGGAGTATTCAGAATCGCTCCTGAACATGGTCCTGGATAAAGCAAGGTTCTAGATACAACTGGGGCTGAACCTAACGTTCCTCTAATGGTGACACCTTCTAGCTAACGCCCTGGAGACCCTAGTCTCTTCCAACGGCAAGTTCGCGCTGGAGCTGTACAAGCAGCTGACCAGACAGGCGGATGCCGGAAACGTGTTCGTGTCTCCGTTCAGCATCTCCACGGCTCTGGCCATGACGTACCTAGCGGCCAAGGGGAAAACTGCAGAGCAGATGGGAAGCACCATGCACTTCCAGGACCTCAGGTAGGGGGCGGTAACATGCACATTGAATAGCTAGCAGCGGAGTTTAAAAGCGATAGAAGGAGAGGCATGGGCTCCGCCTTCCAATACTGTGTCCAAGATGCAGTGGTCCTATGGCCTCAATAAGAATATGGGACTACCTTTACTTTTTTGTGGCCTCAGGTTTTGCACTGGGTATCACATTTGCTGGTTGTGTCCCATGTTGGGTTTCAAGAAGCAATTTGCATTTGCATTAAGGGTGAGACCCATTGTTATGCCCGTTCTGTGCGTCATACCTGTTGATCTAGCTCTCCTGTTTTTACCTGACCCTATTGCAACGTTTCCCCCTAGAGTTAGCACTACACTAGTCCAATTCGATCACAAAGGTGACCAATTATTTTAGTCATGAGTCGTCATCACACTCACGCCACCCAATCAGCTATTCCCATCATGGCCTCCGGCTAGCTTTAAAAAACACCATGTCTTGTGTGTTTACAGTGATCTGACGCTCCACAAGACGTTTGCTGAGCTGACAGAGACGACCAGTTCCAACCTGACGTCATACACCCTGTCCGTGGCCAACAAACTCTTCGTGCAGGAGGATTTCGACCTGCTGAAAACCTACATCGACGGCGTGGAGCGGCACTATGGCTCGGACGTGGGCAGGGTCAACTTTGGAGACGCCAAGGTTCGTCATGTCACCATACTTATGAACTACAGTAAAACCTGTAGAGTGATTGTCCAGTTGGCCAATATGACCACTTTTGGTGGTTTTTATTCACAACCACTAGTTTACAATACAAGAACAGACGTTTTGATGACCGCCTGTCATCTTCATCAGGCTAATTCTGACTGGTTCACTGTGCAGTAAAGCTAGGTGTACACTGAAACTCTGGATCTGTTTTAGCTCTCGGGTATTTATCCTCTCCGCAAATTGGTCTGGTAACCAGGATACCAGTGAAACAATCATAATTGCCCTGCTGAAGATGACAGACGATCATCGAAACATCGGCTCTTGTTGAACAGATAGTTGTGAATAAAGAACTTTGATTTTCATCATCATCATCATCATCATCATTGGTTTATTATTATTCACAATAAAACGGCCTTGCAGTAGTAACTGAATTGCACCGTTCCATTACAAACATTTTAAAAGGAAATTCCGACAGAATAAAATATATACAGGTTAAAATTGACAATGAACTAGCAGTAAAGTGCAGCATCGTTCGAGCTGTTGTCGACGTCGACAGGAAAGATGTTTGCGCAAGGGTTCGACAAGGATATAATCATGATATTACATTTACACACTAACGAGGAGTTTTGCCAGCGAGGGTTTTGCGCTAGTAACGTATCGCTTAGTTCCGATGGCTTGATGGTAATGTGATGGTAATTTTCGGCCTCTGCTCTTGCCCTCCAGGTCGCCAGCGACATGATCAACAACTGGGTTGAGGAGAAAACCCAGCAGAAGATCCATGACCTGATCCAGGAGGACATGCTCAACGACCTGACCAGGGTGGTCCTGGTCAACGCCATCTACTTCAAGGGTCAGTGGGCAGACATGTTTGACCCGTACGACACGGCAGACATGCCTTTCTACAGGACGGAGGAGGACAGTGTGGACATCCCTATGATGTTCAGGTTGGTATTACTATCGGGAATTGAACTTTATGCATATATTATATGTGAATTTGGCAGATAAACTTCAAGAAATGTGAAATGATATGGGCGATAAATAAAGGTATGTGAATGATGATAAGAGGATACTAAACAGCCACCCTGAACGTTAAACACCGTTACTTTTATATCTTTAAAATTACATCGTATGTGTCATTGCAAGTGGGCCAGTGCCCCATGTGGCTCTGTCGACTTATGAGAAATCGAAGCCCCCTTTTATGAGAGGCAAAAATCACCCCACTACGTTTTTTTAGCTATTTGTAGAATTGTAGATCATCAATAATGTTTCAAAATTCGCATTTCCAAAACGATTCACAATATTTCCACTGAAGAATAATGATGGAGGGGACGATGGCGTGCGATGACGTATGATGACGTATCTTCCTCTGTATTAGGGAGGGCAGGTACAACAGCGTGAGGGACCCGGATGTGGGCTGCAGCGTGCTGGAGTTGCCATATAAGGACAAGGACCTGAGCATGCTGGTCATCGTGCCGACAGAGAAGGAAGGTCTGGCGCAGGTGGAGAGCAAAATCACCATGGAGACGCTTCAGAGGTGGAACGACAACTTCGTCAACAAGTTGGTAAGTTGGAATTCGTTTTTTGTTTGAACCAATGGTTCTTTATCCATGAGAAACTCAAATTGGCGTGCCGGTCGCCTATACCTTTGGGCAATTGCAGACTCTTGGTCTGTACATGTGTAACGCAAACTCTACCGTCCACGGCTTTAGTGGCCCATACCTGCAGATGTGGGCGGGCGGCAACCGTAAAGCGATTTAATCAGGCTAGCATGCAGACTCTCACCTGCTTACGTTTTGATGCCTGTCAGGCAACTTCCTTCAGAGATTCTGACTAAAGTACTGCTTCTCGCCAATTTAGCCAATGTAGGGGGCCCTTTTGCGGCGAGAACACAATCCTAAACGTGGATATGTTTGTACCCTTCCTCGTCTCGGTTGGACACACATAAAGACGAGTAGCTGCACTCCAGTCAAAAACTCCGAGGAACAGGCACCCAAACGTAAGCAGACTATATCGCTTGGGTAAAAAGAAAACCCTAAGGCTTATATCCTATGTTTTACCAACCAGATGAAGTTATTTTTGGAATATCTATATTTCTGTCGCCAGACGCTTGTGTACCTGCCCAAGTATAAGATAGAGTACGCCGTGAGTGTGACGGACCACCTGAAGCGGATGGGCATGGAGGATCTGTTCGACCGCAGCCGGGCCGATCTGTCCGGACTAACCGGAGAAAGGGACTTACACGTGTCCGACGTCGTGCACAAGGCATTCGTAGAGGTACGTCTCTAGTCTACAAGCGCAAAGGGGATATCGTGACGTTAACGTTCTATACAATAACGTCCTGTCCTGTCCTAAGGACTGCGACCCTTTGTAGCAGCGTACATGTCTGTTGAGCAAAAACAACTGGAATTCGAACTCCCAGCATCTTGGTCCAGAAGCAGCGTATAACCACTGGACTTCGCCCGCTACTGAACTTGAATCTGTTGAACATTTCGGTTTTGCAGACGGCTGATATGGAAGTTGGACGGCTGTCAGACTGAGTAGGTCTAAACATGTATAGAATATATCTGAATGCAGAACAGTGAACTACATGTAGAGTGCGATTTAAATGACCTGCTCTGCTGTTCCAGGTGTATGAGAAAGGCAGCGAGGCGGCGGCTGCTACGGGAGTTCAGATCTCTCTATTGTCGGCTAAAATCTGGCCTGAGCCTCCCGTGACCGTCCGGGCCGACCGCCCCTTCCTCTTCTTCATCCGCGACAACCGCAACCACTCCATCCTCTTCATGGGCAGGGTCACCGACCCCATCGGGAATAAGTAGTCAAGCAACAAGTATCTTAATCCTGAGTAGCCAGCATCTATTTTCTTGAATTGTTTTGTAACTCCTGTGCATTGCCTGGCTATATTTTGTTATAATTTGCCATAATTTGTTATAATTTGCTGAGTTCTTTTATGTTAGTCAGGTGTGTTAATGTTTGAATACAATTTGTTTTTAATTTTGTATTATGTCTTCGGCACACAGCATGTCCGTTTATGCCACCGATGCAAAGGTGACGAGTAAAAAGATCAAAGCCAGTATGGAGCAAGTTTAAACTGTAATGTCCAACTAAAAAAATTGGTCTTACCCAATTCTTCAAATGTACAACTGTATAGTTGTGGTCAGGGAATCTACCATCCATCCCTTCTGTAACGTCATGTCAATATGTAGATGACACGCGCGACTCTGTGAGCAGTGGATCATGATTGCAGAAAAAAACGCACATGTTTCAACCACAAGAGATATCTTTTGCAGTTCACTGACTATCCATGTGTAATAATTAATTCCTTGCTGCAATATGAACTTGAATGAATTAGGGACATGTCATCGCGCAGTTCTATATAATGTCTTTAATTTATCTTAGAACACATTGTCGTCTTTATCTATAATATTGTAGTAGATATAACCAGTCATAATTGTCTTGCTGATGACAGACGGTCATCGAAACGTCTGCTCTTAAACAAGTGATTGTGAATAAAGAGCTTTAACAGTTGTTATTAATGCAGTTGTGAATGAAATCACTCATTCGGGTTAGTCACCCTTCCGAGGAACAGGATCGAGCCGGTCGGTTTGTGCTGTATGAGGAACAGGAACGGCCGGTTGACGACGAAAGACCGCCCGAAGTTCCCGCTGCGGCCCCTCATCACCACCGCTGTCGCCGCCGCGGCCTCCGAACCCTCCTCGTTAACCTGAGAAACACAAGTGGAACACGCGTTCGGCTCGAATTACCCAGATCGATCGAACATGACCGAACATAGTTCGGGTTCTAAAAAAATGGCGGGGACTTTAGAGTCCAAATTTGACCACTGTGCATTGGGTACTTGAGTAGTCTGAGTTACACAATATCTAGCTGTCAAACTGATTATTGGACCCCTCACTGAGAGTTTGTTACCATTCTCGTAACTACCAATAAAGACCTCAAGATTCTTTACCACTATGGAAATCAGTCCAATGGGAGTTAAGGAATCTCTGTCAGTATGACACGTATCACATCCAGGTATAGCTTACATCTTTGTCTAAAACTTCTATGCAAGTTGGGTTATCGGACGAATTCACTTTGTATTAAAGAATCCCTATACTGACATTTACGAAGGCCTCGTGTAGGACCTCTGACACGTGCAGGTCCTTCTGACCCGTGACCCCTGACAGGTCAGCGGTTTCCATGGAGAACAGGTCCGTCATGCCTAGCGCCGTCAGCTGGTCCTTCAGGCTGAGCGCATGCGTCAGACGGAACTTCGGAAGGGCGACGGTCATACTT